GTCGTTGCGCCGCCGCCGCCGCCGTCGCAGCACCCGTTCGCTGACTCTGGGGGTGCTCGTCCCGGTCGCCCTGGGGGTGGTCCCTCTGGGGGTGCTGGTGTGGAGAGTGCCGGTGGTAGCCGAGGAGCAGCTTGCGGTCCAGGTGTCGCCGTTGTGCCGCCGCAGCAGCAGTCCCCGCCGGTGTCAGCCCTTCGCCTGCTCGGCCTTCCGTCCCCGACCCTGCGCTGTTCCTCCCGACCGTCTCCTCCTCTTCCTGTCTACGGCCCTGTTTCCCTCCGCCGGACTCGTCCCCGGCCCGTCTCCCCCTCGTTCCCCTCCTGTGTCCCCTCCCTGTCTCCTGACCCGACTCCTCCGTCGCACGTCTGGTCTCACCGTCCCTCCCGTGCTCGTCCTGCCTCGCCTGTCTTGCGCTCCCACCCTATGTTGCTTCGTTCCCACGCGTCTCGTCCTCCCCTTCTGCCGTCGCCTCCTCCGTCCTCCCTTGTTGTTGCACCCCCCCGCTGTCTGACTACCTTCGTGCCGCTCGTCCTCTTGTTCCTCGGGTCCTTGCCTCTCTCGTTACCGACCCGTCTGTTCCGGTCTCGTGCCTTGACGCTCTTGTCGCTGCTGCGCGCTGACTTCGCCTCTACCCGCCGCCTTGACTACGCCACCGCTCTGGTCTCTGACCCTGCCTGTCCTCCGTCTGTCGGGGGTGCTCCTGCCCTTGGCAGTGACGTCCTGGAGGACCGCCAGTTCGAGCTTGCTTTCCTCTCCGAGGCTGCTCCCCATCTCTGTTCCATGCTGCTAGTCCCTGAGGGTGACCCAGACGCTTTCGACATCCCGACCCCTCGCACTTACGCTGAGGCGACTCGGGACCTGGGCCTCTCAGTGGATAGCTGCCATGGAGCAGGAGATGGCATCTTGGAGATCCACCGGCACCTTCGTCGACGCAGTTCCCCCGCCTGGGGTGAACGTAGTCGATGGCCGCTGGCTCTTCAAGGTGAAGCGCCCTCCTGGAGAGCCGCCTGTGTTCAAGGCGCGCTAGTGGCTAGAGGCTTCAGTCAGCGTGAGGGGGTGGACTTCTTCCAGACCTTCGCTCCGACCCCGAAGATGACTACTCTTCGGGTTCTGTTACACCTAGCTGCTCAGCGTGACTACGAGCTTCACTCCCTCGACTTCTCCACTGCCTTCCTTCAGGGCAGCCTACACGAGCAGGTCTACTTGCGTCGCCCTCAGGGCTTTACTGGCACCTTCCCTCCTGGGACCCAGTGGCTCCTGCGGCGCCCCGTCTACGGCCTGCGCCAGGCTCCCCGTGAGTGGCACGACACTCTCCGTGCTACGCTTGCTGACCTGCAGTTCTTTCCGTCTTCCGCAGACCCCTCACTCTTCGTTCGTGCTGCTGGCCAGACTCCGTTCTACATCCTTGTTTACGTCGACGACCTGGTCTTTGCCACAGCAGACAGGGACGCACTGGCCTCCGTGAAGGCAGAGCTGCTGAAGAGACACACGTGCACTGACCTTGGAGAACTGCGCCGTTACCTTGGCTTGCAGATCTCCAGGGACAGAGCAGCGCGCACCATCACCCTGACTCAGTCACACTTGGTGCGCCAGGTCCTTCAGAGGTTCAGCCTTCAGTTCTCCTCTGCACAGCCCACCCCTCTGCCTGTAGACCACAGACTCTCCGCTCCAGTGTCTGAGGAGTCGGTAGAGCCCAGCGGCCCCTACGCAGAGCTGGTGGGTTGCCTCATGTACCTGATGACTTGCACTCGCCCAGATCTCGCATACCCTCTCAGCATCCTGGCTCGCTTTGTGGCCACAGGCAGACACCACGACCGCACACTGGTCTGCCGCTAAGAGGGTTTTGCGTTATCTTGCTAGTACATCGGGCATGGGGTTAGTGCTAGGAGGACGCAGGCCAGTGGTCCTTACTGGACACACAGACGCTTCGTGGGCAGACGACGCCGAGACACTCAGGTCTACCCAGGGCTACTGCTTCAGCCTTGGCTCAGGTGCCGTCTCGTGGAGAGCTACCCGCTCCTCGTCTGTTGCCAGTCCAGCTGTGAGGCTGAGATCTACGCTGGTGCCATGGCGGCACAGGAGCTCCGCTGGCTGACCTTCTTGCTCACTGACTTAGGTGAGCGGCCTAGCTCTGCCCCCAGTCCTGTTCGCTGACAACAGGGCCATGATCCTCCTGTGTCAGGAGCCTCGACTCGAGGGCAGAGCGAAGCATATTCAGCTGCGGTACTTCCTCCTGCGTGAGCTACAGCAGCGACGCCAGGCTTGCGTAGTACACTTGGCCTCAGGTGCCAACACAGCTGATATCTTTACGAAGGCGCTTGCGCCTAAAGATCATCAGCGGCACTGTGTACAGCTTGGTTTAGTTCATGTAGCCTCTCACTTGCTAGGGCCTTGACTTTGTACTGTCCTTTATATGTGTACTCAGACTGGACTTGTGTCCTCTTCCAGTGGCTGGACTAGTAGTGCCACCCTGGCCTTGGTTCTTGCCTTGTCTGTACTCCTTCTGACTGGTCTTTTAGACCCTTGTCTCAGTGGTTGGACTAGTAGTGCCGCCCTTAGCTGCTTGTTTAGGACATTTCCCTATGCAGTCTAGGGGGTGTGTCAAACATGTGTAGTCGTTATGTTTGTATAGACTGTATAGGGTCACCTCTTAGAGGGTACAATTCTTAGGTATATCTTTCTGTACTCTCTCACTAGTCATTATTCACTACTCTGATTTTGATAGTTTTACTTAGGTATTAAGATAAGTGGCGAGAGAAAAGAGAGTTGACTAGGAGAGAGAGAGGGTACAAGAAGTGGGTCGTCCGCTCTGTAGTAGGATCCTGCCATTTGTAGAACACCTACCAAGCCTACACAACAAAAATATGTATATAATATAATATATATTAGTTCACACATCCCCTAGGCTTGGTAGGCGCTAGCACACCACACACGTAACACCCCCAAGCCCTTACACCCCCATGCCCTTCAGCAGCTATGGCTTCTGCCCTTCGGGGTGCAAAATGGTGACGTCGGCGGCCGATGGCAGCAACGGCGTCAGCGGCGGCTACGACGACGATAGCGGCGGTGGCGGCGACTGCGAATCCCCGCGACACCTACAGCGGCGGCGGCGGCTTCGACGACTGCGAAGCCCGCGGCACCCCGCGGCGTGGCTCGGCCCGGCGACTATGGGGGAAGGGAGCCATCAGTTGTGGCTGGGATGAGGGGAGACAAAGGGGAGGGGTCATGGCTTCAGCGAGGCGCCCTGGCTGGCGTGCGGGCATGCTGGCTGGCACTAAAAGAGTGCGATGGCTGCTGCCGCCCGTGCGCTGGCGCGACGAAGCCGCCACGACAGCACGACGCAACCGCCATGGCAGCTCGTCGACGCCACAGCAGCACGTCGAGGCCGCCACGGCAACGCATCGAGGCCGCCATGGCAGCACAACGAGGCTGCACGACAGCGCGATAGTGAGAAGAGGGGAGAGAGTACGCTGCAGAAGCATAATGAGAAGGCTCAGCAGGATCATCCTGCTCTGAAACCATGTTAGGAAAAGGTTTTAGCTAGGTAGTAGGAAATGTGGCTAGAGAAAAGAGAGTCGACTAGGAGAGAGAGAGAGAGAGAGAGAGAGAGAGAGAGAGAGAGAGAGAGAGAAGAGAGAGAGAGAAGAGAGAGAGAGAGAGAGAGAGAGAAGAGAGAGAGAGAGAGAGAGAGAGAGAGAGAGAGAGAGAGAGAGAGAGAGAAGTGGGTTGTCCACTCTACACTAGGATCCAGTCATTTGTAGAACATCTACAAGCCTACACAAATATTTATAATATATGTGAGTTGACAATTGGTACATGGAATCTAGAATCTCATAACTTTTTTATTTATAATGCAGGGTGACAAGTTCCATTGCTGCCAGTTTTAACCGCCAATATGTTAGACAGACAGCTCGGGCACGCACAAGCTGTACCACAGTATATAGAGGCATTGCTGCGAACACCCTGAACAGTTACCTGATGAAACCACCTGAACTGCTGCACTTTGAGGACCTGTGATGCTGGTAACGTTGACGCCGTCAAGGTTGCGTCAACAGGTCATCCCTTGTCCATTTGTTATGGCAGCCTCAAACACTCTGGAGCTCAGGATAGACGGGCAGCTTTGAAAACCCTATCTATTCGAACCGGTGAGTGATAGGGGCGAACCCTTGCCCTAAATCCCTCCACGAATCAGCTCGGAGGGTCGTGTCTGACCACAGTGCCCAGTTTTGAGCCGTTTTTCACCGCGAACTCTGTTTGCAGCATGCCACACGCGCCGCATGGTCAAGCCTCTCCTGCCCAATCGGTTCAAAAAGGGTGACAAACGGGCAACTCAGCCGTCAAACCGCTTCGCTTGCTGCCCGAACGCCGCTTGCCGCTCTTCAGGGCTGCCCCAACCAAGTCGGCGCCGTCAGACCGGTCTACCCACGAAGGACACTTACCGTTCAATTGCGCCTGTCACACAGCGGCAGCAGTGATTCGGTGAACCTCCCTCCACTCTAACGCACCACGCCACTACCACCACAGAATTCTACCAACCACGGCAAGCACCGTCCTTGCCTCCCGTCGCGACCTTCCGCAGATGCCAAATGGCGCGCGATCAGCGCAGAGCAGCACTTTGCCGAATCAGCGCGGTGTGGTGTGAAGATGCGGGCTGCAGCGGAAACGAAGGTCAAGAGCATCGGTGATGTGTGCGCGGGTGGACGTGCTTTGTGCAGCAGAGAGCAGAGCACCAGTCATCTCGCTGAATGGGCATCATGCCATGGTCACATTCCATTCCGCCGAACCACGCAGCGCGGGCCGCCCCACCAACTCCCCCACTTTCCCCCACCCCTATCAGCATCCCATCTCATGACACCCCTAAGTACCTCACAACTCTCCCAACCGTGTCTCACCCTATTGTTCCTCTCCAAACCCATCCCGTGCCTGATGTGGTTTGGCTTGCCTCGCCTCACGCCGACGACCATTTTGTCCAAGCCATATCATTCCCTTCCATTGCCCTCCACTGAGCTTCAGTTCAGCCACCGTCCATTCTGCGTTTCCCTAGAATCCACGCCTGCTTCAGTTATCTCACTGGTACTCGTTACGCCGTTGTGTCTGCGCTGCCCCTGTGTCGCCACCGTCATTCAAGTACTTTCTCACTTTCAGGGATCCGCAGGTACATCTCTAGGGCGTTTCTTGCCGGGCCGTTTCTGGTTAGGCGAGGTTGCAGCAGAGGCATTCGTGCAGGCAGGATAAGTCCGTGCGATAATATATCGGTAAAAGAGAAAGTAAACCGTGTATTGTTGTCCAACGAGCCGTGCGCATCGCTCAACCATCTGATATCGGTTGCTCGTCAAATCCTCCCCATTTCCTGAAGGTGATTTTTTGAATCGACTAAATAATCACGCATCGCTCGACCAGCTGATATCGGTTCCACCCTCATCACATCCTCCCCAATTTTTCTCGCAACAATCCCCTCACGATCCATTCCGTTTGACCACCATCCCCTCTCTCTCTCCCACCCCTCGTTCCTCCCTGAACCTTCCTCACCATATATTTCTCCCTGGATTTCTCCAGTCGTCGTTTCCTGCCACCATGCTGCCGTCAGTCGCAGTCGCGCTGGTGCTGCTCGCCGCGTCAATCCCGGCGTCGGACGCGCAAGTGCGGCCCGGGTGCATCCGGAAGTACCAATGCCCGCGTCGCGGCAGCAATCAGTGCGGTCTCTATTACGTCTGCTCCGACTCTGCGAAACCCAAGCCGCCGTACACCCTGCAGCCGTGCGACACATGCTCGTTCAGAGACAAGTAAGTTTGCTCATGAGTCGTTTTTTTCCGCGACAAGGGATGCGTCGATTGGAATGCGCTAGGGTGCTGAGTAAGGGTTACGCTGTTGAGTCGATTAGGTTCGACCTGTGTAGAAAGTGCTGTCTGGTGAGTCGATAAGGTTCGACAAGTGTAGCAAGTGCCGTCTGCCCATTAGGCATTGTCAAACCTTGTCGTTGATTCTTCCTTTCCCTACTAGTCCCTTTCCCTACTAGTCCCTTTCCTATGATGGCTTCTGAGAACCATTCAAAAGCCCGATCGCGCCAATCCAAGCAGCCGACCATCCAACATCCCTTGGGACAGCGGCGCGTCAAAGCCACGAGTTTACTGTTCCCAAGGCCTTCATTTTTCCTTACCCTTCTCCTGTGTCTGTTTCCCTACGCCGGAAGGGGGAGCCGTTCGCCTCGGTGTGTCACCCCCGAGTCTGACGGGTGCCCCATAAATGGCTGTTCCGTCCCCTCTCTCGTCTCCCACCATCCCCTCCGTCACCGGGATCAGCCGGCACGCGCACCATGCTGTTTCTCTCGCATTGACAGCTTCAGCTTCGCCTCTCTTAACTCATCCGCTCTTCTTCCTTCTCCCCCCTTCGATCCCCTTCTCTTCCCGCTCCTCCTTCGCTCTCCCTCCGACCCGTCGCTTTGCCGTCTGTCTTTGTCGCAGCGTTAAAGCCTACGCTCAAGTGTGCAACTTCAAGACCGGCCGATGCGTGGTCAATGCTATCGTAAGTCTCCTCTAAACGCACACTAACTACATCCCTTGTACTGCACCTCACCTCACCGCATGATTCCCCACCTCACCGCATGATTCCCCACCTTACTGCATAATTCATCCCTTTTCACACCACCTCTGCTCCGTCTCGTGATCACATGCCCCTCGTCTCGCCTCACCCCACTGACTTCACCTCCAAATGTGTTTTTTAGAAGAAAGCCAGCAGCCATTCGCAGACAGCAGAGGCAGGCTCCGGCCTCATGTTATACCGCCGGTGTATGACTAAACTTTCTGCTTGATCCTTCATGTGTCGAACCTTGGTGTGCTGTGGTTGCAGGATGGCAAGCCTTGCACTGCAAATGCCCAATGCGGCAAGACGGGCGAGTTTACATGCCTGGAGAACAAGGGTAGCAAAACCAAGCCCAAGGCCAAGCGCTGCTGCAGGTGAGGTCCAGGACAGCCCATGGCGCTCCCCTGTCACTTCACATCGAATTTGTTATTTGTTTGTTTCAACACTCCATGCCCATGTACTCACTGCCGTCCAGGATTTGTCGTTGCTGTATATGTGGTTATTTAATATCCATCCTTCATTCCCCCCACAGGACCAAGTGCCCTCCTGGCTTGTGCGGTTACGGCAAGGCTCCCGCAACTTACGTCAATGCTTGTGGAACGAGGATCACCTGCCCCGGAGTTTGCCCAAAGAAGTGATTGCCCTAAGGCGTTGAGGAGACGCGTAGGTCAATATCAAACACTATGATAGCTATTGAACTATTTATTACCATTTGCGTTGTAATATTAAAGCTCACTGGGAAATACAGAACGTCAGGTGCTTTTGCAACGTGACGGCAGTTGCACCGTGCCACTATCGTATACAGGCTCCTGGATATTTGCGAAGCGAATCGCCATGGTTCCATGTTTCCTGGGGATTCTTGGGGACAAAATTGTGAGACAAACCGATTTGAGGACACCCCCGTGATTTTTACGACATTCAAGAATATGATTTCCATTCCGCCCAATGGCAAAAAGGTTGTTCCGACAGACCATAACTTTCGCACTCCACCTCCTCATTCCTGTATCTCCCACCTCTCCTAGACATACCTTGGCGTCGCCAACGAGAGGCAGATGATAAGTGTGCTGTAGTGATCGTTTCTCGCCTAGAGACTGCAGGCGTTTCGTGGTTCTTAAGTCTCTTTGACTTTGCTTGCGTACCCTATCTGCCTTCGACAATCAATAAAGAGGCCGACCTTCATATATCAGACACTAGTTTCCACAGGCACGTAGCTTGCTTGTTACTTGTATGCTGGTCCGAAGCAACTGCGTAGCTCCCGATACGCCTCCCCACAGCATACGTAGCTTCGGTAGGCAGCATGCAGTTAATCTCCGTAACGCGGCTCGGGTTGAAGCCTGTAGCATTCAGGCCTTCAGATGTCGATTTACCGGGATCAGTGGCAATCGATCGTTGGTGGAATCAGACGATCTCAACCGTCAGATCCCCACCATCTACGGCCCCCGTGCGATCGCGCGTATTCGCGCGCATCCAGATCGACCGCCGGAAGCACCTTGAGGAGCTCTTCCGCCGTCAGCTGGTGAGTAGATGCCATCAGTTGGTGAGTGACTGACGTCATTTGGTGAGTAGATGAACATCAGTTGGCGAGTAACTGACGTCAGCTGGTGAGTAGAGGACATCAGTTGGTGAATAACTGACGTCAGCTGGTGAGTAGATGACATCAGTTGGTGAGTAATTGACATCAGCTGGTGAGTAGATGACATCTGTTGGTGAGTAGTTGACGTCAGCTGGTGAGTAGATGCCATCAGTTGGTGAGTGATTGACGTCAGCTGGTGAGTAGATGCCATCAGTTGGTGGGTAATTGACGTCAGCTGGTGAGTAGATGACATCAGTTGGTGAGTATCTGACGTCAGCTGGTGAGTAGGCGACATCAGCTGGTGAGTATTTGACGTCAGCTGGTGAGTAGGCGACATCAGTTGGTGAGTATTTAATGTCAGTGGTGAGTGGCGACCCTCGCACAGCCAGGTATGATGACTGGAGTCCACCCCTTGGTTATGCCGGTGTTAACGTCTCTGCCGTTTCTTCCTCACTTCCCTTCTACACTCCTTTTTGGTCAACTTGTCGTTAGGAGGAGGAGAAGCGGCGTGCTGAGTCAGCAGTGACATGTCCTGTGGATTGCGTGAGGGAGGTGCGGACCATGGCTGATCTGGAAGCGGAGCTGCTTACAGCGGAGCAGAATAAGCAGCTGGTGAGTTTGGGGTGAGGAATGAAGGAATCCACGTATTAGAAAGTTCGAGCCATGTAGCTGCAGCCTGCAGCCTCTTCCCCTTGTTCGCGCTGGGCTGACTTTAACGGGTATATGGCCACGAATTGAAGAACTTGTTTGCCTGATGCAGGTGGTTGTGGATTTTTACAACTCCGCATGCGGCTCTTGTAAATACATTCTTCCCAAATTTATTGACCTCTGCAAATCGGTAAGAGCAAGTCACATGTCCATTTACTGGGATACACTACTTAAGCTCTGCTGCTTGGTCAGTTTGTCAAGATAGAGACCACTGAACGCCCCAGTGTCACACCCCTTCAGCATTGGCCTAGTACGGCTCCTGAGCCCCGGGGCATCCCCCTGGAATGTGGCTGAAGTGCCATTGTTTTGCCAACACTATCTAGACTGCCACCACAGCAGCCTGACTTACTCCTCTGTTTTTTAGATATAGGCTCTGCTGACCGCCACGTCGCATTGTTCCCCATTGCCACAATGTCTCACATGCTTGATCCCCGTCCTCGTTTCAGGGCTGTCAGGGTGACTCCGAGTGTGCTGTTGATTGGATGGCAGATGCAGCGGATAGGGTTACAGCTGATGGGGTTAGAGCCGAGGGTTCTACAGAGAATGTGGTTGGAGATAGTGCGGTCACTGGCAGTGTAGCAGCATCTTCTAGTGAGAACTCGTCCGCAGATGTTGATACGGAAACAATGCGGCATGAATTTTCAGCCGTTCGGTTCCTCAAGCACAACGTCCGAGACGACTATGATGATCTAACGGTATGTGCGTGGATGGTTGAATGCTGTGCCTCATTGTGCATCGGGCTTTCAGGGTGCAGTTGGTTGTTAACATTTTTATGGAGTTTGCTTCTTCTATGCCCGCCCTTCCTCCAGTTTTCCAACTTATTCCATACGACTGTCCCTTTCTCCCTCCCACCCACCCCTTTCAGGAGATTGCCCTGTTGTATCGAATCAAGCTGGTCCCAGCCTTCGCTTTCTTCAAGGCACGCAGCTGCTCCAGTGTCATGTCATGTGATTTTCAGTGTCATGTGTCATCTTTGACATGTCTGTCATACTCTTTGCATTACCCTATCCATTATTGTGCCCTTGCTCCCATGAATCCCCTCTCCCTTGAGTTTCTCCTCGTCCCCATTCGTCAGCAGAAGCTCTTCATTGTGTTTTATTTTGCCTTGTCCTGTTCTGTTCCGATCTTTCATGTATGTTCGCAGGACGGTTCTTGCATTGGCCAGGTTGCTACAAGAAACACCGGCAGGGTGGCAGCTGCACTAGCAACCCTGCTGGCAGGGCAGAAGCTGTGATGGTAGTGTGCGTGGTGGTTGCCACCAAGTGTGCTGACAGGCTGGAGGCTCCAGCTATAGGATGCGTGGCAGTGACACCTCAGTAGAAGGATACATGCAGCTGTCTATTTATCTATTGAACATGTGTCGTTGTACATATTGGGTGGTTAGGAGTGTACATAAGCTACGATTCGCAGTAGCTTCAAGCACTTCTAACAGTTCAGGCGTGTACATTCGAACGAAGACTGCAGGGTTTTGTGTGCTTTGCGGATGGTGAACCTGGGGGGTTTCGGCATTCCCGAGGTTTTCCGCCAGGCCCACCACAAACTCATTCTTTCACTCCATCTCTCCCTGTGCGCTCGGCCTCTCCTACTGTACGTCGCTTGCCTGCCTAGCACAACCCTGCCACCAGCCTGCCTGGAGATTAATCTCGAGTTTCTGTCAGAATTGAACATACGTGTTAGGCCGGCAACAGAACCTACGGTACGCCAATTCCTTGAAATTCGCGCGTGACGGCTTCCAGCCTGCTGTTGCTTGCTGCGAGTTCTGCTGTGGAAATCAGAAACCCTAGATTTACGTTTCGCGAACCCGGAGTCTACTATTGTTGATTAGTCAGCAAGCGGCAAGGAGTCAGGCATGGGGACGGAACGCAAGCGTAAGATCAGCCTCTTCGACGTCCCGCCAGAAACGAGCCGCCAGAAGGTGGACGGACTAACGGACGCGGCTGCAGCGGCGGCGGCTGTAATCGCGGCGGCAGCAGCGACGATTAACCCATATAATGGCCGGCCGTACACGCAGCGGTATTTTGATATTCTCGAAAAGCGGCGGACGCTGCCGGTGTGGCAGCAGAAGCAGGAGTTTGTGGAGCTCCTGAAGAAGCAGCAGATCATCGTGCTCGTGGGAGAGACGGGTAGCGGGAAGACCACACAGGTTAGTGGTCCTGGTGCTGGGTTTGGTGAGGGTATGGCCTCGAACCCTTGATTGTTCCTAGCTGCCGGTGTGGCAGCAGAAGCAGGAGTTTGTGGAGCTTCTGAAGAAGAAGCAGCAGATTATTGTTCTTGTCGGAGAGACGGGTAGCGGGAAGACCACGCAGGTTAGTCATTGGATTTTCGTCGGATGCGGTTTGGTATAGCCCTAGAACCCGTGAGTTTATGGAGCTCCTGACGAAGCAGCAGATCATCGTGCTCGTGGGAGAAACGGGTAGCGGGAAGACCACGCAGGTTAGTGGTCGGTGCTTGGTCTATGTTGTCATAGCATTTGCGGAATTGATGGTCTCATGAAGAAGCAGCAGATCATCGTGCTCGTGGGAGAGACCGGTAGCGGGAAGACCACGCAGGTTAGTTGTCGGTGTCTGGTAAAGATAGACGGGTAACGGGAAGACCCCGCAGGTTAGTGATCGTCTTGCTCGTGGAAGAGACGGGTAGCGGGAAGACCACGCAGGTTTGTGATTGCTATGGACTGCTTGGTATTATCTTAGAACTTGTGGCAACGGTGTGGCTTAAAAAAAAAAAAAAAAAAAAAAAAAAAAAAACCAGATTTCCCAATCTGTTGTCGAGTGCATGAGCGCGAGGCCCGAGAGGCAGATAGCGTTCGGGCCTTTGCGCTCATGCACTCGCAGGTGTCCTCTTTTTCCCGTCCTTTTTCCCGTCCTTTTTCCCGTCCTTTTTCCCGTCCTTTTCCCCGTCCTTTTTCCCGTCCTTTTTCCCGTCTCTCCAGATTCCCCAGTTCGTCGTCGAGTGCTTATTTCCGCCGCCAAGTAGCAGGCTGCGGTCTCTGCTGTTTAATTTTCGGCTCCTTGATATTATTTCTCCCCTTCACTCGTACTTAACCAGATCCCGCAATTCGTGGTGGAGTGCCTGAACGCGACGCCCATGAAGCAGGTGGCGTGCACGCAGCGGGGTTCAAGCCTTAACATTCTACTTCCCGTGCATCTTACTGTTGCAGATTCCCCAGTTTGTCGTGGAGTGCCTGAACGCGACCCCCAAGAAGCAGGTCGCGTGCACGCAGCCGCGGCGAGTGGCGGCGATGTCGGTGTCGCGGCGAGTGGCGGACGAGATGGATGTGACTATAGGGGAGGAGGTCGGCTACTCGATTCGATTCGAGGACTGCAGCGGACCCAAGACCAGCCTCAAGTGAGTTTAAGGCTCCCCAAATAACGCACCCAAGACGCGGACCCAAGACCAGCCTCAAGCGAGGTTTAAAAAAAAAACTGCGTCGTGTCATAGTAGTATGTCTTGTGCTAACGTTTTTTTCTTCGTGCTGCTCATCCTAACGCTGATGGGTAAGAATTCAGCGTTGAGTCATAGAATGTCGGGCGAGGCAAGGCCATCGGTACGACTTTTGAGTCCTACCTTCTTCCCCTCTTCTGTTTCTCCCTGAGTGTTTCGCGTTAACAACAGGTGTCTCACCGACGGTATGCTTCTGCGTGAGGCCATGGCGGAGCCTCTGCTCGTCCAAGCAGAGGCTCAAGGCAGTAATTCTGGACGAGGCCGTAATCCTGGACGAGGCCGTAATTCTGGACGAGGCTCACTAACGCACCCCTTCCTTCCCCCCCCCCCCCTCCACAACTCTCCAGGTACCTGACCGACGGTATGCTTCTACGTGAGGCCATGGCCGATCCTTTATTGGAACGTTACAAGGCCATCATCCTGGACGAGGCGCACGAGCGCACGCTGGCGACGGACGTGCTGTTTGGGCTGCTCAAGGCGGTGCTGGAGCACCGCAAAGACCTCAAGCTGGTGGTCATGAGCGCCACTCTCGAGGCGGAGAAGTTCCAAGGGTACTTCCATGGGGCGCCGCTCATGAAGGTTCCTGGAAGGCTGCATCCCGTCGAGATCTTCTACACGCAGGTAAGAGGCTTGGGGAGACGGGCCTCAGCCACTCACTGCGCCGTGAGGTCGGACGTGCTGTTTGGGCTGCTCAAGACGGTGCTGGAGCACCGTGAAGACCTCAAGCTGGTGGGCATGAGCGCTGGTGGTCACTGGAAGCGGAGAAGTTTCGGGGGTACTTCCATGGGGCGAAACGCATGAAAGTTTCCGGAAGGCTCCATCCATCCCGTTGGAATATTTTACACGCAGGTGAGGGTGGTTGAGGAGAGGGGCCTCACTCACTCTCGCACTGTCCGTCCTTACAGTGCGTGAGTGAGGACTGACATGCTGTTTGGCTGTTAGGCTGTTTGGCTGTTTGGCTGTTAGGGCGGCTCAATGCAATGCTGGAGCACTGGAAAGACTTGAATCTCGTCATTCGCCCCGTGGTGCAGATCCACATTTACGAGCCACCGAGCAATATTCAAGCCCCCTCCCTTTCCACCTCCCTCTCCCTTCCATTCCATCCCTCCCTTCCGCCTCACTCTCCCTTCCGTCTCACTCTCCCTTCCTTCCCACTCTCCCTTCCTTCCCACTCTCCCTTCCTTCCCACTCTCCCTTCCTTCCCACTCTTCCACCTCCCTCTTCTTCCCCCCTCCCACAGGAGCCAGAGCGGGACTACCTGGAAGCAGCCATCCACACAGTGGTCTCGATCCACATGTGCGAAGCACCGAGCAATATCCCCCTCTCCCTCCCTTCAGTCCCTCTCTCTTACACCCTCATCCCTCTCCCTCTCCCCTCCCCCCAAACACAGGAGCCAGAACGAGATTACCTGGAAGCCGCCATCCGCACGGTGGTACAGATCCACATGTGCGAGCCCCCCGGCGACATCCTCGTGTTCCTAACTGGAGAGGAGGAGATCGAGGACGCGTGCAAGAAGATTGCCCGCGAGGTGCAGAACCTGGGCGACCAGGTCGGACCCGTGAAGGTCGTGCCGCTCTACTCCACTCTGCCGCCCGCCATGCAGCAGAAAATCTTTGACGCCGCCCCGCCGCCCGTGAAGGAAAACGGCCCGCCCGGGCGGAAAATCGTCATTTCCACCAACATCGCAGAGACTTCCCTCACGATCGACGGTATCGTGTATGTCATCGACCCAGGGTTCTCCAAGCAGAAGGTCTACAACCCTCGGATCCGCGTCGAATCGCTCCTAGTCTCCCCGATTTCGAAAGCCTCGGCGCACCAGAGGGCCGGCCGCGCCGGCCGAACCCAACCCGGGAAGTGCTTTCGGCTATACACGGAACGGTCCTTCCAAAAAGACCTTCAGGAGCAAACCTACCCGGAAATCCTCCGGTCCAACCTTGCAAACGTCGTCCTGACCCTAAAAAAGCTCGGGATCGACGACCTGGTGCACTTTGACTTCATGGACCCACCTGCTCCGGAAACCCTAATGCGGGCGCTGGAGTTGTTGAACTACCTGGGGGCGCTGGACGACGAGGGGAATCTGACGAAGCTAGGGGAGCTCATGAGCGAGTTCCCGCTCGACCCGCAGCTGTCCAAGATGCTGGTGGTGTCGCCCGACTACAACTGCTCCAATGAGATACTCTCCGTCACTGCCATGCTCTCAGGTTGGTTTGCCCGTGCTGTGATGCTGGTTTATGCGTGCTGTCGGTTGTGTCTATGCTGTCAAAGACGCTGGTCGTGTCGCCCGGCTACAACTGCTCCAATGAGATCCTCTCCGTCACTGCCATGCCTCTCAGGTTGGCTGTGTGTTGCTTTCAGTTTGGCTGTGCGGCTGCTCCTCCTGTTTGACTTGAGACCATTCTGCCCCCTTCCCTCTCTGCAAGCAAGCAACCACGCTGCTCATTCTCATCCATCTGACTTCCAAATGCGCATTTTCTATTACCTTATCGTGAGGACGCCATATAACTGCAAATGTGCATTTCGATGAACCTATGCAAATGTGCTTTGGTTCTCTTTCTTCCCATGAGCCACGTTGGTTTTAGATTGCGGTTTATTGTTTCACTTTCCTAAATCTGTTGTCTCCTGTTGCTCTTGAAACCTTGAGCTGCAATCTAACCCTCCCACTTGCAGTGTGTTGCTTTTACTCTCTCTGGTTTTCCACTTCTGCTGCAGCAGGAGGATCGCCCCACATGCACTCTCCCTATAATCACCATCACCATCACCTTCCTAAACTCGACCTAATGACTCCTTTCGCTCCTGCGCTGCTGCTACTGCCTGTTCCTGCATGCTAACGCTGGGGCTGTTTCTACTGCCTGTCCCCGCCCTTCATCCTCCTTTCCTCCATCTCCGCCTCCTCCGCCTCCTCCTCCTCCGCCTCCTCCGCCTCCTCCGCCTACTCCTCCCCCTCCTCCACCTCCCTACCAACCTGGCGCTCTGCTGGCCTCTTTCAACCTCTTCCGACCGCTTTCCACCTTACGTACCACATCACCGCCTGTTCACACGCACACGCTCTGCTCCACTTGCTCCAGTGCCCAACTGCTTCATTCGGCCACGCGAGGCGCAGAAGCAGGCGGACGAGGCAAAGGCGCGATTCTCCCATGAGGATGGCGACCACCTCACGCTGCTCAACGTCTTCCATGCGTACAAGCAGAATGGTGAGCCTTCCCTCCCCCTCCCTTACGCTTCCATGCGTTCAAGCAGAACGGTGAGCCTTCCCTCCCCCTCCCTTGCGCTTCCATGCGTACAAGCAGGACGGTGAGTCACTTGAGGTGGGTGAGGTGATGCAAGGGACCCCCTCACGCCCTTGCAGAACGGGAAGTAAGCAGACAGGCAAGGTGGTGACAGACAAGGCACCAGACAGCGTGCAGTGGAGTCATTTTGACAGACAGACCCTCAAAACTCCCAAAACTGGCCCTCTTTGTTGGATCTCCTTCGGCGTGGGAAAGGGGGCCTGGTTTCCTCCTGGGATCTCCTTAAAGCCCAAAAAAAAAAAAAAAAAATGTTGGATCTCCTCCTCCCTGTACTCGCTGTGGGATCTCATTTTTGTCAATTCAGACACGCCAGTATCTGCTCAAGCTTCAAGGCATCAAACAGCATGCTGTCCGTCTTTCATGCACTCCCCTACCACCAGGCGAGGACCCCAACTGGTGCTACGATAACTTTGTGAATGCCAGGGCGCTGAAGGCAGCGGACAACGTGCGCAACCAGCTGGTGCGCATCATGATGCGCTACGCGCTCAAGATGTGCTCCACGCCGTTTGAGTCGGCCGCCTACTACCCCAACATCCGCAAGGCGCTACTCTCAGGCTTCTTCATGCAGGTAGGTGCGAGCCAGAGAGTATGGGCATGCGGTGTGTGGGTATGTGCATGTGAGTGACTTGCTACCCCAACATCCGCAAGGCGCTGCTCTCAGGCTTCTTCATGCAGGTAGGTGCGAGCCAGAGAGAGGAGGAGAATGTGTGTCTGTGTGTGGGAATGAGGAGTGGGAGAGGAGCAGCCTACTACCCCAACATCCGCAAGGCGCTGCTGTCCCACCCCCCCCTCTCTTCCGCAAGGCAACATCCGCTGCCCCACCCCCCCCTCTCTTCCTCTCCGCTGCCCCCCATGCACCCCTCTCCACTGCCCCCCCCCAGGTGGCGCATCTAGAGAGGACGGGGCATTACCTGACAGTCAAGGACAATCAGGTAGGGCACTCTGCCACTCGTTGTCAGCACTGCCTTAGTGAGCAGTACCTTGATGAACAGTATCCTAATGAGCAGCACCCTGATGGACAGTACCTTGATGAACAGTACCTTGATAAACAGTACCCTAATGAGTAGTACCTTGATGAAAAGGACCCTAATGAACAGTACTTTGATGAACAGTACCTTAATGGACAGTACTTAGTGAACACTACTTAGTGACTATTGTGACAGTCTTCTGTAGGCATGTCTACTGTTGTTTCCACACCACCCCCCCCCCCCCCCCCCAAACCCCCCTCACACAAGTTTGTGCTCTCACCACCACTCTCAATTGCTTATGGAATATGTGCTCCCTCGTGCCCCCCCCCACTCTCCCCCCACCTTCCTGCAGATTGTGCACCTGCACCCGTCCACGGGGCTGTCGCACAAGCCAGAGTGGGTCATCTACAACGAGTTTGTGCTCACCACAAGGAACTTTATCCGCGTCGTCACAGATGTCAAGGGCGAGTGGTATGTGTGTGGTGATAGGGGTTATTGGTGTGCGGAATAGGAAGAGGGATGCTGATATGCTATTACTAGGACTTGGTGCTTATCAAGAAAGCCAACTTCATTCGCGTCGTGACAGACGTCAAGGGCGAGTGGTACGTGGTTCGTGAGGGTTCTTTCATTCCGCGAGAGTAAGGGAGCCCACCTATGTTGTTCAGTGCGATGTCATTAGAGTGGGTCCTGAACCAGTTTGTGTTCACAACTCCCAGTGTGTCGTCATCACGACAAGGAAGCTGGATGTAGCTCCTCCCGAATTGATACAGCTTGACCAACCTCCGTTGAGGCGCCTAAACGATCGACTCATCACATGCAGGTCCATTGTGTCAGGCAAAACTCTATCCCCCCAACCCACGCCCCCCTCCCCCCCCTCTTCCCCTCTTTCCCTATTCTCTACTCGCCAGGCCGCTGCACATCGCCCCTCGCTACTACCACCTGGTGACGTTTGAGTCGACTCAAAAGCCACCTCACTACTACCACCTGGTGACTTTTGAGTCGACTCAAAAGCCACCTCACTACTACCACCTGGTGACTTTTGAGTCGACTCAAAAGCCACCTCACTACTACCACCTGGTGACTTTTGAGTCGACTCAAAAGCCACCTCACTACTACCATCTGGTGACTTTTGAGTCGACCCAAAAGCCACCTCACTACTACCACCTGGTGGCTTTTGAGTCGACTCAAAAGCCACCTCACTACTACCACCTGGTGACTTTTGAGTCGACTCAAAAGCCACCTCACTACTACCACCTGGTGACTTTTGAGTCGGCTCAAAAGCCACCTCACTACTACCATCTGGTGACTTTTGAGTCGACCCAAAAGCCACCTCACTACTACCACCTGGTGGCTTTTGAGTCGACTCAAAAGCCACCTCACTACTACCACCTGGTGACTTTCGAGTCGGCTCAAAAGCCACCTCACTACTACCACCTGGTGACTTTTGAGTCGACTCAAAAGCCACCTCACTACTACCATCTGGTGACTTTTGAGTCGACCCAAAAGCCACCTCACTACTACCACCCGGTGGCTTTTGAGTCGTCGACTCAAAAGCCACCTCACTACTACGACCTCGCTAACTTTCCCCAGTGCTAGGCTCAGCTTGTTCTCTTCTCTCTCATCCCCCTCCCCCCCCCCCCCCCCCCCTCTTCCCCTCTTTCCCCATTCTCTCCCCCCCAGGCTGCTGGACATCGCCCCTCACTACTACGACCTTGCTAACTTTCCCCAGTGCGAGGCGCGGCGGGTGCTTGAGCGGATTGTGCTCGTGCGCAACCGGGACAGAGTCGAGGCGGCTAAAAAGGGAGATAACTAGTCCTGGCAATACATTCAAAGAAAATAACTCTTTTCCGCCTTATGGCACGGCAAAATGGTGGGTGGGATTTGGCAGGAAGTTGTTTCATCTGTGCAACAGAAGCGAATGCATGTGTGTAGGGGAATGCTGCGTTTCACTACACAAATGCCATGTGTTTGTTTGGAAATAGTGTTGCTGACATGATACGCTCCACACTAGAGGTGCCGGTGTGCAAGGAAATTTTGCAAGGTCTTCTACTATACCAATACCAGGGACCTGAACAGGCAATTTGTTGCCATTACTTCATATATAAATTACACATCTATGCCTTGCATTGGCTGCACAACAAGCTGGGATCTAACCACATGGAGACCGTCACTCCAAGTTATGCTACCAGAGGAAAACCGTATTCTAGCTATTGTTGGGGTTATCCATACCGAGTACCAAACGCTTTGGTTTGGATATATATTAAACTGAGAAGGAACCACTTTTACCTGCGTACCATCCGGCACTTCGAGTGAGCAGGTGTACTTTGCAGCTCGTAACGCCACGTTGGTAACCCGCCTGGTAACCTGAACCGTTTTGTTCAGCCGCGCGATGACGATATTCGGCTGGTTGAGCATGTACGGCTTCACGGGCTCCGGCTTTATCGGGCGAAAAATCCCCCTCGTCAGCCCGAAGCGAAGACCCGCGAGGAAATTGATATACCCCTCGATTCCGACGTCGTAGACCAATCCCGGGCTTAGGACTCGAGAGGGTACTATATGGCCCGATCCGAACACCCATGGATTCGCGTCGACCCACGTTGACATTTGAATCGGCTGTCCCCACGCGTCTTTGACTCGCGCCGTGGTCATCAGTGCGGATTTCACGGCGGCCGGCGTCCAATCAGGGTGCTTCTGCATCACCATCGCTGCTATCCCAGCCACACACGCAGACGAGATCGACGTCCCAGATTGCATCGAGAACCCCGGGGAGTTCCCGTACGCAGCAGCAGCCAAAATAGTAAGCCCGGGAGCGACTAAATCGGGCTTTAAGACGTCATTGGTGACGGTGGGGAGAGGCCGGTATGGCCGACCGGGACGATAGGGGGGTCCAGAGGAGGAGAAATACGCCATGACGGGCGACCTCACGTTTCTTGGCTGCTCCAAAACGAGATGGGAGAGAGTAGCAGTGGGACTTGCTGTCTGAGCGATGTAGCTCTTTATAAGGACACCCTTGGGATACCCGAAGGAAATCACCGGGAAGTTCCCGCTCACGCTGCGCACGCTCTCATTGATGTTCCTTGGGATCAGCACCATGCCTCTGCCGCCCGCGTCCTGCACTGTCCGGGCTTTAACCTCCGGACTGACCCCTCCGATGTTGCACACCACCAGTGCGCCGCCCACTTTGTCCCTGTCGATCTTTCCCGGGCGGCACTGCCGCGCCTCCCAGAAGGCGGCGCCTTTGGCCCGCACTTCCTCGGAGTCGATGAGGGAGAGGTTGGCGGTTAAGACGCCGTCGCCGCCGGTTTGGGTGAGGCCAAAGAGAACTGTGCCGTTGCCAAGGGTTAGGGTGGCGCTCCACTCACGATCGATGGAACTGAGGAGGGGTGGGGGGGGGGGGGGACGGGGAGAGGGGGGGGGGTGGGGAGAGAAAACACCGGTTTGGGTGAGGCCGAAGAGAACAGTGCTGTTGCTGATGAGTTGCAGTTCCGTTTATCAATCCTCTCATGATCAATGGAACTGGGGAGAGGACAGTCAGGCGAGAAAGTACTCTTGAAGACACCGAGAGAGTGGATGGCCCAAAAGTGACCTGCTCTTTCAGCCCCTCTCCTCTCCCCCCAAAGTGACAGAGAACATTCGTTTTAATGTCGCACCTGGCGCCCACTGTGAGTATATAGGGAGCAACATTCGTTAGAGTGCGCTCTCGCTTACCTGCTAGCCCCCCCCTTGGTGCCTGACTCACCTTGGCCCGCCCGACTGTGAATATATAGGGAGCAACAACATTCGTTAAGAGAGCCTCACCTGGCGCCCACTGTGAGTATGTAGGGAGCAACATTCGTTAGAGTGCGCCAGTAGGTGGGGGTTGGGGGAGGCCCGTTGTTGCCAGCTGGCGCCACCACCAACACACCCGCCTGCAGACAGAGAGAGGGAGAGGAGAAAGAGTTGAAGAATTTTATACACACACACATATATATGTGCCTATATGTTATACATAAACATACATACAACCATATTTATCTATGAAAAACACTCACCTGAACGGCCTGTAACAAAACGATGGAGTTAAGAAGTAACATCAGTCCCACTCACAGTGAGCGACAGCACGTCTACACTGTCCTTCACTGCATACATAAAGACAACCAAATTATAATTATATATAAGGAGTTACACACCTGAACGGCCCGTAACAGGAAGATCGAGTTGAAGTAATTATCATCGGTCCCCCCGACAGCGAGCGACAGCACATCTACACCGTCCTTCACCGCATCCTCCACAGCAGCCATGACGTCAGCGAGGCTGCTCATGCCGCCCCAAATCGCCTTGTACACCGCGACGCGCGCGCGCGGAGCGACCCCGCTCATGGAACCGAGATTGGCGTAGTTCACATTCACGCCCGCGTTGCCTGCTGCCACACTGGCGGGGGGAGAAATGGGGGGCGCGGGCGGGAGGGGAAAAGTGGGGAGGGGGGGGGGGAAACGGGGGGACGGAGGGGGGAAAACGGGGAGACGGGAAGGTGAAGGTTGAGTGGGTGGATGCTGCTCATGCCGCCCCAAATCGCCTTGTAGTAAATCACGATGCGCGCCCTCGCGGGCCACGCCGTTGAGGGAACCCAAACGAGATGCCCTCGTGATGACTTTTGAGTCGACCTCAAAGGTCACCCCTCGTTACAACGAGATGCGTGGTTGACTTTGACGCCCGCGCTTCCTGCTGCCACGCTGATTTGGAAACATTGGGGAGGGTCGTGTGAGGGAGGAGGGGCGGGAAGAGGGGAGGGAAGAGGGGAGGGAAGAGCGGCAGGAGGAGGGGCGGGGATGGTGGGGGAAGTGAAGGAGAGGGAGGGAAGGCGGTTAGGTTCGGTAGACGGATGGGTGGACGGACCCAGCGCAGAATTGACCGCGCCCCATGCGCCATTGACGCATGCCTGATTCCCCAATGCCCCCTCCGCTTAGTCCCGTTGCCCCCCTTCTCTCTCGCATCCCACGCAAAACGCGCCGGGCCCCCATGGCCTCTACAAGTGTCCCGAACGCCCCATAGCCCATTCGATGACCCGGCTCCGGCTCCGCGCCGGCGCCTTGTACTCTCCTTTCGGCATGGCCCCCGCGCCGTACTCCCGCGGAAATCCAAGCCCATGCCTCACAGCCCGGTGCCCAACGCCCCATTTCCCGTGCTCCGTGCCCCCCGTCCGAGTCACAGCACTCACCCGGCGCAGAACGTGCCGTGCCCCATGCCGTCGCGCGGCGACATGTACTCCCCCTTGGGCATCGCCGCCGCGCCGTACTCCTGCAGAAACCCCTCCATATAGTACCGCGCTCCGACGATCTTATTGTTACACCCGTTAAAGTCACGCGTTACGTTGCACACCCCGCGCCACCCCGGCAGAAGCTGCGAGCCAGAATACCCGCGACCGGAAAACGACGGGTGCTGCGGCCATATCCCCGAGTCGACGAATCCGATCACCGTGTTCTCGCCGGCGTATCTCGCGCCGCCAAACGCGGCCCACGTGGTCCGGGGCAGCTGCAGGAACTCCGGGACGTGCGTCGTCATTGGTCGAAGAGATCGCGCCCGTGAAATGCGGTGCACGCTAGGGTGCCGCTTTAAGAGCCGGACCTGGTCTGACGTAAGACGCGCCGCGAACGCATTTGCGACATAGTGGTAGCTATAAATTAGGTCCGAGCCGCTTAATCCGACGGCTGCTAGAGTCTCCTCGTGCGTCGATCTAAGATGCTGCGCATAAGCTTTAACGTGAGCGGACGATGCATCCGGTCGAGACGCCTTAGCTCTTGACCTACTGCGGCTGCTGCTGCTGCTGCTCCCCCCGCCACTATCTTTTAAATCCCGACGAATGCTGCCGCCCATTAGCCCACCGGCTCGTAACCGCCGCTCGAGTCGTCTCTCGCGTAACCGCTCTCCTTGTAGCCCTTCGCCTTGTAACCGTCTTTCGTGTGGTTGATGCTCCGAATGTCCCGATTGTGCGTGTCTCGCTTCTAGCTCGTGTTCTCCCGCCTGTCGCAACCGCCTTCTGTCCCGCGAACCCTCTCTTCGCGAAACTCCTCCTGGTAACCGCTGTTCTTGTAACCGTTCCTCTTTTAACGGCTCCTCTTGTAACCGTCTTTCGTCAACCTGCATCGCCGAAATCGCTTCGTCATCCCTCCCCCTCCCGTTCCGCCCCTTCCTATCCTTGATAGTGTCCCCAACCGACTTATCTCCCCCCTCTTTGTAAGAATCCCGTCTCTCCCCACCATCGCTACCGTCACTATTTCTATAATCACCGTAATAATCCCGATAGTCGTAATCGCCGGCCTCCCCTCGTCTGCTTCTTTCGTTTCGCAACCCTACACTCTCTTCCTCCGCCGTCTCCCCCTCTTCCTCCTCCTCATCATCCTCCTCTGTAGCGGCGGCTGTAGCCGTCGCCTGTAGCCCGTCCACGCCGCCGTGATAGCTTATCACGGGCGGCAGCGCCTTCATATACACCGTGTAGAGCTGCCGGCTGTAGCTGCTAGATCCTAGCGACACGTGGCGGGAAATAGAGGAGGAGGAGGCGGAGGAGGAAGAGGAAGACTGTGATTCTACCGGTTGTGATTCTGTGTTCGTGAGGGTTACATGGGCCGCTATAGCGAGCAGCGTCATCAGCAGCGGCAAAAGAGCCGTTTGGAAGTTTCGCGCCATGGTTCAAACTGCGCCCCCAAGCTGCAATTTATCCCCGAGATTGCGGAGTGCGCTTTTGAGTCACCCTACAAGTCACCTCGATACCGTGTGCTGTGCCGTAGGCAGGCAAGGCAGGCAAAACCCCCACGCCTGGATCGTCGAGGAAGCAGGACCACTCGAGGCGCCTATCTAGTTCGAATCGAAACGTCAGCAGGTCAACTCTCGAGGCGCCTCAATTGTTGATCGCACTGTGTCTGGGACCGCGATAGGAGCGAGAACCTAGACTGAGGACCGGAAACTGCGACGAAGGCTAGTCTAGTCGACCAAGATGACTTTCGCATCGACTCTGAAGTCTCATCCGCCCCCTTTCCGGAAAAAAAAGGTTACAGTAAATGAGACGGAAGGCGCAGGCGGAGCAGCCAGGCAAACTTGTTTCACGATTGCATTGACTGGAAACCCTAAACACCCACCTAGCGCAGGCATCTGTGCTTGGTTTCGAACGAGAACAGCGGCTCGGAAACGGAGGAGGGGGGTCACAGCTTGCCCTCGGCAATCAATCAACCCATGCCTAATCATGTCGCCATGGAAAATGGCGAGGTTGGACTGCTGCCGACGAAAACTTCTCGGGAATTGCATGCCACTGGAAGTGCAGGGATGATTGAGCATGCATGCAACCATCTACACTGTGCTGGATGTCGATCTCCTTCCCTTCCGTTACCCGTGACCCGTCCCGTGGCCCCAGACCCGGAGCATGCATGGGATGGGATCATGGGACCATCTAGCGTTCTTGGGTTGACCTAGCTCTTTCACTTGTGCGTGTGTTCCTTGCAGCTGCTGCTCCCTCCCTATTGTTGCACCGTGCAACGCCGAACAAATTTCCAGCTAAACTGTACAGTTTCCCTAGACAAGAGTTCGGGGAAATATAGTTCGGTGATGATCGGTGATTTGATGGGTGGTGGGGAGCGGGGCTGGCTGGAGGGAAGTGAGCCGAAGCGCTGTGGTGCCAGAGGGGAGCTCCTGATGCGGGCAGGCTATCAGGTGACTGCGTGAACGAGTCGCTGTTGCCATTTGAATGTGCACATGTGCATATTTCCTCTCTGTGACAGGATGCTGTGCCAAACCAGACATGTGCCGGACCACGGGCTGAGGTTCGGGACGCTGTGTGTGCACGAAAGTCGAGGTTCGAGAAGCTTCTTGGCTTCGGTTCACACCTGACAAGTATCGTGGATGACCGCCGCGTGCGGCGACTGAGTCGCATACATTTTCCGTCAACGTTATTTCGTCGCAGACGCCACATGCGGTTCGGGCTTGCCTGTTCAGATTTCTGTTCGTTACCGTTTCGTTTCGTGTGTGTCACTCGCCAGACCAGCAAGGACTTAGGCCGCGCGGGCTTAGCGATATGTCGGTGCCGTGTGCGAACAAATGCGAGCGCGACGATGTTTGGTTCTGGGATCTGTCCGCACAACCGCCACCAACATCTTTGGAATGCACGTGGCAGAATGATAGCGGCTAGAGTCAAGCATCTCAGAGCACGACTTGGCCAACACGAAGATTACCAAGTCGGAGCGCGTTGGTTTGCAGGCACCATTAGTAAACTCGCTTCAAGGGAGCTACAATTACAATCAGGAGCCCCTGTTCTGAGTGAACGGACTTATATTATGTTAGCAACATCATAATCAAGTTCAAAGGTAAGTCAAATAGTCAGGAGGTAAGATACCTGTGACCTTGGGGGTTTCAAGTCACATACGGTTATCAGTTGTCCTCACGGATGCACAAGATAGTGCAATAAGGACGGGGTCATTACCTTAGTTCAGTTGGGCCCCGCCAACCACGTACCATTCCTCACACATGTCCCCGCAGCAGCCATGTACACAAAGTCCACCCTCCGCGTCACCCAGCTTGTAGACAGAAAGAACCTCGGATGGCTTTCAGCTAAGTATTGTTGTTTCCCCGCTCTCATGGATTCTGGTACCCACTCCCAAGGAACTTTGATGGCAGCACAAGATCAAACGGCCAGGAGAGCATCTCGCCAAACCGTAGATCCTGCTGATGGCCCTCCCACAACCCACTCGGACTCCCCCCACCCTCCTCCTCCCCACTTTCACCACCCCTACCTATTCCACTCCCGCCTCCTCCACTGTTCCCCCCAATATTTCCCCCTTCCCCCTGACTGTTCCCCCCTGACGAGCTCAACCCTCCTCCCCCTCCCCCCCCTTCTCCACTCCCACCGGTGCTACTCCCCCCTCCCCATGCTTTCTCCCCCCCAGCTGCTGCTGATCTCCCCCTCCCAGCCCTCCCAGCCATCCACCTCTTCACTTTCGCCAGCTCCTCTCTGCTCCGCGCCGCCTCTCTCTCCCTCGCCTTAGCTGCAGCTCTTGCTTCCCTCGCCTCATCTCTCAACGCCTCCACCTCCTCAGCCAGCTGTATCAGCGTCTTCTGTTTCGCCTCCGCAAACGCTGCTGATTCCTCCGCGTGTCTCTTATCACCGTGTGCCGCGTGCACAACCCTCATACTTAGCTTTTCCGTTCGAGCTTTCGCCGCACGTAGCTGAAGCGTCATCTCCTCGTGCCGAGCCTCCAGGTCCGCCATCCGAGCCTCAGCTTCGGTCGCCCGAACCTCAGCTTCTGCTGCCCGAGCCTCAGCTTTAGCAACCTGACCAGCATCACTCCCTGAAGACCTGAACAGTCGAGCCTCGGCCTCCGCTTTTGACAATCGAGCCTCAGCTTCAGCTCTGGCTGCCCTAGCCGTAGCGTCGGTGGTTCGGCGCTCAGCCTCGGAAATAGCTTCACGGGCAGCTTCGGCATTGGCTTGGGCAGCAGCAGCTTCGGATTGAGACCTCTCAAGGTCGCTTTCCAGCCTTGCTGCCTTCTCCTCTGTGCGTCGCACTCTCTCCTCCATCACCCACAACTCCCTCTCCAGGAACTCGATCCGCGATCGCAACTGCACCCGCTCCGCTTCAGCTGCTGCTGCTGCTGCTTCGGCTCGTGCAGCCTCGGCAGCTCCCGAAGCAGCTGCCTTGGCGGTCTCCTCTGCCTGCTTCCGCACCTGAGCCTCCAAGCCAGGTTTGGCTGGGCTACTGAGAGGAGTAATCTCCGGTGCCCCTGCCCCTGTCCCTGCTGCTTTCCGTCGCAGGTCCTCCAGCTCGCGCTTGATCTGCGACGCCTCCTCCTCTTGCTTCACCAGCATCGTCTGCAGGAAGCGCACCAGAGTCTTCAGCCCGCGATTCTCCTTACTGAGTTGCTCTATAAGGGGGGTGCTACTGGTCCCTTCCACCGCCCCGCCGCCCTGCTCCCACTTGCTCTTCTGCTCACTCCCCCCTCCTAATCCCCCTCCTCCGCCGCCCACCCCTCCTTTTCCTTCCGCTGCCCCTCCTAACCCACCGCCACTGCTCCCGGAAAGGTACTCTGGGCACCAAATGAGGCTGCCACCGCTGCTGTTGCCACTGCTACTATTCCCACTGCTGCTGGTGCTGCTGCTGCCCATGCTACCGTGAGTGATGATGCTGCTGCCGCTGCTCGCGCTACAGCCGCTCAGCACGCTGCTGTTACTTCCTCGGATCCCAATCGTCCGCTCCAGCGGCCGGCACGCCAACTCCAGCAAACTACGAGATACACCTTCCCCAGGGGAAATTACCCTGGAAATTCCGGCCTCGTATGCACCCGCTGGGGAGTATCCTGACCCAGCTAGACCAGCAACCTTGTGGCCGCAAGGGGAACTTACGGTACTACCCATCCTATATGTATATCCCCCATCTTCCGCCCTCTCCCCTCCGCCCTGTCTTCCCTTCTCCGCCTCCCTCCTCTCCCTTTCCCCCAAAATGCTCCGCAGAGCACTTTCTTCCGCTCGTCTCCGCCCCTCCTCCGCCTTCCGCCGCCCCTCTTCCGCCTGCAGCCTCCCCTCCTCCGCCGCTTTCTTCCCCCCCTCCGCCACCTCCTTCGCTGACTCAGCAGCCTCTCTCGCTGACTCAGCGGCGTCTCTTGCTGACTGGGCCGCTGCAACTGCTGCTTCGGCCGTCACTTTATCCGCGTTAAGAGCCTCTATCCGCGCCTCCGCTTCTTTGAGAGACCCTCGCAGCCGCTCGTTCTCCTGCCGCAGCAGCATGAGGAGAGAATCCATGGGACGCCCACTTCCCCCAGAAGAACCTCCCCCAGTTACCCCTTCACCCCCACCCCCGCCACCTGCCGTAGGGCTTCCCACCTCCGAGCCTATGCCCGAACCGACGCCGGGGCTCCGGAGGCTACCGAGCCTGGTTGCTCCGGGCCGAGCCAGCCTGGGGGAGGCGCTGCTAGCCGGGCTACTACTGTCGCCGCCGAACCCGCCGCAGCTGCAGACGTCACCCCCCTTTCTCTCCGCCCCGCCGCCCTGCGTTTTCACCTGCGACTCGGCTTGCCTTTGCCAGTGCCTGATCTCCCTGCAAGCCAGCTCCAGGTCTCTCCTCATCTGTTCGTTTCTCCTGGCGACTGCCGCCAGCTCCGCTTTCAGCGCCTGCGCCGCCTCCCCTTCCGCCGCCGTCCCTCCGCCACTGCTCTCCCCAACTCCGCTGCTCCTTGCGCCGCCTCCGCCTCCGCGCGACAGCACCGCCGCGTCCAGCCGCTTCTGCAGCCCCTCGTTCCTCCCCTTCGCTTCCGCCAGCTCCCCCAAAAGCTCCGCGTTCTCCTCCCGAGCTTCCGCCAGCTCTTTCTGAAGTTGCGCGCCTTTGGTGGCTAGCGCGCGAACCTGCTCCCGCTGCTCCGCGCATTCCTCCAGCGCTTTCCGCAGCTCCTCCTGCGCCGCATGCGCCGCCTCCTCCAGCTCCCGGAGTTCCGCGTTTGCGCCAGCCAGCTGGCGCGCCTCCCCGCGCAGCCTGCCGTTCTCCAGCGCCAAGTCCGCCGCGCGCTCCTGCTCCTTCACCAGCCGCGCGCGCATCTCCTCCGCACTTGCGCGCAACTCCGCCAACTGCGCATTAGCGGCTTTGAAACCCTCCTCCGCCTTCCGCCTCTCCGCCTCCGCTGCGCGCAGCCCGTCTTCCAGTTCGCGGCTTTCCGCCAGGGCAGAACCCAACCTTTCCCGGGACAGCTCCGCACCCCCACGGAGGGCGTCGTTCTCCGCGCGGAGCATCCGCGCATCGTCTTGCGCCGATTGCAGCTGCGCCTGCCATTGCTCCCGCTGCTGGCGCATCTCCGCCTGCCACCGCTCCTGAAGCTCCCGCTCCTGCGCCTCCAGGTGCGCTTTCCGCCGAGCTTCATTCTCCCGCCGCTCCGCCTCCAAATCCCGCCGTTGCGCCTCCAGCTCCCGCTGCTGCCCCTCAAGCTTACCCTCGAGCTCCCGCACGTCCTCCCAGGCGGACTGCAGCCCCCGGCGGAATTCCGCGCACTCGTCTTGCGCCGCGCCCGCTTCGTTCTGCGCGCGGCGGAGCTGCTCCTGAAGATCCTCCACTATCAAGTCGACCCTTACCGCTTCCTTCGCCGCGATGCGCGTCTGCTCCATTGCTGACGCCACAGTAGAAGAACCCGAGGGAGACACTAACGAGGAGGGAGTCCCTGGCCGTTGCTCCGATTTAAGAATCCCGCTGTTGCTTATCGTCCGTCGATGATAATCAAGACCGCCTTTCCCATAATCATCAGCAGCTTCACTCACCAATGAGCTACTTGACCTCTCTACGATATCCCGTTCCAGGTCCTTCCACTTCACCTGCCGATTAACTCTCCCCTTATCGCTTAAATATGATGTCGTTTTGTCGTTTAGCAGCGCCGGAAGAACCTCCTGGTGAATCACACTCGATAGAAGATGCACCGACGCACTCGTCTGCGTCCGCAGCGGTAGCGATGCAGCGTCGCTCAACCTGTCGTTTATCCTGTCGCCTAACCTGTCGCCTAACCTGTCGCCTCCTGACCTGTCGCCCAGACTTTCACCAACACGTGCCGCTCCTCCTGATCGAGGCGTAAGAGGCCTGCTTCCGTATGAATCGCCTAACCTGTCGCCCAGCCTGTCGCCTAATCTGTCGCCGTACCTGTCGCTCAACCTGTCGCTCAGTCGATCGGAATCGTCGCCGGACGAAAAGCTAGCGGCTGGATTTGGCGTGAACGACTGCGATCGCGAGATCTGGTTCGCTGATGCCCAGTGCTGGCTTCTAAGGCGCTCGAGGATGCCGTTTATGTCGTCCTCGTGCATCGGCTCGTCGTCTTCATCCAACGGCCGACAGCCGCTGGATGCGGAAGATCCTGACCGTCGCATGGTGACTGAAGGACTCTACAAAAGGGTGGTATAGAAGGAACGGCGCTAGGACTGTCAAATATGCGCTAGGGAAAGCCAGGGACTAATACAGGATACGCCGCCAGGTGCAAGAAATTGCATGTCGCGTAATATGCAGCAATATGAACACATTTCAGCTAACTCGGACGTAAGATAATGACTGCTACTACGCTTCAGACCGGGAAGCGTTGCGTACACTAGATACGGAGGAACAAATGCCAAAGCCGGACTGAGGTCTAGGAGGGAAGCTAGAACAGAGACTTAGAACAGAGGGAAGCGAAACCAAACCAGACGTCCCAGACAGGGTATTTGTGGTGTGGGTGGACAGTGGAACGGCTTGGCCGTGGCCTGGACGTGTTGGCAGGATGGCTGGAGGATTCCGAGACGGACAGAGATGGACGGAGACGGAGAGTTGTTCACGAGGGTTTCAGAACTCGAAGCTTACTTACTGCTGAACAATATTTCAAAAGCTGCAAAATGCAAAGCAACCTCACTCGACCGCACTGACAAACGGAAGAGAACTCCTGTGACTGGCCTTCAGGGGTGAATGGTGGAACTCTGAGAACTTGGAATTCCCAAGGCCAAGCCAAAGGGGTGCCCCTTTGATGAGAAGCGGAAAGGGGGGAAAGGGGCGGGGGGTAGTGGCGGAGGTGGACCAAGAGGATTGATATTCTCGACGTCCTTCCAACGAGCCAAACTGAAAATTTGGCGGAATATGAGGGGCCAACCGAAGCGCACTGCAAGTGTGGCGCGCAGCTTCGCTGGAGAGATAAGGGTATGATTTGTGATTTGATTGGCTGAGTGACTGACACTCCTAGCCACGACTCGACTCTCCCGCTTTCGCAAAATTGCGGCGAACAAGGGCGAACGACCGTGCTGTCGCTGACGGGTTGAAGTGTGACGGTTGACCGTCTGGCAGCAATGTGACTAACGACCCCGACGCAGCCAACTCGCCACGTGGCAGCCCCCTTGGTGTGTGGCTGGTTCACATCCGCCATTCAGGCTTCCCCCAGATGCTGTAGGTAGAACAAAATGCTGTAAAGTACAAAATCATCTATGTCATATGTTCCAAGTGTGCCACTTCGTACAAATTCGTACAAGCAACCCTAGGTGAACTATTAACAAGGACCGCCACACTATTATCACAGTTGTTTGTACCTATCATTGGGTCACAGCAACGAACCACACCACGTCCCATCAGCTAACTACCCTTCCCCACAATACCCTTCCAGCATTGCATCCACATTGAGTACCAAATTAGCGTTAGCATTAGTCAAACTCAACAAGGTGTTGAGAGAGTTGCTTAGTTAATCCCCAACATCTAAAACTACCTAGAGGTTAGCTCAGCCCGCCACCCCAATCCAACTAGGCACCAAATAAATATCCCGTCCCACTCGAACCCACATGGGTTCTCAATCTTAAACTGAACCGAGGGACCAGCAGCACAGAAACTTGGTGACATCGCACAAACAGTTGCACAGCACCACACTCCACACCTCATGCCCCCCCCCCCCCCCCCCCTATCCCCCTCCCCCTTCCCCCTTTTTCCCCTTTTCCCCCCCATACCATGCTTCTTCCCAATGGGATGCACCGCCACCAGCACGCTCCGCATCACATGCGCCCCATCCGTCCTCTCTGCTACCCCCACCCTCCAACTCACACCTAAGTCGTTCCTCAAGGCCCGGCCCCTCATCACTGCTCCGCAATAGGTTGAACTGCCACTACGCTCCGCACCTCATGCACCCCGTCCTTCCACTGATGCTTCTGAAGGTACTATTGGTCTGCCTGGCCTTGACCGTCACATTGTATGGCGCGCACTGTCCCTCCCCTCTCCCCCACCCCCCACGCCACGCGCTGCCCCCATCTCACCCCCCCGCGCTGCCCCCATCTCACCCCCCCGCGCTGCCCGCCCGCACTACTTCTTCTCGATGGGTTGCACCGCCAGCACGCTGCGCACCTCATGCACCCCATCCTTCCATGTGATGCTCCCAAACGTAAAATTGGTCTGCTGAGCCTTGGGCGTTACCGTCACATTGTACGCCACGCGCTGCCCTGACTTCACAGTCAGCTTCGAAGGCGACACCGACACCGACACCCCGTCAGGTTTCACCAGAAACAGCTGATAAGTCGACGCTTTCCACGCGACGTTTGTCACCCACCGAGTGACATTAATCACCTTTTTTATCCGCGGGAGCGCGATGTTTGGTTGGTTCAGCTCGTGCGGCTCGATCGGCGAGAGGGTCGCGGCGGCGGCGGGAAACGCGGCCTTAGTTTTCGCCTCATCCAACCCCGCGAGGAAATTAATGTAGTTCGGCGCGCCGACGTCGTAAACCAGCCCGGGGTTTACGGACCTGGAGGGGGTAATATGCCCGGATCCAAACTGCCATGGGGAGGCGTACGCCCAGTCCCACGATCGAATCCCCTTCCCCCACATGTCTTTAATCGACGTCGTGGTCATCATGGCAGACTTAACCATCCCCGGGGTCCATTGCGGATACTTCTGGATTATAAGAGCGGCTACTCCCGCGGCGACTGACGCGGCGGCCGACGTGCCGCTTTCCATCTTAAAGCCCGGGGAGCGGGCGTTTCCGGAGTTGGTTGAGGAGATGAGGCCGAGGCCGGGCGCAGTGATGTCGGGCTTTAAGATGTCGTTCGTGACGGTGGGGTGCTTGGCGGTGGAGATCCAAGGGTCTAGAGGCGGGCCGGAGGAGGAGAAGTAGGCCATGACTGGCGCGAGGGTGCCCTTGGGGAGCGAGTAGAGGACGGGCGAGATGGAGATGGTGGGCCTGGTGACGGGGGGGGGGAGGATGGGGAAAGGGGAGGGGCGGATGGAGAATGTGAGAGAGGGCTGTTGATTGCCGTGGTCGGTGCTAGCATGCCCTGGGGAGCCTGTAGAGGATGGGCGAGATGGAGATGGTGGGAAGGGGAAGGGGGGGAGGGGGGGAGAGGGGGGGGGAGTTGAGGGGGAACAGGGGAGTGTGAGGAGAGAAATAGGCCATGGTCGGTGTGAGCGCGCCCTTGGGGGGAGACTGTATAGGATGGGCGAGATGGAGATGGTGGGCCTGGTGACGGGGGGGGGGGGGAGAGGGATTGGGAGTGGGGGGGGAAACGGGAGGGGAGGGGGTGGAGAGTGTAAGAAGTGGGAAGGCGAGAGGAAAGCACTTCCTGCACGTCCTCCCTGACCACCTGTCATCTTACTTGGTGGTAGAGCCGTTCCTGAGCTAGGCTTTGATGCCTGTCTTCAGTTATGAGCATGCCATGCCAGCCCTGGCACCAATGAACGCGTATGGCTTACTTGGTGGTAGAGGCGTATGGCTTACTTGGTGGTAGAGGCGTATGGCTTACTTGGTGGTAGAGGCGTATGGCTTACTTGGTGGTACTGGCGTTCTTGAGGTACGCCTTGATGTCCTCTGAGATGAGCATGCCAACAGTGACACCGATAAACGTCCCTGTCACCGACCGCACGTACTGCCGCGGGCTCTGCACCGCGAGAATCACCGCCTTGCCGCCCGCCGTCTGCACCGTCAGCGCCTTCTCCTCCAATGAGATGCTGCCATGGTAGCACAGCACGGCCGCACCCACTATCTTGGCAGGATCCAGCGAACCCATTTTGCATTGCTCGGCCTGAAGACAGAGGGCGGAGGGGGGGTGGGTAAGTAAGTTACGACCGTCAGCGCCTTCTCCTCCAATAAGACGCTGCCGTGTCTTAGCCCGGTAGCACAGCAGGGCTGGCTTCTCTGACGACCTTAGCTGGGTCTAGAGAGCCCTTGAGGCACTGCTCCGCCTGAAGACAGGAGGGGTATGGTTGAGGGGAGGTAGGGGAGCAAGCAAGTCGGTCAGCGCCTTCTCCTCCAATGAGATGTTGCCATGGTAGCAGAGCACAGCGCAGCACAGCACGGCTGGCTTCTCTGGCGATCTTAGCGGGGTCTAGAGAGCCCATGCGGCACTGCTTGGCCCGAAGGGACGAGAGAGGGGGGGGAAGACGAAGCAGAATAACAGGGCTGAATCACACTTGTCTGCACCGTCAGCGCCTTCTCCAATAAGACGCTGCCGTGTCTTAGCCCGGTAGCACAGCAGGGCTGGCCACTCCGACGATCTTAGCGGGGAGAGCCCTTGAGGCACTGCTCCGCCTGAAGACAGGGGGAGAATGGTCGAGGGGAGGTAGGGGAGCAAGCAAGTCAGTCAGCGCCTTCTCCTCCAAGGAGATGCTGCCATGGCAGCACAGCACGGCACAGCACGGCTGGCTGCTCCGACGACCTTAGCCCATTCCGAGTGCCCATTCTGCATTGCTCGAGCAGAAGGGTGCGGAGGGAGGAAGGGGTGAAAAGGGGGAGACAGTGAGCGCCTGCGCCTTCTCCCCCAATGAGATGCTGCCATGGTAGCACCGCGCGGCACAGCACAGCACCACACAGCACAGCACAGCACGGCACGGCACGGCACGGCGCGGCGCGGCGCGGCCCAGCGCGGCGCGGCGCGGCCCAGCGCAGCGCAGCGCAGCACAGCACAGCACAGCTTAGCACAGCACAGCACAGCACAGCACAGCACGGCACCACACAGCACAGCACAGCACAGCACAGAACAGCGCAGCACCGCACAGCACAGCACCCATCACCTTAACCTGGTCTGGAGTTTTCATGCAGCATTGCTCGGCGTGAACGGAAGAGAGGGAGGAGAAGCAATCAACCGAGATGTCAGAGCCTTCTCTCCTTCGTCTTCTGCTCTGCTCACTACCCTCCCAGCGCTCAGCATACCCTCCCCCACCCCCACCACCACCCAGCGCCCAGCATACCCTCCCCCATCACCCAGCGCTCGGCATACACGCCCTCACCTCCTGAATTGAATTCCGAACCGAGCATACACCCCATCTCTTGAGCATCCGCCTTCTCTGTGTTGTCCTTTTTGGCGTCCACCAGGGGGAGGTTGGTGGTGATATGAAGTCCTTCGTATCCCACTCCCTCACTCCCTCACTCCCTCACTCCCTCACGCCCTCACGCCCTCACTCCCTCACTCCCTCACGCCCTCACTCCCTCACCTCCTGAGCATCCGCCTTCTCTGTCTTGGCCTTTTTGGCGTCCACCAGGGGGAGGTTGGTGGTGGTTCGCGGGTCCCCCCCTTGGAGTGTGATGCCCGTGTACCAGTTCCCGTTGCCCAGGGTCAGCTTCGCCTGCCACTCCCTTGGAAGGCCGCTGAAGGGTAAGAAGCAAGACAGGAAGGAAAGAGAGTGGAAAGTCAGTGGAGATGCTGGGGTGGTGTGGTGAACCTCCTTGCAGTGTGATGCCCGTGTACCAGTGCCCAATCCCCAGCGTTATTTTCGCCTGCCACTCCCTTGGAAGGCCGCTGGAAGGGGAGAGAGGGTCAAGACCAGAAAGAGAGTGGAATGCCAGAGGAGGTGCGGGGATGGTTAACCCCCTTGCAGTGCGATGCCCGTGTACCAGTGCCCATTTCCTAGCGTCAGTTTCGCTTGCCACTCCCTTGGATCGAAGCAGAGAGGGAGGGAAGAGGGGAGACGGGGGAGGGGAGGGAAGAGGGGAGACGGGGGAGGGGAGGGAAGAGGGGAGACGGGGGAGGGGAGGGAAGAGGGGAGACGGGGGAGGGGAGGGAAGAGGGGAGACAGGGACGGTTCGGAAGAGGAGGCAAGGCAAGGAGGTTATATTGCAACGAGTAGTGGAGCTCGCCCCCTCCCCCCTTGCTGTGTGATGCCTGTGTACCAGTGGCAATTCCTAGTCCCCAGGATCAGTTTCGCGGCTTCGCCTGCCAGTCCCTTGGAAAGCCACTGGAAGCAGAAGGAGACGGAGAAAGGGGCGAGGGCACCGGAGAGGAGAGGAGAAAGGGAGAGAGAACCAGATAGAAGCAGGAGAGGGATGTTGGCGGTGGGGAGTCTCAGGTCCCCCCTTGCTGTGTGACGCCCGTGTGCCAGTGGCAATTCCTTAGCGTTAGTTCCGCCTGCCACCCCGTTGGAAGGCCACTGGAAGGGGAGGGGGTATGGGGGAGGGAGGAAGAGGGGAGAGGGGAGAGGGGAGAGTCACAACAATTATATACAGCTTAAGTAAGTGTGTTTTTCACCTGGCACGTACAGTAGTGACAAGAAGCTACAGTTCTCTGGGCACCTCCAGTGCTCACCTGGGAGGTACCGAACCTACCTGGCATCAACAGAACCCACCTGGCAGCAACAGAACCCACCTGGCAGCAACAGCACCCACCTGGCAGCAACAGCACTCACCCGGCAGCAACAGCACCCACCTGGCAGCAACAGCACCCACTTGGCAGCAACAGCACTCACCAGGCAGCAACAGCACCCACCTGGCAGCAACAGTGAGAATGTAAGGCGACACGTTGGCAAGCGTGCGCTGCTGCTCTGCCCCCGGTGGTATGCCACCATTGCCAGCTGCTGCCACCACAAGCACGCCCGCCTGAAATTAGGAGGGAACGTGGGGCGCAGTGAGAAAGACTTTTGAGTCGACTCAAAAGGGGCGGAGTGAGAAAGAGTCGGAAAGTGAGTGAAGGAGGATAGTCCCAGTGGTATACCACCATTGCCCGCTGCTGCCCCACCACAAACACGCCTGCCTGAAATTGGGAGGGAAAAATGTGAGGAGACAGGGGGGGTAGGGGATGTGACGAGGGGAGGGGAAGGGTGACGCATGGGTGCTGCTCTGCCCCAGGTGGTATACCACCATTGCCCGCTGCTTCCACCACACACTCTCTTGCCTGGAATGGAACAGAAAGAGGGACGAGAGAAGCCTACTCTACCTACCTGCACCGCTCTCAACACAGAGACGGAGCTTACTTAGAAAGGGGAGGACGAGAATTGACATAGTCAGGGGAGGGCGAGAGAGCCCAGAGACACATGGAATGTGCCTCTGTGTTGCCATGGGCAGTGGGAGACCATGGCAGGGAATGGGGAAATCAAGAAGGGGGGTGGGGGGGAGGAGAGGGGGCGGAGGGAGAGCGATAGGGGGAGAGAGACCCCTACCTGAACTTCCCTGAGCAGGAACACAGAGTTGAAGCAGTCATCCTCCGTGCGTGTGTGTGTGAAAGAGAGAGGCGAAGACAGAGAGAAAGAGGGGAGGGGGGAGGCGAGGGGGGGGGGGGGGGGGAAGACCCCTACCTGCACAGCCCTGAGCAGAGTAAGAGGGGGGAGACGGAGACAGAGTGAGAGGGGGGGGGGGGGGGAGAAGAGAGGGGGAGAGAGACCCCTACCTGCACTGCTCTCAACTGGAACACTGAGTAGAAGTAGTCTTCATCGGTGCTCCCGATGGGCAGCAGCAGCACATCCACCCCATCCCTCACTGCCATCACATCCGCCCCACCCCTGCCATCACATCCGCCGCACTGCTCTCACCGCCCCACACCACCCCTAGGGAGTGTGTGTGAGATAGACGGAGACAGAGAAGGAGGGGAAGGGGAGGAGGAGGAGGGGGAGGGGGTGGAAAGAGATGCCTACCTGAACAGCCCTGAGCAAGAAAATGGAGTTGAAGTAGTCATCGTCGGTGCCCCCAATGGGCAGCAGCAGCACATCCACCCCATCCTGCACTGCCTGCTCCACCGCCGCCATCACATCCGCCGCACTGCTCTCACCGCCCCAAACCGCTTTATACACCGCCAATCTCGCTCTCGGAGCCATCCCGCTTATCCGGCCAATCAGGGGGCCGCGGGGGGTCATCCTCACAGGAACGTTACTGTTACCAGCCGCCGCCCCAGCGCACCATGTCCCGTGCCCAGTCCCGTCCCTAGGAGACGCATACTCTCCCTTGGGGTATCCCTTGTTTTCCTTGAGATAAGCCGCAGAAAAGAACCGGGCGCCGATTAGTTTATTGTTGCAGGACCCGGCTCTGAAGTCTTTGGTAACGGTGCACCTACCGCCCCGCCAGGTCCTTCTTGGGCGGGTGTACCCCCGCCCCGAAAAGGCCGGGTGCTCCGGCCAAATACCCGAGTCCACCACGCCTATAATCACATTTTCCCCCGCTTTGCTCACCCCACCCAGGCCTTTCCATACCACGGAGGAGAGGTTGAGGAAAGCGGGTGTGATTGTAGTGAGGGGGGCGAGGGAGCGGGAGGGCTCGATGCGATCTACGGCCGGATGACGCTTAAGGCGGTGCAGCTGGGAGGGGGTGAGGGCGACGCTAAGAGCGTTACTTAGGTAAGTGTAGGAGTAAAGGATGTCTGAGGGGGATAGGCCGATGCTTGCAATAGTGTGGGAATGGAGGGAGGCTAACTGCTGCGCGTATGCATACACGTGGGATGCATGGGGGTCTGGTCTGATGGGTTTGGTGGTGGTGATCCCCACTGCCACGTCAGCATTGGCGTCAGTTGAGGCAGCTGCAGCAGTGGCGGTGGCTTCGAAGCCTGGTACGCCGCCGGTGTAACCGACCACGGGTGGTAACCCTCTCATGTATACAGTGTACACTTGAGTACTGTGGCTTCTCCTGCCATATTTGCTGGTTCTGCTGCCCCCACCGCTGCTGCCGCCACCACTGCTGCTGTCGCTGCTGCTGGTAGTGCTGATGCCACTATCACCACCACTTCTCCCACCGCTGCCACTGTCGCCGCTGCTGCCACTGCTGCCACTGCTGCCACGGCCGCCGCTTCTGCCGCTGCCGCCCATCATAATTTTGAGCTGTTCTTGCTGTTCTTTCAATCTCAAGGCAGCACCATACGAATCTTCCTCTGGCGCAACGGACGCTGCTGTCGCGAGGTGCGACGAGTAGGACGCTGACGTGGCGGAGGAGGAGCCCGGGAGACGATCAGCTGCTGACGTGGCATCGGAGGGGTCCGGCTGTTGGTGAAATCTTGCGTGATGCAGCCAGAGTTGATCGAACGGTTCACTGCTGCCGTGCACACGTGGCACATGGGCTGTGAGAAAGAGCGGGGGGGAGTGGGGGAAAGGGAAGAGAGGAAGATGGAGGGATGGGGTGAGCGGGGACGACAGCTGGGTAACCCCGAGCTGAATAAGTAACCCCGAGCTGAATAAGTAACCCCGAGCTGAATAAGTAACCCCGAGCTGAATAAGTAACCCCGAGCTGAATAAGTAGACTAGTTTTGAGGCGCCTCAAAACTAGACCCGAATGCGGTGACAGGAAGGGGGGAAGAGAGTATGGGAGGGTGGTGGGGGGGGCGAGGGGGGAGGGAATAGGATTTTGTTTATTGCTGCACGACTCACTGGCGACGACGAGAAGGGCGACGAGCGACAGACGTAGGCGAGCTGTGCGATCCATGGCGACCATGGGAGTCTTCGCTCACGAAGTAGCGACGGAACCCGCTCGCAGCGACAGTGGCGAACGGGATATACGACGAGTTACTCCGTCGTTCGCGAAAGGCTGGAAGATGGCAACAGAACTGTCAAGACGTGGAACATAAACTAAATTAAGCTCGTCCACGTATACTTAGAAAATTACGCTTATTGCGACGAGGCAAGCTGTGATACAGCTCTTCGAACTTTGACAGAAAGCCGTTTGTAATAGCCTCCTTGGCCAATCAGAATGAACGAAATCGGTCATTTTCTTATGATATTGCGTCTTCAACGCCGGTTCAGGAAATCAAGAAAGGAAGTGAGAGGCTAACGTTGCTGTTCAAGATGCAGTCACGACTCACGACTACAGAACATAGGCGCCAAGGAGCTTAAAATGGCGTTCAACGGACTTAGTCAGCAAGCTATCTTCGTGCCACCGATGACAAACGGCAGGGAAGGGATAGCGTAACGAGAAATATAATTAGTTACTAGATACCGTTACTAAAGGTCGAGCAAAATTGAATAGATGCTGGTGTCAGCGGTAGGGACGAAGACCGGATGCGATACGAGGTAATAATAATAATAATGGAACCGTAAAGCGTTGTCAGCAATTAGGCAGCACTAGGGAGCAAACTACCGTTTGCGCTTGTAATCTTGCAGGGGATGAGGGTCTGCTCTGCATTGTGGCTAAGGCGCTCAGCCTGCGTAGACAAAGAAGAGAGACAGGCACACAAATGGCAGAATTGTTGAGGGCGTATTCTCTTCTTGCAAAATTACGCGGTTCTGTCAATTCGACAAAGGCCGACTGGGCGACATTCAAGCCTTGTAGGAGATTTGATGGGCCCGTATTGACATGAGGGGGACACCTGCTCTGACCTGCTTGCGAGCCATATGAAACTCATGTCCTGCAGAACGGGGAGTGGGTAGGGGACACTTCGGCAGTTCGTCCTCCCCTGCTGCCAGACGAACGGCCGAATTTTGCTAGTGGCACTTCTGCGACCCGGTATCTGCCCCAAGATCGCCAGGCGAAGCTGGTCGCCTTGCGCGTTGCGACTGGGGGGGGGAAGAGGAGAGCCAAGGGTTCACCGCACGGGCTGCAAAAACTTATGTACAGTACAGTACAGTACACAGGCAGCCAATTGGATCTCGGTGGTCGCCGCCAACAGCCGCAGTAGAGAGGCAAAAGCACGACAGTAACGACGTGCGCCTTTCGTTTCCACAGACGGAGAGCTGCTCTTCTGGAAGTGATTGCAAGGAAGGAACCAATCTAGTGACCGTGCTTTTAGCGAGTTCACCAATCAGTCTCGTTCGGATTGGAGGTTGGAAGTTGGAAACACCCTGGTTTGGCAGTTTCCCCAAGGTCCTGATGGTTTGGTTGGCATGGCCCCATCACACTGGCCAGCGCGAGGCGCAGAGAGTTCGCGAAACGCCCAGGGCAAACTGTGGAACGAGCAACCTCCTATCCGCTATTGAGTTGAATCACTGCTGGAACTATGAGTTCCAATACAGAATGCGTGTAGTATCGGTCTAACAAAAACGAAAACATAAATTCCTCTTACACACAATAACGACACCTACGCTCAGGGCATGTCGGTGGGTTGTAAGGGGTGAAAAGCTAAGGGCGTAGAACATACATTTCCGAACAGCCTTCGTCCTAACTTCCACCACACTGTACCGCGCGTTTATCCTCCTCCACTACGTCAAATTCGTTTTGCAGACCACTCTCTACTAGACTACCACTCTAGCCGTCCTAACTTTCAGAAGTTCGGAACTGTATGTTCCACAGCCCAAGTCCGCTCACCACAGCGTGTTGCATCTTCCCTCGGGGTCATGCCCAACCTTCAATTGGAGGTGGAGCCTGGGTAACATCTGGAGGTACTCTGCGTGTAAGGGCAAATTCGTCGCCTGTGGCAGGAAACTTAATTATAGACGCTCAGGATCGTCACCCAACTCGAGGTTAAAATCGCGACCGTAAAAAACTTGCCACGAAGAAGTCTGCCACAAACTCCCTCTAACACCTGCTGGTTCTCCATCAACTTTGCCTCAAATTCCAATGGCGGATCACCACGCCACCTTCCTAGCCTGGTCAGGGACACAGCTTTGGTGAGGTGCGCTATGCATAACCAAATGCCGCTGAGCACGTAGGGCAAATGCCGCTGACGAGTAACAGTCTCCTGACCAAGGGCGAATGAGTTCTACATTGTAGAAAGCAATGTCGAAATAGTGCGTTTTGGAACGCTAGGCTTACAAGCTTACAATACAACATTAATGCGTAGAGATGCCACATACGTAACAGAACGACAGTCCTGTGAAGAGACCCGTCATTTATATCGCGGACGGAAGCTCGCCAGAGTTGAACGCGGAGAACCGGCAGTCAGTCGCGGTGACGGAAGTCGTCTCGTAGTCAGAGACCTTTCCGTCGAGAAAGCCCTTGCCCTCGGCTCCGTCAGCGGAAACGGGGTGGTGGAGCACCGCAGCGAGGCGGGAGAAATCAGTCGTACGCTTCTCCCGGCCCGTACGGTACGTCTGGCCCATGACACCGTGCACGTCAGCAGAGGGTGACACGTCAGTGAACATGACATTGATGTGGGTCTCGGCGTCATCCGGGGTTTGGAGGAGCGGGTGGGCAACGCGGAGCCTCAGATCCAGCTCCATCTGATCGCCGATCTTGACCGTGTACGCGTCCACATCGTACGGTCCGACCTTCTCGATCTTGTTGAACGTGAGCGTCAGATCAGCGATCTTCTTGCTTTCGCCAACCTTGAGTTTCGGCAGCGCCTTGTTGTCTGCGACGATGGACTTCACGAAACCGTCTCCACGGGCCTGCTCCTTCCCGTCGCGAGCGGTGATGACGAAGCTGTGCGACGCTCCGTCGCGCGACCGCCACATGATCGCGAGCTGGCGAATCCACGTGCGAACGGCCTTGCCGTTGACAATAAGCGCGGCGCCCTCGGTGCGGTCGTCAAAATATCCGCGCATACCCATGTTGATGTGCATCTGACGGTCCGTGTACAGGCAGAAAGATTTCTCGGGCAGCCCGTTGAATTCGAAGCGGGTGCCGTGCGCGCCGAGGAAGTGCGGGTCGTTCTGAGTGGTCGGGCAGGCCTTGCCGATGCGGATCTTTTTGCCGCCGCCCTTCACGGGCTCGATGCCGTCGATCGCGGGGAGCAGGATGCACTTGCCGCAGGGCTTCCCGGAGCAGGTGTCCTGGCTACCGCCGGATGATCTGTTGACAAACAGGGAAGGCGATAGCAGAAAACGCGGAAATTCTTGTCAGCAAGGGTTACGAGGAGAGAATAAGATGCAAAGCGTGAAACGGGGAGGGATGACAATGTAACGAATGTGAGTTGGAGACGAGGGGCGGGGAAGGGGGGGCGGGAAAGGAGAGCCGGAGAGGAGGCAGAACGGGGTTCTCGCCTGCACTACGCTGAACGAAAATACTAGATACTAGTGAGCGGGAAGGAGGGACTTACGGGATGTGCACCCAGTAGCGGCAGTTGAAGGAGGTGGTGCCGGTGGTGTTGGAGCACTTGTTGCAGCACGCCTTGGCGTGGATGCTGCCCGCCGCGCAGTATGGCTTCGACGACGACGGCGGGGAGGTCACGCACGCGCCATACTCGGGGATCTGCGGGTACAGGAGAGAAAGAACAGAGATATGGATTAGATCTCTGGCCGGAGAATGCGTGCGTTATGGTGTACACGCGAACGAAGGAGTGAAAATCGGGGACAAGGGTCGGGTGGAGGTGGGTAGGGAAGACAGGGCTGATGATGATGATGATGACACAGGCAGGTGCCTGAAGAAATAGGGGCCGCTACATCTTATAAGTAGATTAGTAAAGCCACAAGGTACTAACCGTCCAGTAGTCGAACGACCCTGATGTGTAATCGCAGCCGCCCTTGGTGCACAGGCCCTTGAGGTCGTTCGGGTAGGGCTTCGCTACGGGCTTGGTGGCGTGGGCGACGGCCACCATCGCCAGGACCGCCAGGAGGATCGAGAGCCGGGATGCCATGGCGCCTCTGTTGCTGTGAAACTGCACTGGTATTTTAGTACTGTACAACAAGCAGTTAGGAAGAGTCGACCTTGGGAGTACAGAGGAGCCCCCGTGAGTTTTGCAGACTGATACTAGCTTCAATGCTCCCCCGTGCTTTTGATGTGGTGAGGGAGAAACTCAGGAATGCCTATGGGACCGTGTCTGGCTCGAGTGCTGAGCCAAAGGGACAAGAGCGACAGAATGGGACCACGCAGGCCACACACACGACAATTCTCGGGCAGTGTACTGTATACAGCTTAACTCTAAGGGCGCGTGGGGTTCGGAAAAAGTCCGAAGCTCGAACTTTTAAAAGGGTTGTAGACGGTTTTGTGTATTTCAAGAGCTTCTTGAGGTTGACATTGAGGTTGACATTGGAATTGATGCATTTTCCGCCTAAAGCACGGCGCCCTAAACTTCTCGGGTGCTATGTACCTAGAAACAACGCGTGCTCCGAGGAGTTTAAAGTTTAAGGGTTCTATAACCACAGGTGGGGGAGGTTGACAGCCCTGGCCAACGTCCTCTGGGCCACAGAGTTCGAATTCCGGTTTTCCGACTTGATCAGTCGCGGAACTTCGCCCATTTCACAGTTTTTTTCTCCATGCGTCCACCCACGGGCAGCACATTACAGGCAACAAACACCCTGTTTCTGGCACCTTCCGCATGTGATAAAACCCCTGAACAGCCTCCTGACGAGCCCAAAAAAACAGCCGAAGCTAGCCATCTCCACCACTCAGCGTGATTTGTGAGCCACACAGCTCTCCTGAACATCTCACCTGCGGCTTGCACAGGCGAGCAGGTGTGATAAGCTCCCAATGGTAACCAGGATGAACACCTGACTGCCGACAAACATAAGGACTATCATTTTTGCATGCGATTCGTCGTTAGATGCGGTTTCGCTGCAGTGCAAAATCTGTTTTTTACCTATTGCGCTAATGGGTTGCATGATCTTCTGATAAATGGTCATGGAAAAAGTAAGCATGATATCATTCTACACAAATGTAACTCATTAACAAAGCCTCGTGGCCATCAAATTTGTTGCCTGCAGTTTTACGACAAAAAAAATATGAAATTATATGTTGATGTGCTTCAATGTTATCAAGGTAGAGGGCAGACCAGAAAGCTATAAATGTTCATGAGTGTGGATCTGGAAGCTATATGCATGCTTCAAGGCATGATCCGGATTCAGCATCTTCTGTTACGAAAGTTGGCAAAATCCTAGAGAACCCCCTATAGATTGCTAGCCTACTCCCTGTAACCCCTTGGAGGAGGCAAATAGAAGGCTGAAGCTGAAGGGCGAGCAGGAGAAAGAAGCCTACCCCATCCTTCAAGCAGGGTTGAGCCCAGCAGTAAACCCAACACTTGAGGCAGCAGGAGCAGTCTATCCCATGCTTGAGGCCCCGGCCCGGGAACCGAAGTCAGGAAAAGCCTGCAGCAGCAGCAGCAGCAGTGGTGGTACGGGCGGCCTCGGGGGGAAAGGGACTCAGAGTTCAGTCACGAATCGTTTCTTCCTTGCAAGGGTCCTTGCAAGGCGAAGCAGAAGCGGCTCAGCTTACGGCATTTGCACAAAATGGACAAGGCAGAACTGACAAACGCTCTTCACCACCATCCCCTCCTTTTTTTTCCTTCTCCCTATCACTTCCCTCCTTTACCCCATCACTGCTCTCCCCCTTGAGGTAAACCCCATCCCCTTCGTCACATGGCCTTGTCAGCCCACCCTGACCATAAAAAAGGGTAAATTATCCAAACGCTGCCCCAAATCCCTGGCCCCCAATCAGCAACAGCACATCAAGTGGATGTCTTCTGCAGCAACATTCTGTGTACGAAGTAGCTGGCATCAACACCACCCATCACCAAGCCAGCTGCGTCACACGGAGCAGCTAGCCCTGCCCTTAGACTTAGCCCCCCCTGATAAATTAAACTTGCCCTTCCACTCCCCTTGCCCCTCATCGTCCTCCTCCCCACCCCCATTCTCCCCTGCCTTCTCCTTCCTCTCATCCTTCCCCCCTCCTCTCCCTATCTGCCATGCTGCTCCCTCACCTCTCTCCCCCCCCTCACGGCCATCACCCCCATCGGCTTCGCCTCCTCTCTCCCCTTTCACGCCCCATGGGTTCGATCCAACGGCTGAGCTCGTCCGAAACCCTGCCTTTTCCAGCCGGGAAGATAGAGAGTTTCGTCGCAACCTGCCCCGGACTTGCCCAGCCGCTTCATCCTCCCCTGCCCCTCCAGCCTCGCTCCTAGACCCTTGAAGCGACATCCTCCTTCCTCTCCTCCCCAGACCTTCCTCCCCCTCCCCAGCCTCGCTCCTGGACCCTTGAAGCGACATCCTCCTTCCCCTCCTTCCCACACCTTCCTCTCCCTCATCCACCCCCTCACTCCCCCCTCCCTCCGTGCCCCCTTTGCCCCAACCTTTTCCAAACAGTTTCAGCCATATCTTTCCGATAGATCCCTCCCCCGCCTTCTGGCCGCTGTTGCTGCTGCTACTGATCGAACTGGCAACGCCAGCAGCAACAGGAGTGCTGGTACCAGCAGCAGCAGCAGCAGCATCAGAGGCGGCAGTAGATGCAGCAGCCGAGAAGCCACTGGCAGTGCTGCTGGCAGGGCTGGCGTCTCCCCCCCAACCGCTCTGCACCGGCCAGAAACTCCCGGATTTCATGGTGCTTAGCGGGCTCTTAGGCCCAAACGCTTTGCTAAGCACCTTGGAGGTGCGGCTGGTCTTAGAGCCCGAGGGAGGGATGGGCGGGGCTGCAGACCTAGAGGGAGAAGAGGCATAGGTGGGGGCTGGTTGTGGGGTTTGGAATCTCGAGGGGGACGCGGTGGAGATCGGTGAGGCGGAGGGGGAGTAGCTGTAGTCTGGGAACGCGGGACGGGTAGCCTGGTCAGGCGTTGGTGGGGTGGGTGCGAATGCAGCAGCAGAAGCAAAGTCAACCCTTCCCACTGTTGCTGCTGCTGTTGCACTCGCGGCGGCTACTCCTCCTGCTGCTGCTGCTGCTCTTAAAGATTGTGGGGATCGCAGCATTACTTCGGAACGGGCGTCAATGCTGGAAGCGCAAGAACGCGCAGGCGAGGCCAGATACGTTGAATCTGCCCCAGCAGCACTGCCCGCACCAGCTGCTGCTGCCACTGCAATTCCGCCCGCCGAACCTCCTCCCATCCCTCCTCCCAAACCTCCTCCCGAACCTCCAGCTGCAGCAAGCCGAGCCGAGTCTGTTAATGTCCGGCGAAGAGGAGCAGCAGCAGCACTCACAGGGGACCGGGTATGCGATCCGGGGGAAGCAGACGGCCCGGACGCTATAGTTCCGTCCATACCAAACGGCCCGGTAACGCAGTAACCGCCGAAACCACCAGTGTGGCTGCTGCCGTCACTGCCAGGACCGGTTCTCCAATCCGGATTGCAGCCTGGAAGATGAGTGCTGCTGCTGCTTTTGACCAATCCTCCACCGGTTCTTTTGACTAAATCACCACCACTGCTACCTTTGAACAGATCACCACCGCTCCCACCATTGAAAAGCCTGCGGCCACTGCTACTTGTGCTGTCGCCACACCCTGTCCCCTCAAGCTCCTCTATCTCCTGTGCAAGGCTGCTCCGCCTGGCGCTCGCTGGTGCTATATCCGGGAAAGCAAGCCTGCCTGGAGAGGACGAGCTTATAACGGGGACATGCTGTACAGTGCCGCTTTCCTTCTCCAGCTCCTCGATTTCTCGAGCAAGAGGGCTTTGCCTCGAGGGGGCATTCATATCTGAAAGTGGACTTTGCCTGTATGGGCCCTCCATGCCCGCCATATCCGGAAAAGCACGGGACGACGACAGCGGGGACATTCTCGACATGCCTGGCGACGCAGAGTCCCTCCCCTGGTTCCCCCTCCCCTGGTTGCCCCTCCCTTGGTTGCTTATCGTTCTCCTGCCTGGCACTCCTTCGTCGCCCACTCCATCCCCCTCCTCCCCGCAGCTGCTAGATTGGACGTTCCAGCTGTGGCTGTGCACCATGGCACGCTCCCCTCTCTGCGCTGCTGCCACCGCTGAAGACACACTCCTCCGCTCAAACCCAACTCCGGCTCCTCCTCTCCCTCCCTCCCCCCCATCTCCACCCCTCTTCCCTTCCCCCTCCTCCTCTTCCTCTTCCTGCATAGCTGCTGCGAGCTGAGCCAGGGCTTGCGGTGGTAGCGTTACACTCATGTTCCACCCGCCGCCGCTGCCGCCCGCTATGCCAGCTGGCGGCCGGTCACTGGTCGAGAGGCGCTTCCCGGCGCCGCGAAAGCCCGAAGGGGAGGCGAAGGAGGGGGCGATGGGGGGAGTGCCAGCAGCACTGCGGTAGTCCTGGGGAGTGGAGCAGCCACGGGGGGGGTATCCTGGGAAGGGGCGGTCAGGTGCAGCTGGCGACGGTTGTAACTGCGCCTCACTGACAGTTGTAACAGGTGTATCTGCTCCTCCTGCTGCTACTGCTGCTTCTGCTGCTGCTGGCCATGCACCACCTGCAGTACCTTCAGCGCTGCCGCTGGCGTTGCTGCTGCAATCGGCAGCAGTTGCCTTGCAAGACCTGGCGTTTCTGGCCACTGGCCGCACAGGTTGACCCAGGTCAAAGCACGGGTCGATCGGCCGGACGGGTTGACCCAGGTCAAAGCAGGGGTCAACATCACCCCCTGGAAAAGCTGCCCCAGCTGCCCCTACCTCCGCCAGCACATCCCCCACTTCGTTTAACAGCCTCTGCCGAGGCGTCAAGCTGTGCCGACTGCTCGCACTCCCCCTCCCACCATTCCCACCACCAACACCACTCCGCCCTCCGCCTCCCCCCTTCCTCCTGCCCCTCCCCCGCCCGATTCCTGGGTCAGACGCGGGGAGACGCTGCCACGTGGCGTCTTTCAGCCCTTGCCCCGTCACCAGGACTGCACCGTCCACCCACCCAGCATCCTCGTCATCATCCCCATCCCCACCCCCATTGTTGGCTGGGTGGATGCCCCCAGCGTTGGCCCCTCCTGCTGCTAGCTGCTGCTCCCTCTTCTGCTGTGCTGCTGGGATGGCGAGATGGGAACCCAAGGACGAATCCTGGCCGTTCGATCTGCTGCTTCTTGGCCCTGTTCCTGTACCGGCAGTTGGTCTCCCTTCCGCTTCCCCTTCCCCTCCTCCTGCTCCCCCGTTTGCGGAACTCCGCCTATAGTCACAGTTATTAGTCCCGTCAGCACCCTCCTCCCCCCTCAGCTCTGCAATCTCCCGCCCACAACCCCGACCACCACTATCACCTTCGCTATAATCACCATCGTCCACGTCATCATCATCCCACCCTCCCTCCTCAACCTCCTCCCCCTCATCCCCCTCCTCCCCGTCCTCACTCTCACCTGCGGGAAACGAGTCCTCCGATTTCGTCCGGTACGCGAACGGCGCGTCGTGGTAGATCGTCAGGGGCGGCTGCGCGCCTTCCTCGATCTTTCCTCTGTGCGACCGGAACGTCGACGCGAACGACTTGCGGATGTTGTCGCGCGTGGCGTCGGGGAGCGGCGCGCCCGAGTGCAGGTCGCACTTGCGCGCGGCGTAGAGGAACGCAGTGCGCACGCGCCCCAGCAGCCCGCGCGCCTGGTCCTTGGTGAGGGGGTCGTAGCCCAGGCAGAAGAAGACAATGCCGTCTTTTGCTACCAGAAACAGGACGAACAGACGCCCGTGGCCCTGGGAGCAGGCGGGCGGGAGGAGGGGGGGTGGGGACGGGGGAGGGGAGCAAGGGGGAGGGTAAGGGAAGAGGAGGCATTTCATCCCTCGATTTCGTTTTCCTGCTGACTACAAAATGACTCGCCCCAGCAGCACGCGCGCCTGGTCCTTGGTGAGGGGGTCGTAGCCCAGGCAGAAGAAGACAATGCCGTCTCTTGCTACCAGAAAGAGCACGAACAGACGCCCGTGGCCCTGAGGATATGCGAGGGTGGGGAAGAGGGAAGGTTACAGAACATGTGTCTCAGCAGCCCGCACGCCTGATCCTTGGTGGGGGGGTCGTATCCCAGGTAGAAGAAGACGATGCCGTCCTTCGCAACCAGAAAGAGCACGAACAGACGCCCGTGACCCTGGAACCGGCGGAAGGGGGGAGGGGGGGAGGGGGTCGGGGAGGAGCGGAGGTGGGGAGGGGTAGAGGAGGGGGGCCGCGGGGGAGGGGGAAGGGTTTTTGCTGACTACAAAATGACGCGCTCCAGCAGCCCGCGCGCCTGGTCCTTGGTGAGGGGTTCGTATCCCAGGCAGGCTGGGGGTTGGCGGGGAGGGAGAGAAGAGGAGGTGTTTCTTCCTTTCTTTTTCAACATTCTGGAGGTTGACTCATAAGAGACGCGTCCCTGCAGCCCGCGCGCCTGGTCCTTGGTGAGGGGGTCGTAGCCCAGGCAGAAGAAGACAATGCCGTCCTTGGCAACCAGGATGAGCACGAACAGACTCCCGTGGCACTACGCGAGGGGAAAAGGTGGAGGGAGAGGAGAGAGGGGGCGTCCTTGGCAAGAGAAGACAATGCCGTCCTTGGCCACGAGGAACAGCACGAGCAGACGCCGGGAGACCGCGCGAGAGGGGTTGAGGATGGTTGGGGAATGGGCGACGAGCTTGTCGGTTGCACGCTCGAGGTCCACGCAGAGGGTTTCATTCAAAAGCGACGCGAAGAGGGTATTGTTCAAAAGACCCGCTAACGTTCGTCGAAGCTTCAGCCGTGGTGGAACTAGAAACCACGCACTAGGCTATGTGATCCTTGCACTTGACACGGTCGCTTGACACCTGGCACGGCCGCTTGAAACCTGGCACGGTCGCTTGACACCTGACAGAGTCGCTAGACAGTATTCTGTTGGACCTAGGAACTATGTCGATTGCAATGCGACGATTAAAAATATCAAACGGTGCTTAAGGAGTACACTGGTCGGTTGGTCGGTTGGTCGCTAGGCCGTATACGCCTGGTGATAACAGCAGATATTATAATGTTGGAATAATACTCGGGAAACCCCGAAAATAGCTCGGCAAACCCTGTTCATAAACGCGCAGTGAAAATGGCAGAAATATAACAAAAAAAAAACTGACCAATGCCGGTGATAAAATATGACATTGATGGACACTATATTCCGAGAACAAACCGCTGAACTATGCAACAGCCGTTTCACGCAACATTGCGCTACTCTCGAGGCTCTTCGGAATTATCTACATTATCCTCGATATTAGGTCGAGCAGGGCGATCTTACCATGGAGACTTGCGACACGTGTTGCGGGAGACTGGGCAGCGCCGATGAGATAGCCTCTCGGTACGCGTCCCTTTCCCGGCCATAATCTGCCAGAATATTCCCTTTGCTCGTCGCGATCCCCGCGTACGCCACCAGTTCTACCTCCTCCATCCCTAACGAAGCGTCTTAACCTTAGAGAGAACCCGTATGCTCTTAACGGGGATAGGAACCCCTATGCTCTTGCAACGAGAGTTGCAAATGCTTTGGATCGAAAGGCAATGCGAGAGCGGCGGTCAGTCCTAAAATAGCATGGACACCGCATAAGTGGCCATAAAAGCGATTCGTGAAACCCGCGATATTTGTCCTATTTACTATTATTTTAAGCAGCGACGTTACGTAGGAGCTTGCCTAGGCGATGCTGACTGGAAGCCAGCTAAGAGCACAGAGATATGATCCTTCTGGGAGTATCTTGGAATAAAGAGGTGCACCAAGGACTGCCTTGATGGGAGTCGAGGTTGGTTGGTAGGTGGTAATGCAGTCAGGGGGGATGCAATTTCTAGGGACGCCTCCATCGTTACAGTACGGTGCTGAACGTTTTCGGTTTGAATTGTGAAGAGACGCGGAAGTGGAAGGCGCGGATGAGGCGCGGAAGTGGGTAGGGTTTGCGCCATCCAGCAGAGCTCTGATCCGAAGCAGAGGAAGCCCCTACACGCCAGGGGAGGAAACTCGGCGCGCAGAAGCGCACAGACGGCAGTGGAAGGCTGGCGGTGCATCCAAGCCAACCCAGATTCTGATCTGAATCCCCCCCGATGTGATGCTGGAAGCAGGGTGTTGGGGGGAAGAGGTCGTTTTGCCCATAAGCTTGGTTGAAACTTGAAATGGGAGGCGGTGGGGGGGCGGTGGGGGGAAGACCACACCAACTTCGCGTAACACAAATCAAAAGAGCAATATGTCCTGATTAAATAAACACACAAATTCCCAATATACACGGAAATAAATAAGGTACCGTACCACCTCAATATCACCTCCTTGGGGGTCACATCCATTCTCGCCCCTTATCATTCTGATACATGCAAAATGAATTTTTATTTCAATACTACGTACATTCGATTCATCATTCTTTTTTGGCGATCATGTCTAAACTTGCCCCTTGCCTGTTGGTGGAGTATTGGGGTTGCCTCTTATTGCAATAGCAAGCAGCTACTGCCGCATCCTCCACCAAGCTGATTTCCTCTCCGCTACCTGGGGAAGACATATCACCCCTCATCACCCAAGTACGCATCCACATCATTCATCCTCCCGTGCAGCACTCGCAACCGGAAAATATCCGATGAGAAAGTCGATCGCGGTGTGCCAATAAAGAAGCGTGCATTAGCGCATATGTGCTTCTCCGCAAGCGCCCTGAGAACGCCGTCCTCCTGGGAGTCCAAGTCTTGGAATTTCTTCACCCAAGCAAACTGAGAATACTCCTCCGACCCCTTGGGAAACTCAGGCAGGCGCACAACCACTAGCGGGCTCGTGCTGCTGGAGCCTGCAATCGAAGGATGGGGAAAGCATGTGGAAGGAATGGGGAAAGAATGGGGTAAGAGGCGGAAACATGAGACGCACACAAGCAGGCAGGGCCAGGCCGATGAATAGAGGAACTAGTAAAGAAACGGTTGAAGTTACAGGATGCATGCATTGCAATGCAGGAGGTCCAGCTTGCACCACGGGGTATTATCAGGTGGTCTGAGGTGCGTGTGTAATGAGTCGATTTTTGAGTCGACTGAAAAATCGACTCATTACACACGGGTGCACACTCAGCACACTGCTATTAGATGTGGGAACGTGCTGGGCGTATACTCACCAAGAAACAGTTTCTCTAGTAGTTGAATCTCGGACGGGCTTGCATCGGTCGCGAGGTACACCACGGAAGCACCCTTATCTCTCAATCGCTCTATAATGAAATGCGCGACTGTGACTATAGGGAGGAAAGAGCCTCGCTCCCTCTCGTGGCCCTCCTTCAGGTATGTCTTGGCAAAATCGCTCCGCCTTAGATGCACCGCGGCATACTCCGACCCCAGAAACGTGTCGATGAAACCCTTAACGAAGTTCTCTATAACGGGGGGAGGCTGCCAGATGTCCGCACACGTGCTTTTAAAGGGAGGAACGCCGCCCTCGAAGAAGAACGGCAGGCCGCGCAGGCCCAAGGCGAAGGCATCCCCAAGGCTGATCACAGGCGCTTCGTTATAAGGAGCATACGCGCTAAGAAAGTCCTTCACGTCTTTGCTGGGAATGCTGGGGTAATCCAGCTTCTCTGGGAGCGTGATGTGCGGATAGTGCTCCTTCATCTGTGGAGCATGTGAAATAGGAAGGGGAGCGGAGGAGGGAGAAGGGGGGGAGGGAGGGGGGGGAGGGAAGGAAAGGGGATGGCTGGGAGGTTAGGATTCCCGGGGCAGGGTAGCATGGGGAGTTTGACTCTTAACTGAAAGCGGCAGGACTTAGCGAGGGTGAGAAGAGGGAAGGCGGGAAAGAGGGAGGGAGAGAGTGTGGGAGAGGTGGTTGAAGAGTCTATTTTTTAGGCGCCTCAAAAAGAGAGGTGGTTGAAGAGTCTATTTTTGAGGCGCCTCAAAAAGAGAGGTGGTTGAATTCAGATGCGAGAGGGAGAAGAGGGAGGAGGAAAAGAGCAAACAACGAGTGGCATAAACGTCTTGATGGTTTGTGGGAAGTTGTGGGGAGTTGTGGGGAGTTGTGGGAAGTTGTGAGGAGTTGTGGGAAGTTCTGGGGAGTTTGACTTCAACCGAAAGAGGGAAAGTGTGAAGGAGGGAGGGTGGGAATGGGGGAGGGGTGGTTGAGTGCAGAAACGAGAGGGAAAACGGTGGTGTTGGAGGAACAGAGCAAACAACGAATTGCAAAAACTTCTTGATGGTTTGTGGGAAGTTGTAAAAAGTTTGCGTACGACTGCTCACCAGGGCCCAGTTGTCGAAACACGAGTGGCTCGAGCAGCACGCGATGTGATCGATTGCCACGTCACGCCCCTCCCGCGCCGCGTATTCATCCACCGTAATCACCGTCTCGTTATTGCCATAAGCGGGCGCGAGGCACGCCCTCATTCTAGTCACATCCACGATATTATCCCACCGCCAGCAGAACGTCGCGTATGCCACGCCGCAGCTCTCGGTAGGAATAATTAATGTTCGTTGTAGAATAGCAGCGACTATTAAGTAGTTCCGCAAGCACTGCTCCTGATTGGACAGCCGTCCGTACACGCAAAGCGCCAGGAGGTACCGGTTTTTCCGGGGAGTCCAGGATTCGATCTTCGGCTGGGATAAGTCGATCTGCTGAGCTGGCGGGTAAGGCGATTTGATCTTCTTCGGCCGCTGCTTGTCGTCGCTGCCATCCTTCACTCCTGACCTTTCTACAACGGGGATACGGGCCGCTCCGTTACTATCAGGTCCGCTTTGCACCAAGTGCACAATTTCTGCTAGATTCCGTCTTACAGCCTGGGACCCCGTAAGTACGCTCTTCCTTGCGGCGTTTCCTGAACCGGCTCTTTCAGTGAACCTTAGCCTGTCGACGTTCCCGCTTCGCCTGTCGACGTCTCGAAATACCCTGTTGCTTTTCTTCAAACGAATCAGGCGGCTGCTGGCACTTGCACCAATGTTTCCGTCACCATTGGTTCCAACGCCGCTGCTGTCGCTGCTACGTTTCGCTAGTCGATCAGCAGAAGTTTCGCGAAATCTCGCTACGTCGCTGTTTTGTTCCATGACCGGCGGCAGCAGATTCCACGAGCGCAGCATATGGCTCATTTCCCCTGAATGCAGGTACTCTAGCCATGTCCGCGGTATAGACCCGCGTCCCGTTTCGAGAGTGGCGCTTTCAGATGCTGCGGAGGAGTGGAGGTTGAAAACCAGCAGCGACGAGAGAAGGATAAATGTACCTGCATGGCAGAAAGCTAAGCTAAAGGGTTTGGTTCTCCTGCCGCGCATCTTCGGAATTGACTGAGTAAGTTCCGGATGAGAGAGTTTCAAGGCGTGAGGCGAGCAGAATGGATGGAGGAGCCGCACGCCGCGTAAACGCTCGCAGGCACATGCAGCAAGTCTCTCCTAAGTACCTTTCAATCCTAGATGTGCGTCAGGCGAATTCTAAAAACAGCTAAAGGAAATCAATAGCGAATACACCCTGCTGTCAGTTGCTACTTGTACTACAGGCTGAGTTTGACTCGGAGCAGAGCAGCGAAATTAGTAAGAGGCACAGCACGAAAATTTGTTGAGGACCTTGGTCTTGTCGTGACGGGCTCATATTTTTTTTCCCTTTCCCCTCCCCCCCAACTCCCTCTCCCCTGACGGAATTGTGTTCCTCTGTTCCCTTGGGAACTTCGTTCGTTCCCCTCGGTTCCGTTTTCTGAGCCAGTCGCGCGGCTCCGCGCTGCGCCGCACTCACCACCACGCTCGCTGCACCTGGCGATTTTCTCGACCGATTGTTGTGACAGCCATTTCGGAAACCTGGTCAATCTTGGAGCTGCGAGACGGGTCTGCGAAATGGTTACCTGCTGGCGGAACGAAGACTGCCAGCGCAAAACTATGGCGGAGTGTGGGAACAATGGCAACAAGATGTTAGTGGCATTAGTACTCGTTATTGAACATCAATAGGGTTGGACAAGAGAACAAAAAACAAGGACACGAAGTATTAGCAACATGGACTAAAATAACAAGCGTTAAACAAAACAAGGCACAACCATGGCAGATTTAAGACGCGACTTAGAAGGGCATTATAAGTTTTGTTGCACAAAAGCTTGTTCCTGCAGGCCTAGCTCAAAAGCTCCTGGTTCTATTGCTACATCACATTGTGGCTTCAGAAGCCGCAATGGCTCCTCTAAGCTCCACACCGTTCACTTTGACCGAGGAATAGAAACCCTTGGGGTTTGAGAAGAACCCAGCATCGAGTAGAGCCTTGACCTTGTTAACCGGCTGGTATGCGACTTCAAGCGACACGGTCTCTGAAACGTTGCAGGCATAGCTGCCGAAGGTTCCAGCAGCCTTGAAAGTGCATGGGAAGTCAGCCACCAGGGAGCTGTTGCTATTAGTGTAGTAGCCGGGAGTGGTGAAGTTTGGGGTAGAGGAGATCACTTTGCTGACGCGGAACAGGAAGAAGGAGCTCTGTTGGGTAGCCGTGCTGAAATGTGTGGCAGGGGTAAGACATACGGGAAAGAAAAGCTTGCGTTCGGCGGGTTTGTGCCACCGATGTGACAGCAGAAGGGTTAGTCAAGAGGTGCATCTGGAGAAAATGGTTGTGCTACGAAAACAGTCCATGCGAATAGTCCTGGGAAATAGTCCCTGGATACAGTCTAGGTTGGAATGCAGAGTAATGAGATGTCCTAGGAAAGAACGCTCACATGTTGATGTCCACAGTGAAATTGCCGAAAAGGTCAGTGCTGCTGGTGGTGGTGGAAGTGCTGAGATGGGCGGGGTGAGGCATAAACAATACTGTGAAAGCATCAGTATGCATTACTGCTCGTAGTAAGAACACAATTTGCATGCAAGGTATGTAGAGAAGTACACGTAGGGAATCATTTACAACATGATTTTCGTACTGGTAAAAAATAGGGTTCCACAAGACGTATGACTCGAAGTGGGACGGTAACGGCTAGCATGTCTAGTAGTAGCGGTAAAAGTGGAACTAGTATTCATAGCATGAAATTGCTGTTACCTGTTAGCACCAGAGAACACCACTTGGTGGTGGTTTTAGCCACCACCAAGTCTCTTGAAATTGTAGGGTAAAAGATTGATGGTATTCCTAGCACGAAATTGCTGTTACCTGTTAGCACCAGAAACCGAGGTAGTAGTTGTGGTGGACGTGCCGTTCAAAGCGACGAATCTCGTGGGCGTTGACGTGGCTTTGTCTGCGCCGTTGGATGATGGCCCACAAGGGGAAAAATACAAGAGAGAGCCAAGTGTCAGAACTTTTGATCGTTGAACGGCTTGTGAAAGCCGCAAAGGACGAGAAGCATTCCCAAAAAGCAGGGCAGAAACGAAGGTGCAAGACGGGTTTAAACCTGGTTTGGGGTCTGAGGAATAAGAAAGAAAGAAGGAGAAAAAAAAAAATAACGAATCGGGTAGAAAGTGGGTTTGGGACCTGAGTTTGAGACACCAGGTCTTACATCGCGTGTCGGCGCTGACGCCTGTTTGGAGAAGGTGGCGGGCAGCAATACAGTAGGCGTGCCTTGGTCCGAACAACTTGCTTAAAACGAATCGGCTGCAAGTGGGTATGGGGGAGACCGGAGGTCTTACATCGCGTGTCTACGCTGATGCCGGTTTGGAGAAGGTGGCGGGCGGCGGACGCGCAGGAGACGAGTGAGAGCAGCGCTGGGAAGGGGGTAGATGATTGGAAGAAAGATTGCTCGGGATAAGTCAGAAATCATGAGATCAGTAAATCATTAAAACATTAAATAATTAAAACATTAAATCATGAAAACATTAAATAATTAAATCATGAAAACATGAAACTCGCCGTAAGTTGCATTTCCAGAGGGCTGTGATGTCGCGAATGGGTCCAAACGAGGATGCTCACCGGCGAGAGCGAAGGCGATTCGCTGTGACGACTTAGCCATGATGGTTTCTTGGGAGGGGAGGGGTCGAACTGGATAGCACTACACGTACCACTGGTAGAGGGTGCTCGGGACCTTTAGGAGGAAACGAAAGAGGCTCGATTGGAGTAAAAATTTATGCACGACTGGAAGAGGAGGTTGGGCTTTTTATCGACTCATGGGGGCGACTCGACGCGGCATTGTATCTGCGACGCGGCATGATGCGACGGCGTGGGATCCGCTGTTGGGAAATGGCTGAGAGGAAAAGCCGCCGTAGTGCGTTGGCGCGAAGAATGTTGTCTGTCTCTGTGCTAGGCATTGGCGGGAAGAGGCAGTGAACAAACTAATTGTGTGGGAGATCCGCGGGGAGGAATGACTCCGGTTCGGAATAACCTGAGGTTTTGATTACCGAGGCCACAGGTAATGTCTTGTTTCGAATCGCGAATCACGAATTGCGATCTCAGGTGCTGCCGGTTTTGGTGCTGTTTAGCAAGCAGGAAATCGGCGCGACTGTCACCTTCACGTTCACGCTTGCCGAATCTGCCGGCCGGCGTTGCACACGCCGCATGTCAAGCAAAGGCCAGAAAAAAACCAGCCAGGTGTAATGAAAAAAATACGCGTTGCGAGACCAGCCCCGCAACACTGAGTAGTCTGCAAACGTGAACCATTTACGAATCATATCTACTGATTGTACTTTTTGTACGCATCTTGTATCACTCTGCTTCGATATAAGCATCTGCACATGATGCCAAGCCTTGCACTTCTCGCATGCGAAATATATCCTTGGAGTAGGAAGAGTAAGGGGTGCCAATAAAGTGTTTCGCCCTTGCGCATATGTGCTTCTCTGCGAGCGCCCTCGCAATGCCGTTGGTGTTCGTCCCCCCCTCCATGTCCCTCTCGGCTTCATGAAACGTCTGCACGGGCATAGAGAAGGAATGACGACGGAAGGGTTTCTTTTTGCAGGCGTTTGTTTCATAACACGTGGATGCAGGGGGGGAGAAAGGCTTTCAAACACGACTGTGAAAATGCTTACGACATCTGACATGGTCCCCGTGCTTACCTTTACCCACGGGAAGCGCTGGTATTCATCGGAGTTAGAGCCAAAGGTGGGCAGACGCACCACAATGAGGGGACTGCCAGGAGCCATGCCTGAAACAGAGGAAAGATGGAGGTGAATCAGCATTCCAAGTTGCCAGGGAGATCTCATAGGCCTTTCATAAGACTCTAAGAAGCCTCTCAGAAGGCTCTCAGAAGCCACCCAGAAGCCTCGCGGAAGCTTCCCGGAAGCCTCCCAAAAGCCTCACTGGGACACTCAATAGAGAGGGAAGGAAGGAGGCAGTGGGAAAAGCACGCAGCTCACCCACAAGAAGCCGCTCCAGCAGCCCCACCTCGCACTGGGTGGAGGTTTCCGAGAGCCTTCTGAAGGGCTACTTGATCCTCTCCACCTCACACTGTGGCCTCTCAGAAGGCTCTCAGAAGGCTCTCAGAAGCCTCTCTGGCAATTTTAACAAAGGGGAAGGGAAGGCGAGAGGCAGAGGGAGAGCAACTGCGTCTCACCAATGAGAAGCCGCTCCAGCAACTCCACTTCGTATGGGCTGGCGTCCGTGGCGAGATAGACAGCTGTCACGTTGTGATTGGCCAGCCGCCTCATGATGAATCTGCCCACGGCCACTATGGGGAGAAATGCGGGGTGGCTCTTGGTTTGATGCGTGTGGTGGTACACACGAGAGAAGTCGGACCTGCAAGAGCAATTGGGGGTTAGAAGCGGGAAGTGACGGGAGAAGAGGTTAGATGCATATCACTGAGACGCACTGCCACTATGCGGAGAAATGCTGGATGGCTCTTTGCTTGATGCGTGTGGTGGTATACACGGGAGAAGTCGGACCTGTAAGGGCAAGGGGGGTTAAGGGCGAGGAATGACGGGAGACAAGGTCAGACACACGTCAATGCGACCCTCTGCTACTATGGGCAGGAAGGAAAATTTGATTTGAGACGTCTCAAAACAAATCTTCTATCACGTGGCAATGACCGGAGGCGAGGTCAGACACACGTCAATGAGACCCACTGGTACTATGGGCAGGAAGGCGGGATGGCTCTTGGCCTGGCGTGTCTGGTGGTACACACGCGAGAAGTCGGACCAGCAGGGGGCGAGGGTGGGGAGGGCGGGGAGGGCTGAGAGGGTGGAGAGGGCGGAGAGGGCGGAGAGGGCGGAGAGGATGGAGAGGGCGGAGAGAGCGGAGAGGATGGAGAGGGCGGAGAGGGCGGAGAGGATGGAGAGGGCGGAGAGGGTGGAGAGGGCAGAGAGGGTAGAGAGGGCAGAGAGGGCGGAGCGGATGGAGAGGGCGGAGCGGATGGAGAGGGCGGAGCGGATGGAGAGGGCGGAGAGGATGGAGAGGGTGGAGAGGTGGAGAGGGCGGAGAGGGCGGAGAGGGCGGAGAGGGCGGAGAGGGCGGAGAGGATGGAGAGGGCGGAGAGAGCGGAGAGGATGGAGAGGGCGGAGAGGGCGGAGAGGATGGATAGGGCGGAGAGGGTGGAGAGGGCAGAGAGGGTAGAGAGGGCAGAGAGGGCGGAGCGGATGGAGAGGGCGGAGCGGATGGAGAGGGCGGAGCGGATGGAGAGGGCGGAGAGGATGGAGAGGGTGGAGAGGTGGAGAGGGCGGAGAGGTGGAGAGGGCGGAGAGGATGGAGAGGGCGGAGAGGTGGAGAGGGCGGAGCGGATGGAGAGGGCGGAGAGGATGGAGAGGGTGGAGAGGTGGAGAGGGCGGAGAGGTGGAGAGGGCGGAGAGGTGGAGAGGGCGGAGAGGGTGGAGAGGGCGGAGAGGATGGAGAGGGTGGAGAGGTGGAGAGGGCGGAGAGGTGGAGAGGGTGGGATGGAAGTGCGGGGAGAAGTTATGGGAGAAGATGTCAGATACTCGCTATTGAGGCCCACAGGCACTATGAGGAGGAATGCAGGATAGCCCTTGAACAGCCTGACAATGGCAGCATATAATAATGACAAAGCCCTCTACAGGGGGAGGGGTGGCTGCCACATGCTGATTTCTTAACGTCCATTGATCACCTCCTCAGGTGCACGGCGGTGTTGTCCCCTCCAAGAATGGCATCGATAAACCAAATGAAAAAACGAGGTGAATTTTGAGTTGACTCAAGAGTCACCAAGAAAGGCATCGATAAACCACGTGAAATTAACTCCTGGATAATGTGGGGCGGTAGCTGCCAGAGGTCCCTGCAGTAGAGGTGGATGGCCGAGCATGGGCTGAGAAGGGCAGGTTTCTGAATGGCACCTTCTCAGGTGCACGGCTGCATAGTCTCCTCCTAGGAACGTATCGATAAACCCAGAAACAAACCCCTCCACGGGTGGGGGCGGCTGCCAGAGGTCCACACAGGAGAGGCAGAAGGGCGGGTGTGGGCTCAACAGGGCAACAAGAGACGAGGGGGCGGCCATCCAACCGGATCTTACCTTCTCAGGTGCACGGCAGCATAGTCCCCTCCGAGGATCGTGTCGATAAACCCAGTCATGAAGCCCTCCACGGGTGGGGGCGGCTGCCAGAGGTCCACGCAGGAGAGGCGGAAGGGCGGGTGGTACCAGGTTACCCGCTTACAATCGTACCTTCTCAGGTGCACGGCCGCATAGTCCCCTCCTAGAAATGTATCGATAAAGCCAGTCACGAAGCCCTCCACGGGTGGGGGCGGCTGCCAGAGGTCCACACAGGAGAGGCGGAAGGGGGGGTGCGGGCTGAACATGTCAAATGGCAGGCTGGAGAGAGTGAGGCCGTTGAGATCGCCCAGGGATAGCATGGCGGTGGAGGCATAGATGCCACTGCCAGCACTGCTGGTGCCACTGCTGCTGCTGCTGCTGCTGTTGGTGAGGAAAGGAGGCGCTTCTCCCGGTGCTTGCAGAACGGTTAGGTCTGACTCAGACTGAGCAGCAGAAGCAGCAGCCGAGGCGGAAGCAAGGGCAGGCGCAGCCAGTGGTTCCTGCTTCCCTTGGGGGTCTAGAGGCTCTTGGGATTGGCGCAGGCCCGGCAGGGGGTGCAGGGCCGCATCTGGGCTGGCGAGCACCTGCTGCAGCTCGTCTAATTGGTGTGAGTGTAACGGGGGGTACTCTAGGTGCGAGGAAAAGGAGATGTCTGATAGGGCCTTGAAAACCTGGGAGGGGGAGGAGGGGAGAAAGGGAAGAAAAGACAGAAGACGAACGGGGGGGGGTGTAAGAGGGAGTACTCGAGGTGCGAGGAGAAGGCGATGTCTGGTAGGGCCTTGAAGGTGGCTGACACACATGTGTGAAGGGAGACTTAACCCATGGGTGGCTGACACACATGTGTGAAGGGAGACTTAACCCATGGGTGGCTGACACACATGCTGGGGGTGACTCAGACAATATGGCTGAGGCAAAGTCATTAACTGTGGCTGGCTGAGGCATGTGCGCGGCACAATGCACGCCATCCGGTCCACAGTGAGGTAGCGCCCCTCCACGCGTGAGACTTACCATGGGTGACTGACATACACGCTGTGGCTGGCTGAGACATACTCACCATCTGCGGGTGGCAGTGGCATGTGTGCGGCACAATACACGCTATGCGGTCCACAGTCAAATTGCGCCCCTCAGAGGCCTCTCGTACTCGTCCTTGCTTATCACAGTTGGCACCGTGGTTGAGGATGGCTAGCACATGTGTGTGGTACAACACAGACCAGTTGAGTCAACTCTTGAGCACTCACCATTTGTGGGTGGCTGAGGCACACTCACCATTTGTGGGTGGCTGAGGCACACTCACCATCTGCGGGTGGCTGAGGCATGTGTGCGGCACAACACACGCTATGCGGTCCACAGTCAAGTTGCGCCCCTCCAATGCCTCGTACTCGTCCTGGCTTATCACAGTTGGCACCTCCCCACTGGCCGCCTGCCAGCTCCACTCGTTATTATCACTGCTGCTGCTGCTACTGGTGCCGTCATTGCTATTGCCAGATGCAGCAGCAGCAGCAACGGCGCCACCACCAGAAGCAGTAATGGCAGCATTACTCGCAGCAGCAGCAGTGGCAGCAGGCTCAGGGGACGGATAATGTGGCATGAGGCAGGAGCGCATGTGGGGGACGTTCACAATGACCCCCCACTGCCAGCGGTACTCTGCCACAACTGATATGGCGTAGCCGTGCCGCGGGATGACCAGTGTTCGGTTCAAGAGCGCTGCCAACGCCAGGTACATGTGCAAACACGCTTCCTGATGGTGGGGGTGAGGGAGGGAGGGGGGAAGGTTAGGCACTGAGAATGGCGTAGTCAGTGGCGTCGCATGTGCTCAGGCTTGCTGGCTTGTTCGGCTCACCTGGTTGGATAGCCGCCCATAGGTGCACAGCGCCAGCAGGTACCGCCCCTTGATGGGTCTCAATGCCTCTATCACCTTCCTGTCGTCCTTCGTTTCTCTCCTTGTGGCTGCTCCCCCGCCCTCCTCACATAACTCGGCTACACACACCCTCACCTGGTTGGATAGTCGCCCATAGGTGCACAGCGCCAGCAGGTACCGTCCCTTGACAGGCCTCCACGCCTCAATCACCCTCCTCTCGCCCCTCGCGTCTCTCCTTATGGCTGTTCCCCCGCCCTCCCCACACGCCGCTGCAGGTGATTCCAGCACCCTCCTCCGCCTCACCCCCCCTCTCTTGCTCCACATTTGACCTACTCGCTCTAACCTCGCCTTTACACCTCCCCCCCTCGCCTCTACACCCCTGCTCCTCTCTCCCCTCCAAACCTCCACCTCACTCATCCCGCCCCTCCTCATGCTCCTTCCTCCGGCCACGAGTTTTTCCCCTGGTAACCACCTGTACCAGCCCATTTCGCTGCTCTTTGCCGAACGAGCCAGTTTTTTTCTCCAAGAACCCAACAATCTGCCATACAGCCACCGCTTGCCCACCAGCCTCGCCCAACCTTGCGCTGCAACTGAAAGATACGGAAGCAGGACGGCAGTGGATCCAGATTCTGGCTTCGAAACAGGGTGAAGTACCAGGCGTTCGACAGGCGTTTCGCCAGGAGATGTTTCAGGAGATTTTCCAACAGATGTCGGAATAATGGTTCCGGGAGTCGTAGATTTAGCCAGAACGGCCGGATGTAACGATGGATCGGGCATTTGGGACTCTCCCACTGCTGCGACATGGCATGACCTCCAAAGGAGGCCTAGAAGAAGCACGCTGAAACCGAGCGGTCGGATAGCCGGCAGGAGGAACAGGACCATATTTCCGTTTAGCTGCTGCTTCACTATCGAGGTCTTCAATACAGAATAGGAGCCTCTGGTCTGCACGGCATTTAATGTGGAATATTAAATGCTGGGAGATTCTCGTGCTGGCAGAAGATTCCAGGCTCAGCAGAGGATTCCAGGCGCAGGAGGTGATTCCAGGCGCAGGAGGTGATTCCAGGCTCAGGAGAAGATTCCAGGCTCTCGTGTGGAATTTGCTTGGAATCCCCTGGCTCCGACCCAGAAAAAAACCTGCAACGCTAGGAATCACCAGGTTCCAACCCGTTTTGAGAATTCTAAAGACTGAGCCTGCAACTCCAGGAATCCCCTGGCTCCAAACTAAAAAAGAACCATTTTTGAGGCGCCTAAAAAAATCAATTCTAGGAATCTCCTGGCTCCGAACTCTCGTACAATACGAGCTGTGAATCCACGAGGACCGTCTGCACCTCTGCTGAAACTATAACGAGGAAACGGAAACTCCTTCCGCGGAAAGAGTCCGCATCGCGAGGAATAGCGATCTCCTTCGAGCATCGTAGCAGCGAGGAGAACTGCGACGCGCCTGAAAGGCGTGCTGCGTCGAAACGGGACGAACCGAAGGCATTCAAGACATCTTCGCTGCATAGAACGCCGTGTGAAGCGTCAGGGTCGTCAGGGAGGTTCGAACGGCGTCATTTCCGCAGTAACGCCGTGGGAAAAGTCAGAAAGGTGTGTCATTACTGTGCCATGATGACTCATAATCCACCGTGGCAGAAAGGCCGCGGGAAAAGTCAGAAGCGTGTCAGTCGTCATAATTCCTGAAGAAAGGCCGTGGGAAACGCCAGGGTGCAGCCGATGCTGGCTGCAGGCACGCGTGAAGCACGGTCGGTTACTGGTTGCGAGAGGAACCCGAGGTAGTCAGGCTGTGAGGCAGAGACAGAGAGAGATTCTGTCAGGATTCTGCCTGACTGAAGATGCCAGTCTGAAATGGTAGTTTGCAGCTGAACTCCCTCAGTGTGCAATGTGAATGCTCAGTTGGTGGTGGTGGTGGTTGTTCAGGCGGCGGCAATTCCAATGCTTCAATTACCGTACCTGTTATTGTACACCTCGTCTCGGAACAAAACACAGAAGATTCCTGATTTTATCCAGCGTTTCAGGTAGCTCAACTTATTCAGTTTCTAATGTGCATTCTAATCTTTGTGCCTATCTAAGGTTTCATTTGATTCTCATGCCGAATTCCACGAGGGGTCCTTCGAGAGGAATGTTTTTCTAGGTGCTCACAACATTGGGCATCTCAACTATAACCTTCAAATGACCGTTGTCTGAAGGCCGTGGCTTGTGGACAAAGCAGCACGGCCTCTCAGAGGTCCACAAGCGAAGTGAGAACCTGGAAGCCATGGTCGGAAGGTAGGGGACCATTGCCAGGGCGAGAAAGCAACACGGCCTGCAGACCTGTGGGTAGGAGTACCAAGGAAGAATTCGCACAGGGAGGCGTAGGAGGAAAAGAGAGACTTGGCAGGATTGAGATTCTCGGCTATCCAACCAGGATTGAGAAGCCATGGTTTTATTGCGTAGCAGGTAACTGACTGATTGTCAAAATTTGTCTGATTGCAACGATGATGGGACCTCCCTGCTTGGATCCATCTGTGTTTCTTCTCATACCTGAATGAATCATCTACCGGTTGTGCATCTCCGGTTTCTGGGATGCTTCATGATCCATGTGATGTAATGGAGAAATCACGACCCACTTCTAGCATGCGGATCCCATGCCCACCTGCTTGCTTGGCGGCCTGAGCCTCCTCAAGGATGTCGGTGCAGAAGGTGATGAGAGCAGGTGAGTCCACACCCACTGAGAGAGCGATCTCGGAATAACTCCGCGCCTCCCGCTTGTTGCTGCTTGGAGGGAGTGAGAGGGTGGGTGAGAGAGAGAGAGACAGGGAGAGTGAGAGAGAGAGCAGGTGGGTCCATGCCTACTGAAAGAGTGATCTGGGAATAGCTGCAAGTGAAAGAGCGAGAGGGAGATGAGCAATATCGAATCTATGATTGATATTCCTTTGTAAGAAAGAATTGATTCACTAAAGAGAGCAATCGAAAACAATTGAGTGCATACAGTAAGACATGCCGACTCACCCTGTGGTTGTATCGAAGAAGCCACTAATGAACGGCCGCAAATCGCCCACATTGGAGTACCCGAAAATGAGCCGCTGAGCCTCCCTGCTACCACTGGAGTAGATGTAGATCTGGAGGTTGAAAGGAATCGGGCAGGGGGGAGAGGGGGATCACAAAGCATTGAACCCGAAAATGAGCCGCTGAGCCTCCCTGCTGCCACTGGAGTAGATGTAGATCTGAGCGTTGGAAGGGGGGAGAAATGGGGAGAGGAGGGGAGGGGGGGGGGGAAGAGGCGGTGAGAGGGGGGACGGGATGATTCGTTTAGTGAAACCAATTAATTGAAACATAAGCTGATGAGCCTTTCTTCTGCCAGAGGAAACTATGTGGATCCGGAAGGGGGGGTCTGCACTTGGGGCCTCTGCACTTGGGGGTCTGGAGGAAGGGGGGGAGTGGGAGGGGAGGGGAGAGGGGCGGGAGGGGAAGGAGGGCTGGAGAGAGCATCGGGAAGGGTAACAAGTCGAACCGGAAAACCTGGAAACGGAAACCTGGAAAAGAGCTGGCCCTTCTTGTAGCCGCCCCTCGAGATAGCATTTGCGTACCTACCTTGCAGCAGACAGCTGAGAACACCCGCACTAGATTGAGCTGCCTTTCTACCTTGAGTTGGCCCCAATCTTTACCACCCTGGACCCAAGCTACCCAAGCTCCACCCTGCTCCCAGCAGCATGCCACTGACTGAGAGCCGTCAGCACGTCGCTGAAGAACTCCCCCTTGAGTTCGCCCTTCTCGTGTCCCCCTCGCCAGATGTGCATTTTTGAGGTGCCTCAAAAATAGACCCCTTGAGTTCGCCCTTCTCGTGTCCCCCTCGCCAGACGTGCCCCTGCAGCTGCTTCAGCGCCCTCACCTTCCGGTCCGCCGCTACCATCGCCGCCACTACCTAACCTGAAGCCAGTCTAACAGACAACCAGACACCACCTTCACCAGATAGCACATGACCCAGATAGAGCCTACCCTACATCTCAAGCCTCACCTTGCTCCCAGCCACACGCCACTGACTAAAGGCAGTGAGCACATCGCTGGGAAACTCACCCTTCAGGCTCAGGCTCCCCCTTCAGGCTCCCCCTTCAGGCTCCCCCTTCAGGCTCCCCCTTCAGGCTCCCCTTTCAGATCCGCCGCTACCATCAGCCGCCACACTCTCTGAGGCTTGCTCCCCCAAGAGCTACCCACCTTCCGGTCCGCCGCTATCATCACCATCACACTGCTCTCAAGTGCTCTTCTCTTGCTTACCTTGCTCCCGGCAGCGTGCCACTGACTGAGAGCCGTCAGCACGTCGCTGAAGAACTCCCCCTTCAGCTCGCCCTTCTCGTACCCGCCCCTCCAGATGTGCCCCTGCAGCTGCTTCAGCGCCGTCACCTTCCGATCCGCTGCTATCATCGCCGCCACGTTCCTCTCCAGCGCCCCTACCACCGCCTCCTTACCCGCTTCTGCAGCGGGGACCTCCTCTGCTCCTGATACCCCGTGCTTGATGTCTTGTTCAATCTGGGAGCGCAGCAGCAGGATGTCGGCTTGGGTTTCAGCGGAGTCGTAGGTGGCGAGCAGGTGCTGCCCCACGTGCGATTTGGCGTAGGGGAAGAGCACCTGGGGGGGGGGGAGTGGGGGGAGGGGGGGGAGAGAAATGGGAGGAAGGGATAGCCACGGGCCCACGGAACCACGGTAGCAATCGTGGGTGATGTCAGCAATTGTCGAAATTACTTGGTATCCACGATTGCTGACGTGAGGAGTTATGAGTGAGGAAGGGACAGGGAAGAAGAGGGGGGCCTAGGCAGTGCGGCAGGTGCCAAGGAGGGCCGAGGCAGCGTGGGGATGAGGACAGGGGAGAGGAGGAGAGAAGACGGCTAGTTCTTTGTGGATGTGAAGGGGGTGGTGGGGGGGAGGGGAATGGGGAGAGGTGGAGGATGGGGGGTGGAGGAGGGGTTCTCTTGAAGGAGAAGAGAAAACAAGAATTCGCAAAAAGATAAGAAGGAGCGAAAAGAGAAAAACGAGCGGAGCAAGCAAAAACCGCAAAAACTGAGAAAAGAGCAGAAGGAACAGAAGGAGTAAGCGGTGTACCTGGGAGACGAAGGAGATGGGCGTGGTGGTGCCTTCGATGTCCAGCACTATGACCTTCTGCAGAGAGGGGGCGCGAGATGGGTGGGGGGAAGAAGGGTGGAGGGAGGGAGGGGGGATGAGGGAAGGGAGGACGGATGGGAGAGGGAGGGGGAGACAGCAGAAGGAGATGGGCGTGGTGGTGCCTTTGATGTGCAGCACTAGGACCTTCTGCAGAGAGAAAGGCAGGATGGGGGAAGGGAAGGTCTAGGGCGTGGTGGTGCCTTCAATGTCATACAGAGGAGACCTCTTCGTGCACTATGACCTCTGTGGCATGGGTTGAGTTGAGCCCCATCTAATGCACTCTGCCTGTGCCTCAGCGGGTGGCATGGGTTGAGTTGAGCCTGTGCCTCACCGGAAAGGAGTGTTTGGAGTCGACTCAAAAGTGTGTTTGGATTGGAGTCGTCGTTTGGAGTCGACTCAAAACACTCCTTTGAGTCGGTTGGCAACCGCTCATGCCTGTGCCTCACCGGAAAGGATTTGTTGCCAGCAGCAGCACCAGGGACGGCAGGGGCAGCACTGGTGGTAGGGAGGTGCAGCGGATGGCAGGGGTTGAGCCCCATCTGGTGCATTCTGATAGCAGCGTCAAAGAGGTAGTGGTAGCACTCCGCCTGGGTCTTTGCCTGGATCCAGTTGTCCCCCCAGATGTACACTCCGTGGTTGCGCACCAGCACTGCCGTTGCCTTGGGGTAGGCTTCAATCTGAAAGTGGCGAGAAGGAAGGGAGTGGGTAAGTAGGAGAGACGAGGGTGAGGGAAGACGGAGGATGAGGCGAGAGGAATGGTGGAGAGGAATGGTGGAGAGGAATGGTGGAGAGGAATGGGGGAGAGGATGGGTTTGAAGAGCACTCTATTTCTGAGGCAATTTTTTCGCACTCTATTTTTGGAGCTTCAGAAAGAGTGGAATGGTGCAGGGGATGGATTTGAAGAGTGGCACCTGCACCAGCAGAGCGGGACTCTGTGTTGAGCGGCACTCTGTGTTGAGCGGCACTCTGTGTTGAGCGGCACTCTGTGTCTTCATAATTTTCTCACGCAAGGTTGAGAAGAGGGAAAGGATCAGTGGTTGGGGAACGAGAGGGGAGGGCGACGAGAGCACTCACCGCAGCAGCAAGGGAGTCGGTGAGCTCATACTCCCTAGCAGTGTTCTCGATGATCGGCACCACCAGCTCGTCGTAGTAGCCATGGCCAACTATGCCCTTGATCATCTCCATGTGGGATATCTGTGGGAGGGGAGAGAGAGACAGAGATAGTGGGAGGGCAGGAGAGAGAGAGTGTTCTCAATAACCCCGAGTACCAGCTCAGACTCAGGTTGTTGTGGTACCTGTGGCCCACAATGCCCTTGATCATCTCCCTGTGGGATATCTGTGTGGCAACGAGTGAGGGAGAGAGAGAGACCAAGGGGGGGCTGGAGAGACAATGGGGAGGAGGAAGAGAAAGAAAGTGTGAGTGGCCCACCATGCCCTGGCCCACCATGCCCTGGCCCACCATGCCCTGGCCCACCATGCCCTGGCCCACCATGCCCTGGATCACCATGCCCTGGATCACCATGCCCTGGATCACCATGCCCTGGATCACCATGCCCTGGATCACCTTCATGTGGGAAATCTGTGCGGCAACGAGTGAGAGGGAGAGAGATTGGAGGTGAGACGGTGAGAGCGATCGAGAGTGTGGGAGTGAGGGGGAAGGCTGGTTGGGGAGGGGCGCATGATGTCACTTCTGATAACCTTCAAAGGGGACAACAGTGAGGGTGGGTGGGCGAATAAGACAAGCTGTCCACCAACTCGGTCAACCCAATCAGCTCGGTCTACTAAGTCAACACCGTCAACCCAGTCAACTCAGTCAGCTCGGTCATCCCAGTCAACTCGGACAACCCAGTCAGCTTGGTCAACCCAGTCAGCACGGTCAACCCGGTCAACTCGGTAGAATCAGTCAACTCACCTGGAACTCCTTAGCGCCAAGGACAGTCATGGCAGTCTCCATGCAGTGGCTGTGACTAGAGTCAACAGGAGTCAATTGTCAACCCAGTCAACTCAGAGTCACCTCGGTCAACTCACCCGAAACTCCTTGGCGCCAGGGACAATTATGGTCGCCATGGCAGTCTCCATCCCACGGCTATGACCAGAGTCAACTGTCGGTCAACCCCACAGTCACCTAGTCCAACCCAGCTCACCCGGAACTCCTTGGCGCCCGGGACAATCATGGTCGCCATGGCAGTCTCCATGCCGTGGCTGTGGATCACTGCACCCGCCCCACGCATCTCGAAGCACTGCGGGATTGGGTGTGGGGGTTGGAGGGGGGTTAGTGGGTAGAAGGAGGGGCTTGAGGTAAAGGGGCAATGGATGTATCCCACTGCCATGCCGTGGCTGTGGATCACTGCACGCGCCCCTCGCATCTCGAAGCACTGTGTCATTGGGATTTGGGGAGCGGGGTTGGGTGTGGAAAGGGGTGAAGGTGTTGGGGAGGATGAGGGGAGGATGGGGCACTGTATGTGCGCCCACTTCCTTGCAGTGCCTGTGGATCACTGCACCCGCCCCTCGCTTCTCGAAGCACTGCAGGATAGGGTGAAGAGGGGAGGAGGGGACTGAGGTAAACGGGGCAATGTATGCACCCCAGATGGGAAAACGTTGGATTCGATCCGCAGCAAGCCTCCTAAGAGTAGATCTAAGACTAGAGGTACAATCTAACAGCGAGAAAGGTAAGAGAAAGATTTCTCAAGTCAGAACGCCAGACACAATAGGCCCGGATGTCGCGTGCGAACGCGTTTCGGCCAGCAATAGGCCTTCATCAGCACACTGATAGACCTTCATAACCGGGGCCTGTCAAACAATGCACCCCACTGCCATGCCATGCCATGCCAATCACTGCACCCCACTGCCATGCCATGCCATGCGGATCACTGCACCCCACTGCCATGCCATGCCTGTGGATCACTGCACGCGCCACTACCATGCCATGCCATGCCTGTGGATCGCTGCACGCGCCCCTCGCATTTCAAACACTGTGGCACTGCTGGGGTTTAAGAAGCGGGGTTGGTTGAGGGAAGGGCGGAAGTAACTGGGGAGGTTGGGGCATTTTATGTGCGCCCACTGCCATGAGGTGGCTGTGGATCGCTGCACCCGCCCCTCGCATCTCGAAACAGTGTGGCATCGAGAGTGGGAAGGGAGGGGGAGGGTGGGGGAGTGGGCTAAATATACGGAAAAGATGCATCTTTTCACTCTCATTGTTTGGCTACTTCAAGACAAACACCCCAGTCAATCAAAGGTGCACTCCAAGGTGCACTCCACTCCACGCCATGAGTCGACATAGCGACAACAGGGCGGGCGGCAAACTCGGCATGAGGGATCGGGAAATGTACGCACCTTGAGGAAAAGGAAACTTCACGCACCAAAAGGAAGAGAGGGCCGCACTCGCTGCACTTGGGGGGCTTTTGAGGCGCGGGCTTGACCTTGGGCTCCACCAGGGCAGAACTACCTACCGACTGGGCCGTCTAGTCTAGTGCCATAAGAGGGTACCACACCACACTGCATCGCACAAGCCTCGGAAAGCAGAGGGCCGCACCTTAGGGAGCACGCGCCCTAGGGAGCAGAGAGCTCACGCACCTTGAGGAAGAGAGGGCCGCACTCGCTGCACTTGGGGGGCTTGTGCGGCGCGGGCTTGACCTTGGGCTCCACCAGCACTGTGCCGTCTGGGGCCATCACGTACATGTCCTCCGGCACCATGCGCTCCTTCTGCACGCCTGGTTGTGAGCACGGGGCGCATGGGCGGTAAGGCAAGAGAGTGGGATGGAGGGTGGTGCGCTTGACCTTGGGCTCCACCAGCACTGTGCCATCCGCGGCCATCACGTGCATGTCCTCCGGCACCATGCGCTCCTTCTGCACGCCTGTGGGCGGATGGATGGATGGTACATGGGTAATCAGGCGAGGCAGGGGGAAGGAGGGTGGCGGGTTTGAGGTTGGGTTCCATCAAGACAGTACCATCAAGACAGTATCATCAAGACAGTACCATCAAGACAGTACCATCAAGACTGAGAGAGGGCGAGGGAAGCAGCGACTAGTACAAGAGATGGGATGCGGGGAGAGAGGGAGGGATGCGGGAATGGAGCGAGAGGAGACACAAGGGAGGGGCGAAAAGGAATGGGTTGGGAGGGGGGGGAAGTGGGGGGTTTAGGAGGCACTAATGACCAGAGGGCGGAGGAGGGGGCGCTACTGACCAGAGGGCGCCATGACGATTGTGCGTTCCTGGTTGGTCTTCCCCGGCTCGTTCGCCTTGATGCTGATGCTGCCGCCTGCACGCACACAGATACGCATAGACGTGCACAGATGCTGGTCAACTCCGGTCAACGCTGGTCAATGCTGGCCAATGCTGGCCAACGCTGGCCAATGCTGGCAAGACACGCGTTCCATACACTCGGTATCGGTGATAGTGAAGAATCAGGTCACACAACAGGTGGAGCCTGTACAACAAGGATCTAGGGAATGAGAGCGTTCAGAATGGGGGTTTCTAGAATGAGCGTGCAGGTAAGGACCGCGAGAAAAACGAAGGGGAATCTGATCTGATCTACGCGCACCTGTTCCCGAGACCCATCCGAGGGTGTAGAAGTGCCGGCACAGCTCCGCCACCAGATCGCGCGCTTCTCGCACTGCCTCGCTCTCCTGATATCCCGCCGCCATTGTCGCAACGCCGCGCTTGACGATCGCGCTACCGCGGAAAAGAGACTCTCTTCGTGGTGGTGCGGAGAGAGCGAAATGCGGTGGGCGAGTTAAACGAAGAGGCGAGCGGGAGAACGGGAGCCGCTGAGAAATGCAGCGACGGATGGCGATGCAGGAAGTTGGGACGAGAGGAAGTGCCGCCATGACTGGAACGGGGAGAAAGGATAGGGTGTGAACCTAAAACTTGCAATCAATAATGGTTTTCTCTAGTTGCCGACAGGTGCCGTGGTGTAGTTGGTTATCACGTCAGTCTAACACACTGAAGGTCTCCGGTTCAAGTCCGGGCGGCGCCATATATTTTGTCACGGTGCTCCCCTTACTCATTATTGGAGCCAACGTTATGTTGTGTTTTGCTTATGCATCCCCTTACTCTAGTTCTTTCAGCACTTCTGCATCCCATTGTCAGTTGATATAATTCCTCAGCATGGACTAGCTTTCGGTTTTGGCTAACAACTAAAATTGCTTGCAGGCATGAGTTCAAGAAAGACACTATGCCTGCCACATTTCATGTCTTTCCCATAATCTGGCAGTACCCGCCTTCTCTCACAATCAAGAGCAGGCACAGTAATAGTCCACTGTGTCAAACATGTTTAGTTATCATGCTTGTATAGACTGTATAGGGTTATCTTCTAGAGAGTACAACATTTAGGTATATGTTTGTGTACTCTCTCTCTCTATTCATCAATTTCACTGTTTGTTATGGTATCACGCGTAGGTAGGATCCCCCCCCCCCCCCCCCCCTCACGCTTTAGGGTTTAGGGTGAGAGCGCGGGACAGGGGAGACAGGACGAGCACGAGAGGGGCGGCGAGACCAGACGTGTGAGGGCGGCGTCGGGTCAGGAGACAGAGGAGGGGACACAGGAGGGGAACGAGGGGGAAGACGAGCCGGGGACGAGTCTGGCAGAGGGAACACGGGGCCGTAGACGGGAAGAGGGGGAGACGGCAGGAGAGGAACAGGCGCAGGGTCAGGAGACGGAAGGCCGAGCAGACGGAGGGCGGACACAGGCGGGGACTGCTGCTGCGGCGACACAACACCAACACCAGGGCCACAAGCTGCGCGACGGCTACCTCCCGAACCCTCCACACCTGCACCCCCAGAAGGGACACCCCCAGAGTCCACAAACGGCGGCAGCGACGACAGCGGCGGCGGCGGCTGCAGCGACGGCTGCGACGGCGGCGGCGGCGGAGACGACGGCTGCAACGGCGGCGGCGGTGGAGACGACGGCTGCAGCAGCTGCGGCGACGGCGGCTGCGGAGGCGGTGGAGGAGGAGACACCGGGGGAGGGACAGACGGCGAGGACTGCGCCGGAGGACTACCAGAGTCAGAAGACTCGTCGACCGGGACGACCGACGGGAGGGGGGTGACGTGAGACACACCAGAGGGGGCCGGACGGGGGGGCGGGGGGGAGGAGGGGCAGGGACCACCAGGGAGGGAGGAACCAGGAAAAGGGGGGGAGTAACCGGGGGACCACGGTGGGGAAAGCGGCGGTAGAAGGAGACGGACTCGTCAAAGGTGACGTCGCGAGAGTGAAAGAAGCGGTGAGACGGCGGGTGGTAGAAGTGCCAGTCGGACGCGTCAAGGGGGAAACCGAGGAAGACGCAGGGGAGGGTGCGGGCAGTGAGCTTGTCCGTGCCAGAGGCACGAACGTGAGCAAGGCAGCCCCAGACGCGGAACGCAGACGCGTCACCAGGGGACCCGGTCCACAGAAGGGTCGGCGAAACCTGCGGCCGCTGGGGGTGCGGCCACAGGTTAAGCTGGTGAGCGGCGTAGCGCACGGCGAACGGCCACAGAAAATGGGGTGCACCGGCGTGGATCATGGAGGTGCGAGCCACCTCCATGACCAAACCGATGCGTCGCTCAGCGACCCCATTCTGCTGCGGGGAGTCCGGCAGGGTAAACGTCTGGGTGATGCCCTCCGCACGACAGAAGCGACCAAGGACACCTGAGGCAAACTCGCCACCCCGGTCGGAGTGAAGGCGCAAGGCAGGGAGACCGCGGTGGACACGAGCAGAGACAAGCCAGGGGATGAGAACGTCAGGCACGTCGGCCTTCCGCTCCAGGGGGAAGACGGTGGTGTAGCGCGTGAAGTCGTCGACAAGCACTAGGAAGAAGCGCTCGCGACGCGGCCCATGGACCGGGGCTGGGCCCCAGACGTCCATGTGCAGAGTCTGCAGTGGTGCGGTGGTAGGGGGAAAAGAGGAGGAGTGAGGGGCACGGCGGAGCCGGCCCTCGACACAAGGCGTGCACGGTGGGGCGGGGGAGGAGGGAAACTCGGGGAACGAACCGGGGAGACCAAGGACGAGACCGTGCTGGGACATGTGATGCAGACGTGGGAGTGCAGGGTGACCAAGGCGGTGGTGCCAAAGGAGAGTCGGGTGAGTGAGGGACCGACAGGAGCACGCGGCTGCAACCTGGGTGGACGCAACTACCGGGGGGGAAGACCCAGCCGGGGACGGCGCGGTGTCAAGTGTGAACAGGCCGGACACCGGGTCCCGGGGGAAAGTGGTAAGGGGGGCACCAGTGGCGGCCTCGGTACAGACAGCATACCGCTCGTGACCAGGGAACGTAGTGGTGACGCCAAGGTCCTGGAGGCAGCCGACACCAACTAGGTTCCTGGAGAACGAGGGGATATGCAGACCTGTGAGAGTGCCCGAAGGAACCGCCGGACAGGGAAGGGAGGTGGAACTGCGGGCAACGACGGGACCACCGGAGGGGTCAGCAAGAGTAACTGCAGCGGGAGCAGGCAGCGGCGTCAGCGTCGTGGAGTCGCGGAAGAAACACCGGGAGGCGCCAGAGTCCAAGGTGAAGGAAAGCGCAGCAGTCGCGCGAGGCAGCAGTGAAGCGGTGGAAGCACCAAGGCTAAGCAAAGCAGGAGATCCTACGCCTGACGCAGCAGGGGAGTCTACGCTAGGCACCGCTACACTAGGCAACACGGGGTAATAAGAGGGAAGCACACTAGAGTCATCAGCATACATCACATGCAAAGCCACTACAATGGCATCCATGTCCAAGTCAAAAATCCTAACGCTACGCCTAAGCAAGCTGTGCCAGTCCGGGAGGTCGGGCGCCGGGCCAAAGCGCTGGCGGAACAGGTCGTCCAGGCGACGAAAACAGCGAGGAGTAGAATGACCGATCTTACCGCAAACGAAGCCGCGGCGAGGACCGGTCTGGATCTGGTACTGACAGGGCCCGCCTCCAGAACCACCACCCGGTGCACCACCACGCGCACGACCACCACCAGCTCCAGGCCACCCAGGTGGGAGAGTACTCGCCTGCCTCGTCTGCGGCGGCTGCTGCGGCTGCTGCGAAGGCTGCGGCTGCGGCGACTGCTGCTGCTGCGGCTGCTGCAACTGTGGAGGCAGCGGGGCAGCTGGACCGGGCAGGGTCCCCACGTCCGCACTGGCACCGGACGACCCGCCTCCACCACTACCCCCACCCGCACCCCCGCCGCCTCCGCCGCTCCCAACCTTGGGGCGGCGGCCCTTCGCCGAGCGGGACTGCACTGCAGCAGCAGTCTCAGCCACAGCGACAGAGCCGTCGGAGAAGGTACACTGAGCGGGGGCACAACCCTGAAAGATAGGGACCGGTACTGTACCGCTCGCCAGGGCTATGGAGCGGTGACGAGTCTCTATGGCAGTCAGGGTGTCAACAAAGTCGGTGAGGGTGAGAGCAGCAGGGTGGATGCTAAGGAACTGGTCGCGGGCGGCGGCAAGGCGGTCAGGTAGGCGGGTGGCAAGGAGGTAGAGGGTAGAGGTCATGGGAGGCTGGTGGACTCTAAGCTGAGCATCAGTGCAGGCAGCGCGCCAGGCCTCATCTATCGAGCGCAGGTGGGCAGCGAGGTCAGAGACAGTGGGGAAAGACGCCAGGTCAGGAAAGAGCAGGGGAAGGATCAGGCGACCCACTGAGGCAGCAGGAGGGGTAGAATAGCGCTTGATGACAGCATCGAGGTAGGCCTGGGCGGTAGGAATGGTTCTAAAGCGAGGGCGCTCAGTGGGGGGGAGGGCATTGCTAATGGCGAGCTGAGCAAGGGCATCGCGGGAAAGCCAGACAGAGCGGGCAAGGGCAGCAGCGGCAGTGGACTCGCGCTCAGCGGGCGTGGGATCAGCGGGCAGCACAGCAGGGGGGTCAGGGCAGGGGAGCATACCGTCTAGGTGTGCAGAAAGCGGGTGGCCGTCCTGCCGCTGGCCAGTGAGGTGGCGGCGAAGGTCAGCCAACCACGCCTCGAACTCCAGAGGCTGACCCTCAACATCAAAACGAAGCTCAGCAGCCATGAGGGGCAGTGGAGGACAGTGCAGTGCGGTGCAGTGCGATGCAGTGCGGTCCAGTGCGGTCCAGTGCGGTGCAGTGCGATGCAGTGCGGTGCAGTGCGGTCCAGTGCGGTGCAGTGCGGTCAGTGCGATCCAGTGAGGTGCAATGCGATGCAAGGCGGGGCAGGAAAGTGCAGGAGGGTGCAAAGTGGTGCGGGGAACGGGGGACAGTACCAGGAAGTATGGAGGGCCGGGGCAGGTGCGTCGGGGCCGGGCAGGCACGACAAGGCCGGGCGGCGGCGACGGGGCCGGGCGGCTGCGACGGGGCCGGGCGGCGGCGACGGGGCCGGGCGGCAGCGACAAGGCCGGGCGGCTGCGACGTGGCCGGGCGGCTGCGGCGGGGCCGGGCGGCTGCGACGGGGCCGGGCGGCAGGGACGAGGCCGGGCCGGACACAGCAGGGCCGGGCAGGGGCGACGGGGCCGGGCGGCTGCGACGTGGCCGGGCGGCTGCGACGTGGCCGGGCGGCTGCGACGTGGCCGGGCGGCTGCGACAGGGCCGGGCGGCTGCGACGGGGCCGGGCGGCGGCGACGGGGCCGGGCGGCAGGGACGGGGCCCGGGCAGGCCACAGCAGGGCCGGGCAGGGGCGACGGGGCCGGGCGGGCGAGCAGGGGCCGGGCAGGTGCGACAGGGGCCGGGCAGCCGCGACAGGGGCTGGGCGGGCGCCACGCGGCCGATAGGCCGCGACGGGGCCGAGCAGGGGCGACGGGGCCGAGCAGGGGCGACGGGGCCGAGCAGGGGCGACGGGGCCGAGCAGGGGCGACGGGGCCGAGCAGGGGCGACGGGGATGGGTAGGGGCGCGACGGGGCCTGGAGGGGCGTTACCAAGCCCAGGTAGGGGCGCGACAGGGCCTGGGGGGAGCGCAATGGGGCCCAGGAGGGGCGCTACGGGGCCTGGGAGGAGTGCGACTGGGCTAGGGAGGGGCGCGACGGGGCCTGGGAGGAGCGCAATGGGGCCCAGGAGGGGCGCTACGGGGCCTGGGAGGAGCGCGACTGGGCTAGGGAGGGGCGCGACGGGGCCTGGGAGGAGCGCAATGGGGCCCAGGAGGGGCGCTACGGGGCCTGGGAGGAGCGCGACGGGGCCCTGGAGGGGCGCTACCAGGCCCTGGAAGGGGCGCGACGGGGCCTGGAGGGGCGCTACGAAGCCCTGAAAGGGGCGCGACGGGGCCTGGAGGGGCGCTACGAAGCCCTGAAAGGGGCGCGACGGGGCCTGGAGGGGCGCTACGAAGTCCCGGAAGGGGCGCGACGGGGCCTGGGAGGAGCGCAATGGGGCCCAGGAGGGGCGCTACGAGGCCTGGGAGGAGCGCGACGGGGCCCAGAAAGGGGCGCAACGGGGCCCAGGAAGGGGCGCGACGGGGCTAGGGAGGGTCGCAATGGGGCTAGGGAGGGTCGCGACGGGGCTAGGAGCACGACGGGGCCCAGCTAGGGGGCGAGCAGAAGCGTGAGGGGGGGGGGGGGGATCCTACCTACGCGTGATACCATAACAAACAGTGAATTTGATGAATAGAGAGAGAGAGTACACAAACATATACCTAAATGTTGTACTCTCTAGAAGATAACCCTATACAGTCTATACAAGCATGATAACTGAACATGTTTGACAGTTCTTGCCTTGCCTGTACTCCTTCTGACTGGTCTTTTAGACCCTTGTCTCAGAGGCTGGACTAGTAGTGCCACCCTGAGCTGCTTGTCTAGAACATTCCCTTATGCAGTCCAGGGGGTGTGTCAAACATGTTTAGTTATCATGCTTGTATAGACTGTATAGGGTTATCTTCTAGAGAGTACAACATTTAGGTATATGTTTGTGTACTCTCTCTCTCTATTCATCAATTTCACTGTTTGTTACACTGAGCATGCAGAATAGAGGCTATAATTTGATTTCATCAATCATTGTGGTTTCCGACGAATGCGTCGTTGTAGATGGGTCATGCCTTGTGTGGACGCTAACTAGTACTGAATTGGGCCATTATTTCACCGCCTTTTATATTTTGGTACACGTACTTTCTACTAATGATATGAGCTTCTAGAAATGAGTGCAGATTTAGGCATGAAGGTCAAATACAACACAGAACACTCTTGAAGTTGGCATCTCTCCGTCTGTGAAGCGCGTATACCATGTCCCCTCCGGCTCTTGATCTCGCTGCTCCTCCGATCAGTCTGTGCTTCCCCTCCCCACGACTAGCTTCGATTATCCCAGGGGTCATCCATTCTTCAGCGTTCTTTTCCTGAACGCGTCTCTACTGAATCCGTCGCTGATCGCATGGTTGGCCCGTCGCGTTGAGGTCTGCATATTGCGCGTGTCTTGCTTTCGTCGTGGTCTCCGTTAGGCGTAAGGATGAAGGCGATCGTAAAGGTCGGGATTTTGGTGCTGGGCCTGGTGACGTTGTTCGCGACGGAATGTCGGGCTCAGCTGTCGAATCCGGTTACCAGAGACTCTCACGTGATCAATGAAGGGAATAAGTTTCTTTCGCGTCACGCGACGGCCGACAGCGATCCGATTCCAGCTGTGTAAGGAGTTATTTTATCTGAACGTTTCACTACCGATTCAAAAGACAGCTCGATTCCAGCGCTGTAAGGCCATGTTTCCTGAACTTTTCAATACCATTTTCCATCCATCGTCGCTTACTCTTCGAAGCAGTTCAGGTAGCAGATTTGGAATCCTTTCGCAATCAAACGTCGTTTTTGCGTTGCAAGAAATCGCATTCTGTTTTCCTATTGCCGTGCAAGAATTCGCATTTAGCGTGACAGTTTCGCACTCGTGCTCACCTTCAGTGCGACCCTCTCTGTTGCATGATTCGGCAAACCCGATTGACTCTGCTGCATGAATCGGCGTGTCTGTATCGAACCGACCAACGAACGAACATTGGGTGCGAGCAGCGACGAGGAGGCGATGGGGAACAGCCGGTGCCCGGTGAATCTGGAGCTGCGGTGGCAGGCGGAGGTCAGCAGCAGCATCTACTCCACGCCTGTTGTCGCCGACATCAACAGGTCAGCACGATCTGAGACTTGTCAGAACAACAGGACATGGGGAACAGCCGGTGCCCGGTGAACCTGGAGCTGCGGTGGCAGACGGAGGTCAGCAGCAGCATCTACTCCACGCCCGTCGTCGCCGACATCAACAGATCGGCTTGGTCTTCGTCGTGGATCTTGGCCGCGAATGTGTCCTTTTTTCTCGTGTTAACATGCCATTAATTACACTGGCTTCAGCGATTTATCTTCTGGAATGCGACGGTAACCACATTCGTGTAGCAGCCTCTCTTTTTTGTTCTTGATCGTGTTGGTATTGTTCCAAAGTGCCTGCCTGGTCGACAGCTCTTAAAGCACAGAGCGTTGAGCAAGCAAGAGCAGCGCGCGTTCTCATGATTGGCCAGGAGGATCCTGAGATTCTTGACCATGAAAAGCTTTGCGGATTCTGAGAATCCTAAAAATCTGCTTGACCAGGCGTCTCTTCAATTTGCACATTGACTTTATTACCTGCAAAGCTTTTCAGGGTCTTGGTTGATTGCACATGCTTCTCTTTTGTTGCGAAACTAAAGCCCGGCCAGCTGACTTCGTCGTCCCTCCACTTCGTCTTCATTAGACTCCGAACTGCACATCGTCATCAATTGACTGCGTCCCTCCCATTTCTGCGCCGCCTTTGCACTGATTGGTCCAACAGGGATGGCAAGATGGAGGTGGTGGTGCCCTCCTTTGTGCACTACCTGGAGGTGCTCGACGGCTATGACGGGGACAGGCTGCATGGTAAGTGGTGGAAGTGGTGGTGCCGTTTTACCTGGAAGCGATTGTTGCCCTGTTTGGCAGTGCACTACCTGGAGGTGCTCGACGGCTATCACGGGGACATGCTGCATGGTAAGTGGTGGTGATTCGTGATTCACTTGTTCGCCTGCGACTTGCCACAACATGATGCGGCTGCTTCACCCGCAAGAGGTGGTGGTGCTGCCATCGTTCGTATCGTGCTCTACTTGGAGCTGCTCGATGGCTATGATGTGGACAGGCTGCATGGTATGTGGCGGCCACTTGCTTGTTCGTCCGGGGTTTGTCACATAATGTTGCGGCTGCTTCACCTGGAACTCACATGAGGTGGTGGTGGGGCCATCATTCGTATCGTGCACTACTTGGAGGTGCTCGACGGCTATGACGGGGACAGGCTGCATGGTAAGTGGTGGTGACGGATGCCTGTGCATGCCTTTGCCTGGGCATGCCTTCACTCCTGTGCATGCCTCTGCCTGTGGCAACGGATGCGTGTTCCCTGGCCCACCCTTTGCCTTTTCTCTCGTTGCCTCTGCCCTATCACCGAATCAGGTTGGCCGACGTTTTACCGCTTCAGCAAGCACACGAGCCGCCTGCTGTATGAAATCAACCAGGGCGGGTGGAGGGAGGCGTTGAGGCATCCGTTGACGTGTTAAATTTGTGTGCCCCTTTTCCCTGTGCTGTGCCCTTTTTCCCTGTGCTGTGCCCTTTGACCTGTTTGCAGGCTGGCCGGCCTTTTACCGCTCCAGCACGCACACGAGCCCGCTGCTGTACGACATCAACAAGGACGGGGTGAGAGAAGTCATCCTTGAGACACCTCATGACTTGTTCCCTCTGCCACCCCTCCCCTGTGCCTCCTCATGTGCCCTGTATTGTGATGCCAGGTTGGCCGGTGTTCTACCTCTCCAGCACGCACACGAGCCCGCTGCTGTACGACATCAACGAGAATGGGGTGCGTGAGGTGTTGAGGCATCCGTTGACGCGTTTCTTCTTCTAAGTGCTCTTTTTTTCCCTGTGCCCTCTTTGCAGGCTGGCCGGCCTTTTACCGCTCCAGCACGCACACGAGCCCGCTGCTGTACGACATCAACAAGGACGGGGTCAGGAGGGTGTTGAGGCACCTCTAAACGTGTCACTTATCCCTGTGACTTGTGACCTTTCTGCAGGTTGGCCGGCCTTTTACCGCTCCAGCACGCACACGAGCCCGCTGCTGTACGACATCAACAAGGACGGGGTGCGGGAGATCATCCTCGCGGATTACAACGGCGAGATCATCTCCTTCACGTGAGTCGCTTTTCGCTGTGAATGCTGTGGAGTCCGCTGGGGTGGGTGCTGCTAATACTTGCAGCCAACAGTGTTCGCACCATCCATCTTCACTTGAAAAAGCCCTTGTGCTCCCCGTCCTCTCCCTTGGCACCATCCTCTTTCTCTCCCCTTCGTCACTCTCCCTGGTTTCAGCAGCCCAGAGCACTCGTGCCCTTCCCAATAGCAGCTGCATCCATTTGGTCCAACTGTCCTTCCATCCAGAGCACACGTGTCCTTCTGCTTCCCTTCCGCTTATGCAGTTCTGCTGACCACGTGACGTTTGACCGCTCTCAACCACTTCGCATCTCAGAAACCTCAGCCGTACACCTAACTCCCAGTCCCTCTCATTCACCCCACCTCCCCCGTTTCGTTGCCCGCTGTCCCGCGTTTCACTTCCCCAATCGCCCTGCACCCCATGTGACAGTCCTGCCGGCCAGGAGCTGACTCGTTATAAGATGAGTGTTCCTCGGCTGCGCATTCGCAAGGAGTGGTATGTGGGGCTCGACCCGGACCATGTGGACCATGCCCACCCAGACATCCATGCTGCCATAGACGATGGTGAGACGAGTGTGAGACATCCTCGTTATAAACAGCTGCATATTCAGTAGTGGTATGTGGGGCTGGACCCGGACCACATGGACCATGCACACCCCGACATCCACGCTGCCATTGACGATGGTGAGTTGTCCTCGTTATAAGACGAGCGTGAGAAATCCTGGTCATAAGCAGCTGTGCATTCGCAAGGAGTGGTATGTGGGGCTCGACCCCGACCACGTGGACGGTCCATGGTGGACCATGCACACCCCGACATCTATGCTGCTATAGACGATAGTGAGTTGTTTAGGGTTCCAATAGCAGCTGGGGAGATATCCTTGTTCTAAAATAGGTGTGAGGACTGGACTCTCTGACCACGTGGATGGTCCATGGTGGGCTGGGTCATGCCCACCCTGACATCCATGCTGCTGCCATAGACGATGGTGAGACGCCCTTGATCAAGGTAGAAGAACATGCCCCCTCCCTTCCCCGCTGTGCCTGATTTTCCTTTGTTATAAACCTCACTCACTCCCCACCCCTCTCCCTCGCTCACACAGCAGCCAAGAACGAATCCAGCCAGCACCAGGGAAGCCAGCTGCCGAACCTGCCCAAGCCACCCGCTGGGCAGGTCCAGCATATGGTTCTGTTCTCTAGGTCACTGGTTTTTCTTTACCACAACCCCCCCCCAACGCCCCCCCAACCCCCCCCCCCCCCTTATGTCGCTTTCACGGCAGCCAAGAACGCGTCCAGCCAGTAACAGGAGAGTGACCTGCTGAACCTGCCCAAGCCCCATGCTGCTAATGGCGTAGTCACGCTGATGGTTGTACTCCCTTGTTCACTGATTCTCTCTTCCCCCCCCTCTCCCCCCCTCTCCCCCCCCGGTCTTGGACACGACAGCCAAGAACGCGTCCAGCCAGCACCAGGAGAGCGACCTGCTGAACCTGCCCAAGCCACATGCTGCTGATGGCCATGCTGATCCCGGTGCTGATCGTGGCGCTGGTGGCTCTGACACCCACGCACCAGGAGCACCAGGGCAGGGAACACACGTGCAGGCACACGACCAAGGGACGCGGACGCAGGGGCAGCAGGCACAGGGGCAGCAAGCACAGGGGCAGCAAGCACAGGGGCAGCAGCATCTAGGTCAGCCACATCAGCAGCCGCATCAGGAGCCGCAGCCACTGCATCAGGAGCACCCACAGCAGCAGCAGCAGCACGTGCAGGGGGGGGGAGGTTTACCCCAAGGGAATGACGTCCAGCAGCCAGGCATCCCCACAGCAGTTGACACAGGGTTTGGCACCGCCACTGCTAGAACGCTCACGGACCAGGCCGCTCAGGCACACACAGAGCCGCTTGCAGGGGGCCATGGGGATCCAGGTTTGCCCCCTCTTGTTGCTAATGGTGCTGCTGCTGGTGCTGGAGGTGCTAGTAGCGGGGGGATAGACCTGCCCCCGCCTGTAGAGGCGGCAGGGCATGGCACAGGCACTGCTGGTGGCGGTGCTGCTGGTGGCGGCGCTGCTGCTGATGGGGCGGTGGGGGGAGCAGGGGGAGGGGGGTCAGGGGGAAGAGGGGCGGCGATAGCGGATTTGGATTGTGAGAAGGGCGGGCTGTGCACCAAGGAGGCTCACGCGGCGGCAGAAGCCAAGGCAGCCGCCGCTGCTGCTGCTGTGGCTGCTGCTATGAGCGGCGGAATGGCAGCAGGCGCGCAGCAGGGACAGGCGCAGCAGCAGGGGCAGCAGCAGGGACAGCCGCAGGGGCAGCAGCAGGGGCAGAAGCAGGGGGAAGGGTCAGGGAAGGTCCAAGCGACAGAGGAGGACCTGCAGAAGATCAAATCGTGGGAGCAGTGGCAGCAGGATGTGATGGTCAAGGCGGGGGGGATGGGGGAGAGGGAGCAGGCGATGTGGAAGCACTACCAGGACTGGAAAAGCAATCTCCTGCTGCCAGGAGAGGAAACACCCAGCGCTTCTGGTGCTGCTGGTGCTGCTGGTACCGCTGCTGGTGCTGCTGGTGGCGGGGTGCATGGTGCTCGCAGGCGGCTGCTGCAGGTGCATGAGGAGAAGATGGGAGGAGGGGAGGGAGAGGAGGCCGGACTTGGTGGGAGTGTGGGGCCAGCACGGAGAAGGCTGCTGCAGGCGCATGGGGACCACCATGCTGGCGACCACGAAGATGTGAGTCGGGGCTGGTGTGTGGGGGCTGCTGCACGGTGCTGGGGTGGGGTGTTTGAAGAATGGGGGAAAGGAGGGGGGTGCGCACAGGAGGCTGCTGCAGGCGCATGGGGACCACCAAGCAGGTGACCATGAAGACGTGAGTGCACGTGAGTGCTGGTGTGTGGGGGAAATGCACGGTGCTGGTGTGTGGAGGAATGGGGTGTTGAGGGAAGGGGGAAGGGGGGGGGGGGGGGCTGCGGGTGTGCATGGTGATGGGTGGGAGTGTGGGGCCAGCACGTAGGCGGCTGCTGCAGGCGCATGGGGATCACCTTGCTGATGACCATGAAGACGTGAGTCCGGGCTGGGCTGCTGCTGGTTGGGGGGTGTTTTGTGGTAAGCGTGGGTTGGTGCATGCATGAGGTCCACCACACTGGCGGTCACGAAGCTGTGACTCCGGGCTGAGCTGCTGCTGCTGGAACTGGGGGGGTTGCTTGCATGGTGGGGTGCGTGCTTGTGCGCGGTGGCAATTGCGTGCGCCGTGCGGCACGCAGGAGGGTGCTGCTGGTGCATAGGATAGGGACCATGGCAGCAGGGGCCAACGAATCTCAGTTCCCCACAGCAGAGCCCGACAGCGAGCTGGATGAGCAGAGAGCTCTCATCGTCCTGGTAAGCACTAGACCAATACGAGGTGACTTGTGAGTCGACTCAAAAGTCTGCCAGTGCATAGGATAGGGACCACGGCAGCGGCGGCCAAAGAAACTCAGCTCCCCCCAGCAGGGCCCGACGAGCATCCATCGCCTTGGTGAGCAGAGAGCACTCATCGTCTCGGTTAGCACTAGACCAATACTCATGATACGTATTCAAAGACGATGACGTGTTTCGGCAGCACTAGGCTATTTCCCCCCTGCCCCCCACCCTTCTCCCCTCCCTCAGTTCCCCACAGCAGAGCCGGACAGTGAGTTGGACGAGGAAGGGGGAGACTCGTGGGACGTATTCAAAGACGATGACGACTTTAGGCAGAACTGGAGTGTTTTCCATCTCCACCCTTCCCCCCCACATCTCCCCACTGTCTCCCCTCCCTCCTGCTCTCTCACACCCTCAGTTCCCCACAGCAGAGCCGGACAGTGAGTTGGACGAGGAAGGGGGAGACTCGTGGGACGTATTCAAAGACGATGACGACTTTAGGCAGAACTGGAGTGTTTTCCATCTCCACCCTTCCCCCCCACATCTCCCCTCTGTCTCCCCTCCCTCCTGCTCTCTCACACCCTCAGTTCCCCTCAGCAGAGCCGGACAGCGAGTTGGACGAGGAAGGGGCAGACTCGTGGGATGTGTTCAAAGACGATGACGACTTCGGGCAGAACTGGGAGGGCGATGGGGACGATTGGGCGGCGGAAGATGGGAGGGAGGGGGAGGGGGGGGAGGAGGACCAGGGGGAGGAGGAAGGGGGAGGGCATGAGGGCAAGGGGGGGCATCGGGGGGAGGCACACAAGGGGGAGCACGGAGGGGGAGGGGGGAGTGAGGCGGAGGATGATGAGTGGGGGGGCCCAAGGGCGGAGAAGGAGGATGGGGACGAGTACCAGTACGACTATGACGACTATGTGAATGAGAACATGTGGGAGGACGAGGACTGGACGGAGGCGGAGCACGAGGCGGACAAGGAATTTATCCTCGTCGACTCGCACATCCTCTGCACTCCGGTAGGCCTCGCTTGCATCCTCGCTTGCATCCGTGCTTGCATCATATGGTCACAGTTTCCCCTGAGAGTGACGAGGACTGGACGGAGGCAGAGCACGAGGCGGACAAGGAGTTCATTCTGGTTGACTCCCACATCCTGTGCACGCCGGTAGGTATTTGGCTGGCGTGGACTGCCCCTAATAATTCGTGTGTGTAATGAGTCGATTTTTGAGTCGACTCAAAAGCTGGCGTGGACTTTGAGTCGACTCAAAATACACTCATTACACACGGACTGCCCCTATTAACCACTTACTGCGCTTCCAGGCACCTTAAGGGCTCTGCTTATTGATTTCGTCTGTGTGAGCCGACTTGTGGAGTGTACTGCTCTTGCCTCACTCACCCGCCTCTCGTCCTCTCCGGCCCCCTTTCACTTCGTCTCATACTCTATTCTGTTCCTCCCCTGCTCCTTTCTCTTCCTCTGGCCTGCTCTCAGGTCGTAGCAGGCATAGACAACGATCGGCATGATGACCTTGGGTTGCGATCAAGGCGCCTCAAGATCTAACCTCTCGCTCTCTGCTTTGTCGCTCCCTCTCTCTCTCTCTCTGTCGCTCTCCCCCTCACTATCCCACCCATCAGGTCATAGCAGACATTGACAATGATGGGCCCGTGGTTGGCGGGAAGGTGCCTCAAGTTCGCACCCCACTCTCTCTCATTTGTCGCTCTCTCTCTGTCGCTCTCCCCCTCACTATCCCACCCATCAGGTCATAGCAGACATTGACAATGATGGGCATGATGAGCTCGTCATTGCGGCTTCGCACTTCTTCGATCGAGAGTGAGTTTGATTGGGGCAGAACCTTTATCAGGTATGTTCTATGTATGATGTGCCATGCCACACGATCCACCACACTATTGGTGCGCGTGGAGTCTCCCAAAACTGCTGCAGACTCTTAGCACCTGACAGACATCCTCCGATTTCTGGCATCAACTTTCACTCCGCTTATTCATGCACTTCTCATCCCTCCCTCGTCGTCCTGCTCCTTTTGAGAAGTGCATGAGTCCCTCAAAACTAGGTTTCTGGCGTCAACTTTCACTCCGCTTATTCGTGCCCTTCTCATCCATCCCTCCTCGTCCTGCTCCTTCCATATTTCTATTTTTTTAGGTGCCTAAAACACTGAGACTGTTTCTGAGACGCCTCAAAAACAACCGCTTATGCATGCACTTCCCATCCCTCGTCCTGCTCCTTCCTTCCTTTCCTCCCTCCCTCCCTCCCCACCTCCCTCCCACAACTCCCTCTCTCATTCCCTCACCAGGTACTACGAGGACCCGGCGCACAAGCACGAGCTGGAGGAGGGCGTGGACATGAGCAAGTATATTGGGGGCGCCATCGTGGTCTTCGACCTGCACACGCAGCAGCTCAAGTGGTCGCAGCACCTCGACCTCACCACGGACAGCACCCAGTTCCGCGCCTACATCTACTCCGCGCCCACTGTGGTGGATTTAGACGGGGATGGGTTTCTGGAGATCATTGTTGGGACCTCGGTGGGCTTCATCTACTGCCTCGACGCCTTTGGTATGCTCTTTTCCTGCCGCAACAATCAGCGCCTGCTGCTTGCTGTTGGTAGGTAGGTGGTCCCCGCCCTGGTGGGTGTGTTTCCTTGAGTCGTCTCACCCAGCCAGCTCAGGCAGCAGCAGCAGCAGCAGCAGCTCATGTGGTTGCAGCACTTCGTGGTGTTTCCTGTTGCTTTGTGAGCTCCTGGTGCTACTGGGTTGTTGTCCTTTGAGTCGTCTCACCCAGCCAGCTCAGGCAGCAGCAGGAAGTCAAGTGGTCGCAGAACCTCGACCTCACCACGGACTACAACTTGTTCCGCGCCTACATCTACTCTGCTCCCACTGTCGTGGATTTAGACGGGGATGGCTTCCTGCAGACCATTGTTGGCACCTCCGTGGGCTTTATCTACTGTCTTGACGCCTTTGGTGCGCTTGCCTGGTCTAGGTGCTGCTTGCTTCTGGTGTTCTTTTGTTAGGCCTGCCTAATCCTCCCCCCCTTCTCTCCCCCCCCCCCGCCCCCCCTCCGAATGACCAGGCAAGGTGAGGCAAGGCGTCCCCCTGCAGATGGGCAAGGTGCAGGGGCAGGTGGTGGCGGCAGACGTTCCTTCCCCTCGCTTCACTTACTGCCCCTGCCTCTACCTTACTCCTCCATCCCCCCCTCCCCCCCAGGCAAGGTGAAGCTGGGCTTTCCTCTGCAGATGGGCGGTGACAGGGGCAGGTGGTGGCGACTGATGTGCACCACAACGGCAAGCTCGAGATTTTTGCAGCCGACACCCGGGACAATGTGGTGCTGCCTCCTCTTCCCGTCCCTCTCTGTCGCCCAACGCCCTCCCCACCCCTCGCACCCCCCCCCCCTCCCCCCACAACCAGGCAAGGTGAAACCCGGCTTTCCTCTTCAAATGGGCGAGGTGCAGGGGAAGGTGGTGGCGGCCGACAGGTGTTTCCTTCCCTTACCCACCGTCCCCCCTCTCCTCCCACCCCTCTGGACCAGGCAAGGTGAAGCCGGGCTTTCCTCTGCAGATGCGCGAGGTGCAGGGGCAGGTGGTGCCGGCCCACGTGAACCACGACGGCAAGCTCGAGATAGTTGCCGCTGACACCCGGGGGAATATACCTGCCTCCTCTTGCCTTCCCTCCTTCCCTTCTCTCCCTCCACCTCCCACCCCTGGGTCCACCAGGCAAGGTGAAACCAGGCTTTCCTCTTCAAATGGGCGAGGTGCAGGGGCAGGTGGTGGCGGCCGACGTGAACCATGATGGCAAGCTCGAGATAGTCGCCGCTGACACCAGGGGCAACGTGGCGGCGTTTTCCTCGGAGGGCAAGGAGCTGTGGGAGCGGCACCTGGCGTCGCTGATCGCGCAGGGGGCGAGCGTGGGGGATGTGAATGGCGACGGGTTCACTGAGGTGGTGCTGGGATCGTCTTCAGGCCACATCTACGTGCTGGATGGGCGGACAGGTGAGCAGAATATTGGGGCTCGCTGGGAATCAGGTTGTATTTGAGGCGAGTCAAAAGCTTATAGAGAGGAAAGAGAGGTGAGCTGGTTGGTAGTGGCAGCTGACGCCCAGGGGAACGTAGCCGCGTTCTCCTCAGGAGGCAAGGAGCTGTGGGAGCGGCACCTGGCGTCGCTGATCGCGCAGGGGGCGAGCGTGGGGGATGTGAATGGCGACGGGTTCACTGAGGTCGTGCTGGGGTCGTTGTCTTGGCACATATACGTGCTGGATGGGCGGACAGTTGAGCATCAACCACAGGGAAGAGGCGCCTCAGCTGGCGTCGCTGATAGCACAGGGCGCGAGTGTGGGGGAGGTGAATGGGTATGGATCCACTGAGGTGGTGCTGGGGTCGTCGTCTGGGCACATATACGTGCTGGATGGGCGGATAAGTGAGGATATATCTAATAGGGGTAGCTTGTTGTTCGGAGCCTGGTTTATTGAGTCACTGCAAAATCTCCTGCACAAGCAAACCTAGCCCCCTTCCCCCCCATCTATCCCTCCAGGCAAGGACGTGGGGGCCTTCCCCTTCCGAACGCACGGGCGCATCATGGCGTCCATTCTCCTGGTGGACCTGCACAAGCACGCAGCGGCCACCAAGTGACACTAACCCTTCCATCCCCACTGCATGTCCCTTTTCCCCTTCCCCAGGCAAGGACGTGGGGGCCTTCCCCTTCCGCACGCACGGGCGCATCATGGCGCCCATTCTCCTGGTGGACCTGCACAAACACGCAGGGGGGGGCAAGGGCCACCACGTTGCCACCTCCTCCGGGCTGCACCTGGTGGTGGTGTCGTTTGACGGGTTCCTCTACGCCGTGGATGGACGGACAGGATGCGCCGACACCTTTGACATTGGGGAGACATCGTAAGTCAGAGGGTAAACGGGGGCTAGGGGGCAATGGGAAGAGAGCGAGGTGGCCAAAGGGATCAAGGGCCTCTATGTGCACTCGTCTTCTTCGTCTACTGGGCTGCACCTGGTGGTGGTGTCGTTTGATGGGTCCCTCTATGCCGTGGATGGATGCACGGGCTGTGCTGACACATTCGACATTGGTGAAACATTGTAAGTCAGAGTGCAGTGAATGGCAGCAAGCGGAGAAGAGAGCAATGGGAAATGGAGCAAGGTGGGCAGCAGGCAGCAAGGGCGGCCACCATGTGACCACTTCCACCGGGCTGCACCTGGTGGTGGTGTCGTTTGATGGGTCCCTCTACGCCGTGGATGGACGCACGGGATGCGCCGACACCTTCGACATTGAGGAAACATCGTACGTACCTGCTTGGTGGTGGTGGTGGTGGTGGGGGGGGGGGGGGAAGGGTAGCAAGTGGGTTAGGGTGGAAAGGGAACGAGGCGGTGGGGAGTCAAGCCAAAGGAGGGCCACCATGTGGTCGCCACCTCCACCGGGCTGGACCTGGTGGTGGTGTCGTTTGATGGGGTCTTCTATGCCGTGGATGGACGCACAGGATGCGCCGACACCTTTGACGTCGGGAGACATCGTAAGTCCCTTATTGTGTCTTGTGTATGTCAAGCGTCTCGGCACCTCCCCTAGGCGCCACTCCCTCCGTTGCCCCTTTGCCTCCACATCTAATCAGCTACAGACTGCTGCTGATAGAGAACGTGGTTGGACGGGACGGCTTGACTCACCTCCCTTGTACCCCCCTCCCTTGTACCCCCCTCCCTTGTACCCCCCGCCCTTGCCCCTATGCCTACCTCCCCACCTGAACAGCTACAGCCTGGTGCTGGCAGAGAACGTGGACGGCAGGGACGACCTAGACCGGGTGGTGTCCTCACCCTCCTCCGCTCCCTGTCCTTCTCTTTCTCACTGCCCCCCCCCCCATGCATATCAACCGTGCAGCTACAGCATGGTGCTGGCGGAGAACGTGGATGGCAGGGACAACCTAGACCTCCCCTTCTTCCTTCATTCCCCCCCCCCCCCACCCCCCCCGTCCCTCACCCCAAACAGCTACAGCATGGTGCTGGCGGAGAACGCGGACGGAGGGGACGACCTGGACCTGGTGGTTTCCTCAACCTTCCCCACCTCTCCCCTTCTTCCTTCATCCCCCCCCCCCCCCATCCCCCCCGTTCCTCTCCTCTTCTTCCTTCATCCCCCCCCCCCACCCCCCCCGGCTCTCACCCCAAACAGCTACAGCATGGTGCTGGCAGAGAACGTGGACGGAGGGGACGACCTAGACCTGGTGGTTTCCACCATGAACGGTGCTGTCTACTGCTTCCAGACGTCCGTGCAGTACCACCCGTTGAAGGTACGATTCGATACAAGGTTTTTGATTCGATATGAGGTCCAATTTGATGTAGGATAACCCCCCTTTATCGAACATGTTGTCTTGATCCACGAATGGTTCTGCCGCTATGAATGGTGGCGTTTACTGCTTCCAGACATCCGTGCAGTACCATCCCCCATCCCCATCCCCCATCCCTCATGTCGCATCTCACCATGTGGTCTCCTCAGCATCAGGCTTGAAACCTGTTCTTCTAGAATCAGGCTGTTTCCTGAGGCAAACTCACGTGTTCTTCCACGTGACATTTGAGACTACTTCAATCTCCTCTCCTTCCCCTGCCGTACCACGTATCCCTTGCTCCGCTCCCGTCCCGTTTCTCCCCACCTCCCCACCAGGCGTGGCCGCCCCAGAACCAGGGGCGCAATGTGTTCTTCCCATGTGCCATCTGAGTCGACTCATGTGTCCTCACTCTCCCCCCATCCCATCCGACAACTCTCCCCCTCCCCACCAGGCGTGGCCGTCCCAGAACCAGGGGCGCAACGTGTTCTTCCCGCGCTACGGCCACGAGGGCATCTACATGCTGCCGCACTCCCGCCAGTACCGCGACATCGGCAGGGACTCCTTCCGCGTCAGCTTTGAGATCGTGGACGCTCGCAACCCCCTGGGGCACGGGGGGGCATACGGCGCTCAGATTGGGCCGTACAAAGTAAAGGTGAGGGCATCCTTCTGGTGCTGTCCTTTGCTGGGCTGTCCTTTCCTGGGCTGTCCTTTCCTGGGCTGTCCTTTCCTGGGCTGTCCTTTCCTGGGCTGTCCTTTCCTGGGCTGTCCTTTCCTGGGCTGTCCTTTCCTGGGCTGTCCTTCCCTGGGCTGTCCTTTCCTGGGCTGTCCTTTCCTGGGCTGTCCTTTCCTGGGCTGTCCTTTCCTGGGCTGTCCTTTCCTGGGCTGTCCTGTCCTGGGCTGCCCATTGTGGGACGTCAGGAGAGACTCAGAGCTGACTCCTTCCGCCGAGTCAGTTGTGAGATTGTGGATGTGCGCAACTTCGCTTTGAGATGTCTCAAAACGAATTGTGGATGTGCGCAACTTCGCTTTGAGATGTCTCAACACGAATTGTGGATGTGCGCAACTTCGCTTTGAGATGTCTCAAAACGAATTGTGGATGTGCGCAACTTCGCTTTGAGATGTCTCAACACGAATTGTGGATGTGCGCAACTTCGCTTTGAGATATCTCAAAACGAATTGTGGATGTGCGCGTCTTTCTGGGGCACGCAGGAGTTTTCGGGGCTCAAATCAGTCCCTACAAAGCGAAACTGAGGAGAAGTGTCTGTGCTGGTAATCCCCCATGGCCATGCCCATGTATCTCAGTTCTCCATCCCATGTCTGTAGTTGCTCTTGCCTCTTGCCTCCCGTGATCCATCAACCCACCAGGTGATTTTTGAGGCGCCTCAAAAATCGGCTCTTGCCTCCCGTGATCCATCAACCCACCAGGTGTGGCTGTTTGACAGCGAGAGCTGGGAGCCAACCCACAAGGACGTTCACGCACTCCAGCGTGCGCACGTTGGTGATCCCCGCCCAAGCACCGCACGCACTGTCTATTCCCTCTCTTTTCCTCACGTCCGCTGTTCTTGCGCTCCCTGATCTGTAAACCCACCAGGTGTGGCTGTTTGACAACGAGCGCCGGGAGCTGACCCATGAAGAGACGTTCTCCCATCCCGGTGTGCACACGCTGGTGATCCCCACGCCTAAGCGCCGCACACACGCCACCTTCTTCATCGAGATGGAGGACGAGCGCCGCCTCTACTTCCACGACGAGTTTGCGCTCTCCTTCCACTACCACTTCTACCACCTCCTCAAGTGGATCCTTGCTTTGCCGCTGCTCATTATGACGGCTGCGCTTGTGGCGCGCTCTGCTCCGGACTCTGGCCCAGACCTGCCGTCTTTCTCGCCGGCCAGTCGCCATCTCGCTTGAGTAGGAGCTCCTATCTTTTACGCTGGCAAAGTAATGTATTTTTCGGGCTAGTTTTAATCGAGAATGGGATATCGTGGAGATGGAGGTTGAGAGGTGGGTGGCTCTGCTTTCACTCCGAGTTTGCCCTCTCCTACCACAACCTCTTTTACCGCTGCCTCACGTGGATCCTTGCCGAATGGCGGTCCTAGTGGCTCGTTCAGGCCTGACGCTGGAATTGCTGGCTAAGATGTAGGCTGGTCAAGAGGCAATACTTAGTTAAGATGCTTGATACGTTTTTTGACATTGTATGATACATCATATAGCTTTGCTACACATGTTCCACAATTCAGGCACGCACAAAAATTCCGCGATGCGTGCATGTATCCTCCGGTGTAAACGCCGGGCAAAAAGGGCTTGTACACTTCGGGGGCGGTAGTAGCCGGTCTGTAGTCATTAAATGCGGACGGCCTACGTGCGTCCGTTTTGGTAACCAGCGCAAGAACCTTCTGACCCGCATGAAACGGGTCATGTTACAACGACAACAACATTGCACTACGTTTATGACACAACAGATACAGAATTACAACACCTTGTTTACAACAGTGAACTGTATTTCCAGAGATGACACCACATGTGCCAATTCCCTGCCAAAGGCCACATTTTCAGCCTTCCCATTTCAACCATAACCACGGTGCCGTGCTCCCCCAACTCCCATAGCACCAAACAACACTCTTCCATATCGTCCACTGTCCACTGTCTGAAAACTAGGATCTAGGTAGGAGGAGGAGCCATGGAAATGGCGTGAGGTTTTAGGGTAGGAAAGTTGGTGAGAGAAAAGAGGACTAGAAAAGGAGGGATACAAGGAAGGGTGTTCTGCCCTCTACAGAAATGTTCAGTAACCACTACCAAGCCTAAAATTATATACTAACATATATAATTTAACACACCCCCTAGGCTTGGTAGCAAGGACCCACACACCCCCACACCCGCTAGCCTAGCACCCTCATTCCCATCAGCCACGACTACTCCAGCAGGGCCCAACCCCAAGGCCCTGGAGATGGCGACGGCGGCCGTCCCGGCAGCGGCGACAGCGACGGCGACGACGAGCGTGCGGCGGCAACAGGCCTGCGGCGACGACAGCGACGGCTTCGGCTTACGACAGCGGTAACGGCAGCGGCCCCCGCCATCCGGCGACGTGTCCATACTCCGCGACAGGGGGACGACCGGTGAGAATCAGGCGACGGCTTTGGCGAAGAGGAGGGGACAGAGGGAAGGGGGAAAGGGCGGGGCTTCGGATCTTTAGAGCGGCGCTTACTGGCGTGCGGGGGGGTTGCAAGTCCAGCAGCGACGCAGGTGGTGCGCGACGGCAACAGGCCGACGACACCGCCACAACACCACTATGACGCCACCACAGCATGGCGTCGGGGCCGCGGCTACTCGTCGACGCTGAGACGACAGCACACAGAGGCCGCCGCGACATATCGGAAAATGTGCCACGGCGGCAGGCAAACGGAAGGCGGCGGCGGTGGCGAAGTAAGGATGGGTACGCGGCGGAAGCGTGGCCCGTGCGACGCGATGGGGCCAGCGCGGATTGACGGGGGCAGCGCGGCATGACGGGGAGGGAGTGCGCGGCAGAAGCGAGGGGAGCAGGCCCGGGAAGGGAACCTGCTCTGATACCATGTCCGAAAACTAGGATCTAGGTAGGAGGAGCCATGGAAATGGCGTAAGGTTTTAGGGTAGGAAAGTTGGTGAGAGAAAAGAGGACTAGAAAAGAAGAGAGAGGGATACAAGGAGGGGTATTGTACCGTCTACAGAAATGTTAAGTAACCACTACCAAGCCTACAATTATATACTAACATATATAATTTAACATCCACCTGCTCATACTCTCCCTTGTTAGCAGCTGCCGCGCTGCTGAGAAGCATACACTCACGACACATCATTATACCCGCCAAGCACACATTCATGACATCCACACACATGCACATCAGCAAACAGCACATAACACTGGAAGAGCAAGAGGGCACACACTCCCAAATAAGCACCAAACAGAGAGGCTCGCAGTGCCTCACACACACTCATGAAGAAGCACAAACCAGAGAGGCACACCAATCCACACACCCCTTTACAGACACACAAAATATAGATGCACACACACTAACGGGCACTCTTGCAACGAATCACAACACACAGAGGCACACACACCCACACACACGCTCGTACAATCACACTCCAGAGAGGAACACAAACCCACGCACGCAAACAATGAGGCACACGAGGAAACGCAGACCACTGCAACCAACACATGGCATGCACAAAACAGAGGGGATAGTGTTAATCGCCCGCGCGCCGACCCTTCTTCGCTGAAAAGCATGGCGGGTTTAAAAGGTTCTTGTGATCTCCGCCGCACCATCAAAGCCGTCCATCACAGCCGTCGCTTGCATAAGTCGTTCACGGCTGATGGCGGTGTCCGCAGTGTCTCGATCGTCGCTGCCACTGGCTAAAGCACGAGGAGATGGAGCATAGTTCAGGTCGATGCTGAACGTCCTGTGCAGCTTCGGGCTGGCCCTCTCGAGGCGTTCAATGACATCAGCGTTTCGGATGTCGAACAACTCCTTGAGGTAGCGTGGAGGGATCCGCGTCGCCCTCGCATAAGCGATGAGCAGATCCGTCGCTAGGCGCCGAACCCGCCGCATTGCCCTCGCGCGCTCAGACAGCTCGATGACGAAGGGAGGCTCTCCTCCCGTTTAGCGCACTGGAGGGGGTTCAGTGGAGAGAGGATCGACGCCCTCGGGCTCGCACATCGGGTGGGTCTCGTCGATGCGAGTGAAGTCCTCGGCCGAGAGGGCGTCGGCACTGAACGCGAACTGGTCAATCTGTGATCCCACCACCCACAGTTCTTCGGTGTGGTCGCTTGGGTCGGAGCTCTCATACATGAGGTGCGGGAGGATCCGACTCCAGCTGTGGGGCAGTATCTTGGCGTAGTGCCAGCACCGCTGCACGGTGTCTAGCTCAACACTTCCCCATGCATCGGAGAGCCACTGCACCATTTGCCATGCCTTCGGCTTCTTCGTCGCCTGTGACGATGGTGACACTCGGGAGTCCCACAGCTTCCACAGCTCCTGTAGCCACTTGGATCGAAACCTCCGCTTGACGGTCGCGATAATGCCTTGGTCCAACGGCTGACAGTATGCTGTGGTGTTGGGGGGGAGAAAAACGATTCTTACATTGCCGAGCTTCCGCGTGCGGAAGCCACAGACATCCTCGGTGGTGGCGGTGGGAGAGAGTAGGTTATGAGAGGATGCGTTGTCCACCAAGACAACGATCTGCCTCTGTTCGGCGAACATGCAGGCGTTCACCGACTCGAAAAAAAAGGTGAAGATCTGTAGGTGGGGGGGCGGGGGGGAGGTGGGTGGAGAAAACAATTGAACCACACATGAAAATCTGTTAAAGTATCACGTAGACGCACCTGCAATTTAGAGAGCGCGCAAGGTAGTATCGGAAACTGACGCACATGCAAAACAATACATCACTCACCTCGGAAGTCATCCAGCCCTTGGTATTTTGGCGCCAGTAGATGTACGGCTCGGGGTCGAAGCTGTTATCGTTGAAGTCAGTCGGCCGGCGCACTTTGGAGACGACGAGAGGACGATACATGCTTGATCCGTCTGCGTTGCATATAAAGGCCACCGTGATGCGGTATTTTGCAACCTTGCGACCGACGGGCGAACCATCCGACCAGGTACGACGAGGCTGCTGACCCGGGAAGAGGGCAGTCTCATCCCAATTGTAAAGATCACGTGGAATAACGCCGATATGCTCAATGAGCTCCGACATGCGCTGCCTACACAGCTCGACAGCAGTCTTGTCTGCGTCGAACGCCTCGCCCTTGCGTGCGAGGTTACAGGAAGCCCATGCGATGCCTGGCGCGGTGGCACCGGCTGATCGAGCATTCGAAAGTGTTAGGGACGCCACACTCAGGGCGCAAGTCCAAAGCCTTCTGTCGAGTAATCAACAGAGTGAGAGGGATGCCAGCGTCTTCGGCTCCCTGCACCCAGGTCGTCAGTGCTCTCTCCAAGTTAGGGAAACGACCCTTCCGCATGCGGATGGCATTGTGTGCTGCAGTAGCGGCTTTCCACTTGTCCGCCTGGCGAACAATCCTCACCACAGTGCTGCGGTCAGGAACAATCCCAAACCTCGTGAAACACCAACGGGCGAGATCTTCCTGGCGCCAAGATTGGTGGGTTTCCGCTTGCCGACAGATTTCTCGCTTCATGTCGAGCGAAATCTGGGCCCTTCTGTGCAGGCGAGGCAAGCGACGGGAGCGAGGGGCTTGCATGTTATCAGTTGGGCGAATGCGGAGATGGATGGGGTAATAGTGCGTGGCTGGAGGTTGTTTGGATTGGCGTGGCTCCTCCCACGCATTTGAAGTTCGTAGAACACGCCGGTTAACTGCGCTGGCGAACGCTGACGTGTTCTTTAGTTCATTCATTCGAACATAGGAATCTGTTCTTGCTAGAAACTTCCGTGTCTACGTGGCGTGTTAACAGCTCGTTGACTGACGATAAGCCTTCTAGTGAATTCGCTAGGCTGTTGTTTTTCGCTAACGTAATCTTCTGGACGAATCCTATTGGTTGCTGCGGAATCTTCGCGCTATCTTGTACAGTACACTCTTGCGACCCGTTTCATGTTGAACAGCGATTGTGCATATACACTAGGGGAAAAGAGCAGGGTGTATACTTCAATGGGTCCTTAACCGTGATTGTGCGACTAGCGCGGATTTCTGTAAGCGGGATCATGTGTACATGATGGGTTGAAAAGGCGATATACACTCGCGGTGTACACTGTGTCACTGTTGGCTCCACGTGTAGCCCAGCGTCACTGAATTGCCCAGTTGTCCCTCGTGCCCCGAAACCCTGGGCTTTTCCCGCAAGATGGGAGCCATGTCGGCGCCAGCAGGGACGACGAGCAACCCCGTTCATCCAATCACTGACCGTTGCGACGCCTCGACGATCATGCTGCTCGCAGATCGGGGTAAATTCCTGCCTCGGTATGGTCCCGTGATGAGGTGACGTGTGGGAAATTCTGGCCTTGAGTTTGTAGTGCCTCGGGGTTTGACAGGACGTCAGGTTATCACGTCACTGGATCCTCGTGTTTGCAGGGAGTTCCAAGGTTTTACGTTTCGGTAATCTGACGTCAAATCGCGGGGCGTCAGGGCTCCCTGCCTTGATGCGGCTCGGAGTGTCCTACTGCTCTGCTGGTTCCACCAACCCCGGGGAACATTGAATCGAGGATTCGTAAAGCCCAAGCGTTGCTGAATTCGCTACAAAAGTGGCCTACTGCGTCCGAATATGCTGGGCCTGATGAAAGGCGAAAAGTGGTGGCATACGTTTCTCCCGTGACGAGAGACGAAGGAACAATACACCCAGTATTGTACACCAGGAATTACACTCTCAGATCAAACGCTGCCCAGTTCTTTCAGAAAACACCAGATTCCCTTAGGCAGTTGCCGTTGCCGCGGTTTACCAGATGCCAGCCACCCATTCCCCAGACCAGATACACCGTACTGTACCCAACCAAGCCCCTTTAGGAACTCCTCTCGTCTGGCGCAACCAGCCCCTAGATTCCATCCTAGAACCAACCAATCAGAGATCCACCCCCCAACCATCTACTGTAGCCCTTTCTCAAGAGCCTCCTTGATCTTTTCTTCAAAAGAGCTCATCTGCGCAATCTACGGCCATTTTTCGTCATCTCGAGTTTAGAGCTTCTCTAAGTGTCACTCCTCCACCTGGTCTCGTTCTCAGAGGCGAGGTTTGCGGTCTTGGTTTCCGTAGCTGCATCTACAAACTGCGCGGAACGTTCAAGTACCACGCTCCAGAAACATGGATCCGGTGAAGGCATGGGGCAACTCCCCGCTGGCCCAGGTCGACCCGGAGATGTTCGATCTGATCGAGAAGGAGAAGAAGCGCCAGTGGCGCGGCATCGAGCTCATCGCGTCCGAGAATTTCACCTCGCAGGCCGTGCTCGAGGCGCTGGGAAGCCCGCTGACAAATAAATACTCCGAGGGCATGCCTGGAGCGCGGTACTACGGCGGCAATGAGTACATCGACGAGATCGAGAACCTCTGCCGGAAGCGCGCGCTCGAGGCGTTTCATCTCGACCCCGCGAAGTGGGGCGTCAACGTGCAGCCGTACTCGGGCAGCCCGGCGAATTTCGCGGCGTACACGGCGATTTTACAGCCGCACGATCGCGTTATGGGCCTGGATCTGCCCTCCGGCGGGCATCTGACGCACGGGTACTATATGGCTAACGGGAAGCGTATATCGGCGACGTCGATCTTCTTCGAATCGCTGCCGTACAAGGTGGATCCCGAGACGGGCATCGTGGATTACGCGAAGCTCGAGGAGAAGGCGATCGATTTCCGGCCGAAGATGATCATTTGCGGCGGAAGCGCGTACCCTCGCGACTGGGACTACGCGCGATTCCGTGCGATCGCGGACAAAGTCGGTGCGACGCTGCTGTGCGACATGGCGCATATCAGCGGGCTGGTCGCATCGCAGGTGAGACCCTCTTTTTATACGACACAATTTGTTTGCCTACCCGCAGTTTTTGGACAGTCCCCTAGGTTTCTGATTTCTCAGGCCGTGGGGAGTCCGCGTTCTTAAGTGGCACTTATCTTCACAATTAAGCAGTTGGTGGGCCATGGCGGAAACTCACAATTAGGCTAGACGAGCAACGTTCTTTCAGAGGGTGACTTGTGAGTCGATCCAAAAGCTTCACGATTGACAGCAGATCCAAGATCCATGGCAGTAAGTCTCAATTAGGGATGACGAACAAGGTTATTTTTCAGAGGGTCACGATCTAACTACCCTCTGTTGTTGAACACCTTCGTTGTCGTGAAGCTGACCTCGGCTGCTCGCCCCCCTCTCCCAACCCCGTCCCCGTCCCACCCCCCGTCTCCGTCCCCGTCCCCGCCCCCTCCCCCTCCCCCTCCCCCACCTTCCCCTCCTCCGCCTCCTGCCCCGATCCTTGATATCTGCGCAGGAGGCGGCGAATCCGTTGGACTACTGCGACGTCGTCGCCACCACGAGATGACTGTTGAGTCTGACTCGAAGTCCTCCTCCCCCTCTTACCCCACCCCCCCGACCCCCGATCCCTCCGATCCGCGCAGGAGGCGGCGAATCCGTTCGACTACTGCGACCTCGTCACCACCACGACGCACAAGAGCCTGCGCGGCCCTCGCGCGGGGATGATCTTCTTCCGCCGCGGCCCCAAGCCCGCTCCGCCCGCCAAAGCGGCCGCGTCGCCGAGCAAGGCGGGCGGAAAAGCGGCGGAGGCGGCGGACGACGGGATGTACCATTTCGAGGAGCGGGTTAACTTCGCGGTGTTCCCCACTCTGCAAGGCGGCCCGCACAACCACCAGATCGGCGCGCTTGCCGTGGCTCTGAAGCAGGCTTCCACTCCTGCGTTCAAGGCGTATGCCCAGCAGGTGAGACGCGGGGAAGGGATAAGATACAATTTCCTACTGTGCAAGGGGGTCCCTGCAACCGCCAGATCGGCGCGCTTGCCGTGGCCCTGAAGCAGGCTTCCACTCCCGCGTTGAAGGCTCACTCCCAGCAGGTAAGACGCGGGGAAGGGATAACATACAATTTCCTACTGTGCAAGGGGGGCGGTGTAACAGCCAGAGCTGGCTCTGAAGGAGGCTCTCAGTCCTGCCTTCAAGGCGTGTGCCCAGCACGAAAGCCAGGAGGGTGGTAGCACGGTAGCACCGATGGGTCACGGGAGGGTGGTACCTGGGGCAGGCCGCATAGCCATATATCTACACCAATTCTCGGTTAAACCCTGAACCCTGGAGCCCTGATTCCCTGAACCCTGACCTGCCCAACTCCGGATCTTTCAACACTTAAACCTTCCAAGCCGCAAATTAATCGCCCTGGAGCTCTCTTAACACGAAAACATTTCGCGCTGCTTGTTCCTCCGGTCGGGTTCAGGTGAAGTCCTGTGCCCACGTGCCTGGAGAGGGTCTGGTCTGGTGGCGAAGGGAACTTAGAGTTGACTCAAAAGCCATCTGATTGATTCTCGTTCAATGCTGTCATTCCCTGATTGGTCCCCAGGTGAAGGCCAATGCCCACGTGCTGGGAGAGGCCCTGGTGGCTAAGGGTTACAAGCTGGTTACTGGCGGCACAGACAACCACCTGCTGCTGTGGGACCTGCGGCCTCTGGGACTCACGGGTATGTTGTCACATTCCGTTGTGTCATGTGTTGTATCACATGCTGTTGTGTCACTCTTGTGTTCTTATCAACTTTTTTGACAGCAGTTTCCTGGTGGAACCATGCTTGCATAGAAGTGTGCCTCTCCCGTTGCAGAATCTGCCACGTCCTTGTATATCTGAACCTTATCACCTTATCCTTGAACCCCCTTGAACCGTGGGTTTGTCCACGTGGCAGGCAACAAGATGGAGAAGGTGTGTGACGTGGCACACATCACGCTCAACAAGAACTCCGTCTTCGGTGACAGCAATGCTCTCGCTCCTGGCGGCGTCAGAATAGGTTTGTCTTTTTCTTCATTAGTTTATTTTTTTACAGGAAGTCTGAGAATTGGTGGCTTCACTCGCACATCCCCCTGCCAGCGTTTCCATGCACCTTCTTTCCATCCCCTCGTGTGATGACCTCTCACGACCTGCACGAGATGGCAATCATCCCATCCCATCCCATACAATCCCATTCCATCCCATACAATCCCATCCCATACAGTCCCGTCCCATACAGTCCCGTCCCATACAGCCCGTCCCATACAATCTCATCCCATACAATCCCATCCCATACAATCCCATCCCATACAATCCCAGCCCATACAATCCCATCCCATACAATCCCATCCCATACAACCCCATCCCATCCCACTTCGTCCCACCCATTCCCTTCCATTCCCATCACACCACAGGTACCCCTGCCATGACTTCTCGAGGCCTTGTGGAGAACGATTTGGAAAGAATGGCCGAGCTTTTGGACAGAGCAGTCAAGATAACCGTACCCACATCCCCCTCCCATCCCTTTTGTACATCAGGTACCCCTGCCTGGAAAAGGACTTACAGAAAGTGGCCGAGTTTTTGGTCACCCACATTCCGTGAACCCTCTCCCACATCCCCCTCCCATCCCTTCCGCACATCAGGTACCCCTGCCATGACCTCTCGAGGCCTCGTGGAGAAGGACTACGAAAAAATGGCCAAGCTTTTGGACAGAGCAGTTAAGATAACCGTCCCCACATCCCCCTCCCATCCCTTTTCTGCATCAGGTACCCCTGCCATGACCTCTCGAGGCCTGGTGGAAAAGGACTTTGAAAAAGTGGCCGAGTTTTTGGACAGAGCTGTTAAGATATGCCTGGACATTCAGAATGAGAAGGGGAAGCTCCTGCGCGACTTCCTGAAGGACCTGGAGCAGAACAAGGACCTCCTGGCGTTGAAGGAGGAGGTGGAGGCGTTCAGTGCGGCTTTTGAGATGCCGGGATTCGATGTTGCAACCATTCAGGTGTAGCGCGTCAACTGTAACAGGATAACAGTCGCTGGTTGAGGTGTTCAGTGCTGTGTTTGAATCGCTGGGGTTCGATGTTGCAGCAGGGTTACCAGAGGCAACACTGGGGGGCAAGGCTGAGACGTTTAGTGGTGCCAGGGTTCGGTGTAGCGACCATTAAAGTGTAATGCATCAACCATAACCAGGTGGCTGGAAGGAGTGGCAACTCTTAGAGTTGAGGTGGTGTTCAGTGCTGTACTGTGTATGCTGCTGCTGAGGTTTGGTGTTACAATGATCAAAGTGTTTCAGGGTGGTAAGGAATTCAACAGAGCTTGGAGAAACTGTGGTGAAGTGATGTGGAAATACAGTTCGTTGCATGGTAGTGATTGTCAACTTATACAGAAGTAATAGGCTAGACTAGGTGTGTGCTTCTAGTGAGTACAACCCAACAGGTATATTTTCTAGGTTTCTCTTCCTAGTAATCATTATCTTATTATAACATGGTATCGAGCAAGTTAGGTCCACCTGCCCGCTTCAGCCCGCGCCCTAGCCTCTCGCCCCTCCCCTACCTACCTAGCCCGTCCAGGCCCCGTAGCGCCCTCCTAGCCCCCGTCACGCCCTCTCGGCCCCTATCGCGCCCGCTAGGCCCCCGTCGCGCCTGCCTGGCCTAGCTGCGCCCGCCTGGCCCCGTCGCGCCCGCCTGGCCCCGCCGCGCCCGCCTGGCCCCGTCGCGCCCGCCTGGCCCCGTCGCGCATGCCTGGCCCCGCCGCGCCCGCCTGGCCTCGTCGCGCCCGCATGGCCCCGTCCCGCCCGCCTGGCCCCACCGCACTCGCCTGGCCCTCTAGCGCCCCGCTGGGCCCCACCGTGCCTGCCCGGCCTGTTGCGCGCGCCGGCCCCTCCTAGCTGACCCGGCCCCCTTCCTAGTGCCGCCGGGCCCCTCCTAGCGATGGCCCGGCCCCTTCCTAGTGCCGCCCGGCCCTTTCGCACCCGCCAGGCTCCTAGCGCCCGCCCGGCCCCGCTGCGCCTCTTCGACTTTCAGCGCCAGCCCGGCCCCTCCTATTGCCCGCCCGGCCCCTCCTCCTCCCTGCTCGGCCTGCCGTGCCACCTCAGGCCCTGTCTCCTCTGCTCGTCCGCCCTGCGGCGCCTCGTGGCCGCCCTGCTGAAGAGTGCTGCCGCCGTGTCCCCCCGCTGCTGTGTTCCTGTGGAGATGTGCTGCTGTGTCGCTGTGGAGCTGTGTCGCTAACCCTGCACGATGGCTGACTTCGTGCTCCGACTGGACGCTGAGGGCCACGCGGTTGACTTCGCTGCCTAGCTCTCCGATCTCCGCTGCCACCTTACAGGTCAGCGCCAGGATGGCCACTCTTTGGTTGTCCATGTCGATGGCTTGCTCCCCCGCCCCCCTGCCCTTGCTCCCCTCCCTGCTGATCCCTCCTCTGATGACCGTGAGGCCTTCTCTACTGCTGCGCTTGCCTGTGCGGTCTGGGACTCCCGCAATGTAGTAGCTCTGGTTGCTATTAGTCACGCCCTCCCGGTGTCTGAGCGCTCGCGTTTTGCTACGGTTGATACGGCGAAAGCTTATTTAGACACCGTTATTGCTCGCTATTCCACACCTGCATCCGCTTCTGCCGGTCGCTAGCTCTTCCCGATGCTGTTCCGAGACCTTGCTGCCTTCCCTACTGTCGCAGACTTTGCCACTCGCTTGCGTGCCCTAGAGACCCGCTATCGCACTGCCAGCACTGCTGCCCAGCTCACTGCGCTCCCCCCCCCCCTTCTGCATGACGCTCTATTCTATTGCCATGCGCCTGCCGGACTGCCTAGCTAATGCTCGCGACCACTTCCTTAGCCAGCACCCAGGTGACCTCACTCTCACCGCCTTTGTCGACACCCTCACCGAGATCGAGACACGCCAGCGCACTATCGCTCAGTCGAGCGGTGCGTCGGCAGTCTCTATCTTTCATGGCTGTGCCCCCTCCCAGTGCACATTTACTGACGTTTCGGCTGCGGTCGCCTCTGCGACCCCCCCTACCGAGACTGCTGCTACGGTCCACCCGCAGCAGCGCTTGCGTCGCGGTGGCCGTGGCCGCCAGGGAGGTCAGGGTGGTGGCGCTGGGGGTGAAGGGAGTGGTGGTGGTGACGGTAGTCCGCCTGAGAGGACTACCACCGGTGGGCAGGAGCAGACGCAGTCCCCTCCGCAGCAGGAGCAGCCCCAGCAGCAGCCGCCATCCCAGCAGCAGCCGCCGCAGCCGTGGGTGTTCCCTCGTTCCCTCGTTCTCGAGGAACCTGGTTGGTGTCGGCTGTCTCCAGGACCTCGGCGTCACCACTACGTTCACGGGGCACAAGCGGATCGCTGTCTGTTCTGAGGCTGTCTCAAGTTCCCACCTTGCGGCGTTCCCCGGGGACCCGGTGTCCGGTCTGTTCACCTTAGACACCGCTTCCCCCCCGGTTGGTGCGTCCTCCCAGGTTGCTTCAGCTTGCTCGTGTCGGTCCCTCACTCACCCTTCCCTTTTGTGGCACCACTGCTTAGGTCATCCTGCTCTCCCTCGTTTGCGTCACATGTCCCATCACGGTCTTGTCTTAGGTCTCCCTGCGTCGCTCCCTGCCCTTCCCCCCTCGACTGCGCCACCGTGCACGCCCTGCGTCGAGGACCGGCTCCGCCGTGCTCCTCACTCCTCCTCGTTGTGCCCTGCTACTGCCCCCCTTCAGACCCTGCACCTAGACGTCTGGGGCCCTGCTCCCGTCCCCGGACCGCGTGGTGAGCGCTACTTCCTTGTGCTCGTCGACGACTACACGCGCTACAACACTGTGTTTCCCCTGGAGCGGAAGGCCGACGTGCCCGACGTTCTTCTCCCGTGGGTTGTGGATGCGCGTCTTCACCGCGGTCTCCCCGTATTGTGTCTCTACTCTGACCGTGGCGGCGAGTTCGCCTTTGGTCGACTTGGACAGTTCTGCGGTGCGGAGGGCATCACCCAGTCGTACACCTTGCCGCACTCGCCACAGCAGAATGGGGTTGCTGAGCGCCGCATCGGCTTGGTCATGGAGGTTGCTCGTACCTCCATGATTCATGCCGATGCGGCCCATTTTCTGTGGCCGTTTGCTGTTCGCTATGCTGCTCACCAGCTTAACTTGTGGCCACGCTCCCAGCGGCCGCAGGTTTCGCCGACCCTCCTTTGGACCGGGTCCCTCGGTGACGCGTCTGCGTTCCATGTCTGGGGCTGCCTTGCTCACGTTCGTGCCTCGGGCACGGACAAGCTTACTGCCCGCACCGTCCCCTGTGTCTTCCACGGTTTCCCCCTTGACTAGTCTGACTGGCTTTTCTACCACCCGCCGTCTCACCGCTTCCTCCACTCTCGTGACGTCACATTTGACGAGTCTGTCTCCTTCTACCACCGCTTCCCTTACCGCGGTCTCCCGGTTGCCCCGCCCCTGCTCCTTGCTCCCTCTCCCCCGGTAGCCCCTGCTCCTCTCCCGCATCGTCCTACCCCGTCTGGTGTCTCTCACGTCACTCCCCTCCCGTCAGTTGTCCCTCTTGAGGAGTCTGCTGACTCTGGTGGTACCCCCGGCCCGTCCTTGCCGCGTCCCCCTCCCCCGGTGTCTCCGCCCCCACTGTTGCAGTCGCCGACTCCGCCGCAGCCGCCGCCGCCGTCGCCACCGCTGCCGCTGCCGCAGCCGCCGCCGCTGTCGCCGCCGCTGCCGCCGCCGCGCTTGGCCACTGGGGGTGCTGGCGTTGAGGAGGGTGTTCGTCCTGCGGCCCCTGGGGATGCCGCTCGTGTTGGGGGGGGTTCTCGCTCTGGGGGTGTTGGTTCTAGGGGTGTTGCTGTTGAGTGTTCTGCCGGCGGTCGTCCTGCCGGTCCGAGGGTTCCAGCCCAGCAGTCGCAGCAGCCGCAGCAGCCGTCGCCGCCGGTCTCCGCTCTCTGCCTGCTCGGCCTTCCCTCCCCTGACCGCTTGCCGGTGTCTCCCCCACCACCTCCTGATTTTCCTGTTTACGGTCCTGTGTTCCCGCCGCCGGACTCGTCTCCGGCCCGTCCTCCTCCTCGTTCCCCTCATGTGTCCCCTCGTCTATCTCCTGACCCTACACGTCCGTCCCACGTTTTGTCTCGCCGTCCCTCCCGTGCTCGTCCCGTCTCTCATGTCCTGCGCTCCCACCCTATGTTGCTCCGTTCCCACTCGTCTCGTCCTCCCCTCCTCCCCTTCCCTCCTCCCTCGTCGCTTGCTGTTGCACCTCCTCCGTTGTCTGACTACCTCCGCGCCGCTCGTCCTCTTGTCCCTTGGGTTCTTGCCTCTCTTGTTACCGACCCTTCTGTTCCTGTCTCGCGCCTTGACGCGCTTGTCGCTGCTGTCGCTGACTTCGCCTCTACCCGCCGCCTTGACTACGCTACCGCTCTGGTCTATGACCCTGCCCGTCCTCCGTCCGTCGGGGGTGCTCTTGCCCTTGGTATTGATGTTTTAGAGGACAAGCAATACGAGCTTGCTTTCTTTTCCGAGGCCGCTCCCCATCTCTGCTCCATGCCGTTAGTCCCTGAGGGTGACCCAGACGCCTTCGGCATCCCGACCCCTCGCACTTACGCTGAGGCCACCTCGGGACCTTGGGCCTCTCAGTGGATAGCTGCCATGGAGCAGGAGATGGCATCCTGGAGGTCCACCGGCACTTACGTCGACGCAATTCCCCTGCCTGGGGTGAACGTAGTCGATGGTCGGTGGCTCTTCAAGGTGAAGCGCCCCCCTGGAGAGCCACCTGCCTTCAAGGCGCGCTACGTGGCCAGAGGCTTCAGCCAGCGCAAGGGGATTGACTTCTTCCAGACCTTCGCCCCAACCCCGAAGATGACCACTCTTCGGGCGCTGCTACACGTAGCAGCACAGCGCGACTACGAGCTTCACTCCCTCGACATCTCTAGTGCCTTTCTTCAGGGCAGCCTACACGAGCAAGTCTACCTGCGCCAACCACAGGGCTTCACTGGTACCTTCCCCCCTGGGACGCAGTGGCTTCTCAGGCACCCGGTCTAGGGCCTGCGTCAGGCTCCCCGCGAGTGGCACGACATGCTGCGGGCCACGTTAGCAGACCTGCAGTTCTTTCCATCCTCTGCTGACCCCTCACTGTTTGTCCGTTCCGGCCAGACTCCGTTCTACATCCTTGTCTACGTAGACGACCTTGTCTTCGCTATTGCTGACAGGGACGCACTGGCCTCTGTGAAGGTCGAGCTGCTGAAGAGACACACCTGCACTGACCTTGGAGAGCTGCATCGCTATCTTGGCCTGCAGATCTCTAGGGACAGAGCAGCACGCACCATCACTCAGACACAGTCACACTTGGTGCGTCAGGTCCTTCAGAGGTTCGGTCTTCAGTTCTCCTCCGCACAGCCCACACTTCTACCTATAAACCATAGGCTCTCCGTTCCCGTTCCTGAGGAGCCAGTAGAGCCCAGTACCTGATGACTTGCACTCGCCCAGATCTCGCATACCCTCTCAGCATCCTAGCTCGCTTTGTGGCTACAGGCAGACACCGACCTCAGCACTGGTCTGCCGCTAAGAGGGTTTTGCGTTATCTTGCAAGTACATCGGGAATGGGGTTAGTGCTAGGAGGACGCAGGCCAGTGGCCCTCACTGGGCACACAGACGCTTCTTGGACAGACGACTCTTAGACTCTCAGGTCGTCTCAGGGCTACTGTTTTAGTCTTGGTTCGGGTGCTATCTCTTGGAGATCCATTCGCTCGTCGTCTCTTGCTCAGTCCGGCTGTGAGGCTGAGATCTACGCCGGTGCCATGGCGGTACAGGAGCTCCGCTGGCTTACCTTCTTGCTCACAGACTTAGGTGAGCAGCCTAGCTCTACCCCGGTCCTGTACGCTGACAACACGGCCATGATTCTCCTGTGTCAGGAGCCTCGGCTTGAGGGCAGAGCGAAGCATATCCAGCTGCGGTACTTCCTCATGCGCGAGCTACAGCAGCGTCGCCAGGCCCGCGTAGTTCACTTGGCCTCCGGTGCCAACACTGCTGATATCTTTACTAAGGCGCTTGTGCCTAAAGATCATCAGCGGCACTGTGTACAGCTTGGTCTTGTTCCTGTCACTTCTCACTTGTTAGGACCCTGATTGTGTACTCTACTATTTATATTTGTCTGACTGGCCTTGTGGCCTTACCTTCAGTGACTGGACTAATTGTGCCGCCCTGGCTTGCTTTAGTCTTGTTTGTACTCTTGCTGACTGGTCTCCAGACCCCTGCCTCAGTGGTTGGACTAGTAGTGCCACCCTGAGCTGTGTGCTTCTTGCTTAGCTCCACCCCTTATCTAGCCTAAGGGGTGTGTCAACTTATACATATGTTCTATGTAGAAGTTATAGGCTAGACTAGGTGTGTGCTTCTAGTGAGTACAACCCAACAGGTATATGTTCCAGGTTTCTCTGCCGTGTAATCATTATCTTATTCTAACAGTGATTTCCTCTCTTCGCCCAGATTATGAGTCATGACCCATTTATTGACACTGTTCAATGTATGTTTTTCAGACACATTGATCCAGTGACACATTTTATTGGAAGCCATACCAAGTGTATAGATTCAATGGATTTCTAAACAAGGGCAGTGTAGCACAGCTACAAAAAAGGGCAGTCCACGAAAGTTTAGATGCCTGCTTGAATCTCAGCCAATCCCCCTAAAAAGCGCAGTCCACGAGCTACTGGGTAGGCACAGCCGATTGGAGGAAAGAGGTCAGAGGGAGCCCGTCCCAAACGCTCCAACTGCTGGTGTTGCCGATGCTGGCGACCACAGCAGACGAGGGAGTGAGAGGAGGAGCTAGAGAGGGGGGAGTGAGAGGAGCAGGAAGGGCTGACGGCGGAAAGGCGGCCCAAGCTGCAGAAGGGACTTTGATGGTATTTTGGCGAATAAAAAGCGGCACAGGTGGCACGGTGGAGTTGGCCATGTTGCTGCAGTTGCTGCTACTGCTGCTGCTGGTGCTCCTGCTACTGGAGATGCTTGTAGAGAGGGTGATGGAGAAGGAAGATCCGGATGAGCCAGGTGATGAGGAAGCAGTAGAGGAGGAGTCATTGCAATCAGGAGGATTGCAAGTGGTAGTAGCTGAGGTGACTGTAACGGGGTTTGAAATTGTAGAGTTGACAGCTGCTCCAATAACTGCTGCTTTGAGTGTAGTTGGACCAGTCACGGGGATGGGAATTGGGGCTGACTTTGGCGCGGACATAGCAGCTGCTTTTGACATCGGGGAAACCGAAACTGTAGCAGGGAAAAGCGAGGCAATCTCCCGTTGGAGGAGGCTCCGGTAAACGCTTTGGCGACCGGCGATTCTCAGCCACGGATGGTACAGTACGTCGTGCAGGCGAATTCGCCGGGTTGGATCCGCCTGAAGCATACTCCTCACAAGGTGCTTCGCTTCCGTAGAAATCAGCGACCACGGACGTTTGCTCATATCCGGATCCGCACGACATGCAGCAGCGAAAATAGCGTTATGATTTTTTCCGTAAAAAGGGAGCACGCCGGATAGACACGTGTACAAAACGACACCCAGGCTCCAAACGTCGACCTCCGCGCCGTATTCTTTTCCCCGCACGATTTCCGGCGCCATGTAAAACGGGCTCCCCGCCAATCCGCGCAGCCGCGGCCGCTCGCGCGTTAGCTGCTGCGCCAGCCCGAAGTCCCCCACGCGCACCTCCGCGCAACATTCCGCGGAAGTCGCGTCGGCGCGAGCGTCAACAGCTGCGGTCGTGGGCGGAGAGGCGGCGCTGGCGCTGGCCAGAGTGGCGGAGGCGCAGCCGGCGGAGGGCGGGCGGCGGAGGAAGATATTCTCGGGCTTGAGGTCGCGGTGAACGATTCCGCGCGCGTGCATGCGCAGCACGACGGAGACGACCTGGCGGAAGATCCCCGCGGCTTCGCGCTCCGGCAGGCGCGTGTTGCGCGCGACATGGTCGAAGAGGTCCCCCCCCGCGCAGTGCTCCACGACGAGGTGCAGCGCGGACTCGTCCTCCGCAATCTCGAAGAGTCGCAGGATGCCGCCTGCGCCAGGTGTCGCCTTCCCCGCGCCTCCCGCCGCCGCGCCTCCCCCCTGCAGCAGCAGCGGAACGAGCACCTCGGCGCGGAGCTCCTTGAGATCCTCGGGTCGCTGAATCTGGTCCTTGAGAATCGACTTGCACGCGAACAACTCCCCCGTGCCCGCGTCCACGCACTCGCGCACCACGCCGAAATGCCCGCGCCCCAGCTCCCGCCCAAGCTTGTAGCAGTCCTGCAGCCGCGGCGCGCCGGCGGTGCGGCGCCGCCAGCCGTTGGCGGAGAGCGGGAAGCCAGCGAGCCGCGTGGTCTCGAGCTCGTGGAAGAGGTCCTTCATGTGGGCTTTAATCTCCGCTGCCGAGGCGCCATGACGAAGTGAGAGACGCCTGGCGGGCGGTGACGTGGCAGTGATACTATTGAAGGTCCACATGGCGTCCATCAATTCAATCATTAATCTCTCGGCCAGGGTTGTCGGTGGATGGACTCGAGGCAGAGAGTGCCGCTACTGACTGCGGCTGCGACGGCTGGGTTGTCGGTGACTTGAAATTTTACAATTAGCGCCGCTTTGGCAGCTATTTCTTGCGCTGGTTCTGGCGCGAACTGGAGAAAAAATGCGCTGCGGTCGGTGCGGCTTTGCCAGTGAGAGCAACGAGCGGCGTCGCGTTCTGGCTGCGCTGTCGGTCTAGCTCGCTATGCCTCGAATTCACCGTTGTTGGCTGTGAGACTGCTGGGATGTGGAACGATATAATTCGCGCCACCTAAAAACAGCTGGGAGGAGAGGCCGGATTGAGGCGCGAGTGAGATGGACTTTCTTCGCGCGGCTTGAGCGGAGACTGACCGGGCCGGGGACGTCACGGGAGACTCGGCGAGGTAGAAGTGCCGACTCCGGGGTACGGAACTAACGTCCTTCCAGACTCACTCCATGCTGGAACGGGTTCAAGACGCCACAACCACAGTTATCTCCTTTACACACAGTCCGGAGCCTTCTAGAGGACGCGCTGGATGGGATGGGGCTGACAAGTGTGGTCCGATGTGCCCCCGATTGATCTCGATTCTCGTTTCTGGATGGAGTCTTGCTTCAACTTGGATTGGGGAAAGGGAAAATTTCCCGTATGAGTCACGAAAGGTTCTTCGCACCCAGCACGAAGGTCAGGAGGATAGAATCTTTCAGGGTGAGTGAAAGAGAGTTGTGTCTGGTCGGGCAGGGCAGGATCCCCCCAACAAACTTTTCTCAATGCTGCCCTGGCCTGCAGCAACGGTGCCCGCTGTGATTTCTTCCGACCGGCCCGTCTGGAGTAACGCCAGAACGGGATTGAGAATGGCGTGAGGAGCAAACGGGCACCACACGATTCAAAAATATTCTCCAGGCTGGCAATGGGTTAGCGGCAGCAAGTTGACCGGACTAACGGACAGCAAGAATGACAATTTGAGGAGTGGAGTCCCATCCAACTTCCCAAGGTTGCGGGCATTCCAAACGAGAATACTGTACACCCTAAATCTCGTTTTCCTCAAATCACGTAGTATAAAAAAGCGGATACAGTCATTGCCCAGATCGGCTTCTCATCAACTGTGAAATGGAATTTCACATTGCTCTGGACCAAATATGGCATAGTGTGAGAAAAACCACAGAAGAGAACGGGTTGCGCCGGGCCCTTTGACATCCCACAGCGTTACCTGAGCATCTGTGAGTTCTCGAAGGAAACAGGGAACTAGCCACCTGCTCTCGACGGTACAGGAACAACATTCGGTTCAGTGCGCGGGTCTTTTTGGCTGTTGCGACCCTTGCAGTGTTGAAAATATTCTTATCGGTTAACCCTCTCATTGGGGTCAAACTTTCGTCACTCCAGAGTACACCACTAATGCTTCGGTTTCTAGAAAAATACCCCCGACGGATGGTTCCGCGCTGTGTCACGTACAATCACATTCCGCTAAAAACAAACGCAGTCGTCCTGACATACAATCTTGATTTTAACGAGGTCTACGGTGTACCCCTCTCTGTTTTTGGTACCCCTGAGATTGGCGAATGAGAGGGCGTGGGCTGGGCATACCCTTTTGAAGGAGCTTGACCAGCGAATCGCAGAGAGGACCTTGGCGTCGCCCAAAGCATGCGATTCGCTTATAGGGGCTTTGGGCGAATTGGATGAGATCGTGCGACATGCTGGCGCGCGACAGCTTTGTTTGTTCCCCTTAAAGAATCGTCATCGATCGCAATCGCAAACCCGCTGACGTCGCCGAAGAGGGCACAACGTCGGAAAGAGCAGAGCAAATGCTGCAAGGGCTTGGATGCTTGAGGGTAATCTGAAAGCATCTTGAGGGTAACCTACCCAAAAGCAATCTGAAACACAGAACAAGTTGTATCCATATGCTTTGTCTCACTATACAGGTCTAACGAGCGAAATTGGTTGCAGCAACAAAACGCAAATACACTATCTTATGTAGAGAACACTATCAAACATGGCCTCAAAACTTGCCCAGAAACACATGCCTTGTCGGACAGAGGTTGAAAGGACAGAGAAAGTGTCGCTCGGTTTGTCTGCACGAGTCCAGATTCAGCGCCTTGTCGCATGGATCCTGCGAGCTGCGACCAATGAAGGAAACAGCCCTCTTCGTCAGCCCCATCCGTTTACCCCTTGCGATACTTCGCAGCATTTGCCAAGGTGCTTCGTCGATCGCTGCGCCATCCAGGCCCTGCGACTGGTTGATTGACGTTGCTGCGTCAGTGGATGAATCGCAGACGTTACCGTTACAAACATACAGAGGTATTGTTATGAATGGAACTGCCGCGTAGCGCGGAGGGTAACGGCGAAACCGCGAACGAGTGAATGACAATAAAATGAAAGAATATAATATATAGGAAACCTAGGGTGATCCTGGACGTAGGATTGGAAGGTACGGGAGAAGCGTCGAAGGGCGTCGATGTGTCGAAACGAGGTCCGGTAAGGCCCAGGAGGCTCGAACTGAAAGGTCTGGAACCCTATCGCGGGTTCGGGACTGTTCGAGTAGTACGCTTTGTAGAAAGCCTCAGTAAGAAATTCATCATTCCTCACAGATATATTTAGAAACTCTTATACAATTGTATATACATTCCTTCCATCCCTACCTCTCTACCCCTCTGGCTGCCAGCCGTCTTGACCACCAGGAGCAATTCAATGTCTGCTCCGTAATTCCGCCGCATTCCGCGCTAACAGCCAGAGAGATCCTTACACCGCTTCAATATGGCTGCGTGGCACGCTATAGTTCCCAACGTGCCCGCTGCTCTTCCGCGACAATCACTAATGCCGCCTGCTGTTCGCACCCGAGCGAGCAGCCGTGCATCTGCATTTCCCCAAGCCGCCTGCCGCACAGCCTGCCGCATTCCGCGGCGCGACTTGCGTCCGCAGCACATGCCGGGAAAGGAGTTGAGTGCGCTATATGGGGCTCTAGATGGGGCTCTAGATGGGGCGCTAGATGGGGCTCGATCCCGACATGACGGAATGATGCGGCGGCTGCGATCACGCAACAGCGACATTTTCAGCCGGCAATTCGGAAGGCCGTTAGGAGGCGACGCTGACTGGCCGTTAGCGGCTAGATCCCAGACGCAGGGGGACGCTAGTGGCTGCGTGGAGCTGACGGACGAATCGGATTTCGTACAGGCAGCGAATGAGGATGGCCGAATCTCCATTCTCGGATTCGGATCGCTGCTCTCCGGTAAGGTCGAGGTGTGGTCTGATCTGGAGCTAGACTTCCCAGGGCATTGGCCCCAGAGCGACTACAATTCCCACAGCATTACCCCCAGAGCGACTACAATTCCCAGAGCATTACCCCCAGAGCGACTACAATTCCCACAGCATTACCCCCAGAGCGACTACAATTCCCAGAGCATTACCCCCAGAGCGACTACAATTCCCACAGCATTACCCCCAGAGCGACTACAATTCCCACAGCATTACCCCCAGAGCGACTACAATTCCCACAGCATTACCCCCAGAGCGACTACAATTCCCACAGCATTACCCCCAGAGCGACTACAATTCCCACAGCATTACCCCCAGAGCGACTACCCACACAATTCGCATCGCCATTCTCGGATTCGGATGGCTGCTCTCCGGTAACTGCGTGCATTGGCCCGCTGCTTTACCTCCTTGGGCTTCTCTGGTCCCCCCCTCTTCTAACCACAGCACAGGTCATCTTGACTTCTGAGTCGACTCAAAGGTCACCTCTTCCGACCAAGACACAGGTCTTGAAGAGGGGGAGAATGCGTGTGGCAGTGATTTCGTTCCGAGTCTATCTTTTAGGCGCCTCAAAAATAGTCTTGGAACGCGTGTGTTAGTACTCCCGTTTTGAGCCGACTCAAACCGACACTTGTGTAACACTCTCGTCCAACCAAGGCACGGGTCTTGAAGAGAGCAGAACGTAACAGCAACGCAACAGCACAGTGCAGTGCACGCTCATCCTCCTCCACCCCTCCCCACCCCTCCTCACCCCTCGCAACCCCTCCCCCTTCTTCCTCTCTCTCCCACTAAGAGTGCAGTGGGTGCCGCACGCTGCCCTCATTGGAGGGGAGTGCAGTGCGTGGGATGGTTTCTGCCAGGCCAGGCCGCACGCTGCCCTCATTGGAGGGTTTCTGCCGTGCCAATCTCAGGACTCATTGCCAGGCCGCACGCTCATTGGAGGGTTTCTGCCAGGCCAGGCAGCACGCTCCCCTCATTGGAGGATTTCTGCCAGGCCAGGCTGAGGGCGTTCACACGGGTGCATCAAGGGGTCACTCATCCTTCCCTTCCACCCCTCTCCACCCCTCTCCATCCCTCTCCACTTCTCTCTCCCCTCCCCCCTCCCCCCCGCCCCCGTCTTCCCCTCTTCCCTTCTCTCCCCCACCAAGAGCGCAGTGCGCGCAGCACGTTCCCCTCTCTAGAGGGCTTCCGCCAGGCCAGGCTGAAAGGGTTCACACGGGTGCATTAAGTGGTCACTCAACCTTCTCCTCCACCCCTCCCCACACCTCCCCACCACCCCCCCCTCCTCCCGGCCCCCCGTCTTCCCCTCTCCTCCACCAAGAGCGCAGTGCGCGCAGCACGTTCCCCTCTCTAGAGAGCTTCCACCAGGCCAGGCTGAAAGGGTTCAGACGGGTGTTCTGCCACGCTGCTCCGGTGTTCTTTATAAGGGGGATAGCTCATAAGGAGACAAAGGTGAGTCAAACCACCTATTATCGTTCAGACGGGTTTTCTGCCACGCCGCTCCGGTGTTCTTTTTTAAGGGGGATTGCTAATAAGGAGACGAAGATGAGTGAATTCCTCTGCTCTGTCTCTCACGACCACCACTACCTTCCCTGCCCCACCCACCTATCGTGCTCCACCCACCTATCGTGCTCCACCCGCCTATCGGTGCTCCTCCATTCCCTGTCCTTTCCCGCCCACCGTCCCGCCCGTCCCGCCCGTCCCGCCCGTCCCGCCCGTCCCGCCCACCATCCCGCCCGTCCCGCTCACCGTCCCGCCCGTCACGCCCACCGTCCCGCCTGTCCCGCCCATCTTCCTGCCCGTCACGCCCACTGTCCCGCCCGTCCCACCCACCTTCCCGCATGTTCCACCCAACTTGCACCCCTATGAGTAATCGAGCCCGAGTGTGGCGCCCTGTGAGGAAGGAGATTGCTGCCACACCTGATACGTAGCATTGAACCCTTCCCATCCCCCTCCCCAACCCCTCCTTCTCCTACCCCCACCCTCCCCACTCCCAGGAGTACTCGAGCCTGAGTGTGGAGCCCTGTGAGGGGGAGGAGATCGTCATCACTCTCTTCTCCATACCCGCTATTGAGGTACTCGATATAAGTTCTGCTTTTGGAGTGGCAGGAGACGACGAGACGAGAGAAGGGGAGGGGTGTCTCTCGAATCATATGCGCTGCACTGCTCACCACACCTGCCCATGTGTACCCTATTTCCGTCTCTAAGCACGTTTCTGTGGCATGGTGATGTGGCATGGTGACGTGGCATGGTGATGTGGCAGGTGCCGGCATTCATTGAAAGAGAGCACGAGTTTCGATTCCTTCTTGTAAGCTTCCTCCACCCCTCCCTCCCCCCCCTCAATCCCTCCCTCCTCCCTCCCTCCCTCCCTCCCTCCCTCCCTCCCTCTCCCCCTCAATTCCTCCCTCCCCCCCTCAATTCCTCCCTGCCCCCCTCAATTCCTCCCTCCCCCCCTCAATTCCTCCCTCCCCCCCTCAATTCCTCCCTCCCCCCCTCAATTCCTCCCTCCACCCCTCAATCCCTCCCTCCCACAATCTCTCCCTTGCTGCATGAGCCACGGCATGTAGGCAAAGGAATGCTTCGGTCACGCTCGTCACCACACTGCTTGCCCCCTTGTTTGCTTGTAGGCAAAGGAAGACTTTCAGTCATAACAGTCTTTCAGTCTGTTATGCTGCTTTCCGCGAGCCTCCTTGCCATGTCAGGCCTCCCCTTCCCTGCTCTCATTGTGATAGAGCTGTAGTTGTCAGACGTCTCAAAACTACACTTGCTCCTTTCACGCCCCTCACCTCACCTCACCTCACCTCACCTCACCTCACCTCACCTCACCGCACTACAGTTCCTCACCTCGCCTTGAGCCTCCTTGCCAGTTCAGTCCTCCCCTTCCCTGCTCTCATTCCGCCTACCCAGTCTCCATCCCCTCCTCTCCCATCCACCCCCTCCTCTCCCATCCACCCCCTCCTCTCCCATCCACCCCCTCCTCTCCCATCCACCCCCTCCTCTCCCATCCACTCCCTCCCAGGGATTAGTTGTCATGGAAGAGTAGCAGCAGCGTAGGAAGGTCGTGTTAGGAACTTTTTCGAGTTCACCTATTTTCTGAGGGTACAAGTTTTTTCTAACTGTCAGTTTTTTGCTAACGCGACCTTCCTACGCTGCTGCTACTCTTCCATGACAACTAATCTCCTCACCCATCCACCCCCTACTCTTTTCCTTATTCCCTGCTATCGTCGCCATACAGGTTCCTCCCAGCAGAATATCACCATCAGCACCATCACCAGACTCAGCAGCAGTAGTAGCAGCAGCAGCATCGTCACCCTCACTTGCACATAATTTATCACGTGGTGCGGTAAGTGACCATGCAAGAAGCAGCGCCATCACCAGACTCAGCAGCAGCAGCAGCAGCAGCAGCAGCAGCAGCAGCAGCAGCAGCACCTGCAACATCCTCAACCTCTCTAGCACAAAATTTATCACCATGGTGTTGTATTCAACAAAGCTAAGAAGAGCATGATTACACCCTGATTTTCTCACTCCCCGGCGTCCTTCCGTTTGCCAATCTACCTGATTACATTGCCCCCTGTGCTTTGCTCGATCTCTCTCACTCTTACTCACTCTCACTCTCACTCTCTCACTCTCACTCTCTCACTCTCTATCACCCTCCCTCACATGCTCCCGCTCCCCACCAGGTCATCTGCAGCCGCTACAGCGACCATGAGTACCTCCAGATTCGCCTGAAAGGTCAGCTCTAGGCCAACCATGACATGCCATGCGCAACAATCCTTATGGCATATAAACCTTTAACCCCCAACGCTCAACCCACAGGCCATGTTAACCTTTAAAACCAGGGTCTAGCATTTTTGTAATGTTTTGCAAATGAAAGGCCTCCCACAATGTGATTGGAGGACGACGGGCGAAATGTCCGATCTGTTTATTCTCGCAAATATCGTTACACCCTTCGTAAAATTTGGCAGCTCTTGTGCCCCTCCGCGAGTGAATCCTAGGGAAACACTAGACCCTGGTTCTAACCCCAAACCCTCAATCCACATGCCATATAACCCTTAAACCTCCAACCCTCAATCCACATGCCGTATAACCCTTTAAACCCCGCGGCCCAAATCGTTCATGCTTTAGAAACATGACGCACTTCTGTTAGATATTTAGGGGGTGACGACGTGATTGATTTCGACGAAACTGTCGCGAGTGCCTAAAAAATGGAACCACGTTTCGCTGAGTCAGCGAATCTCAGGTGCACTGGTGGGATGCAAAAGTCCCAAATTGCAATGACCCCGTTTTCAAGTTTCTGCAGGCCAATCCACGCAAACCCCCCAGTCAAGTTTTCAGCCAATCAGGTGCTTTTGCGATATGCGTAACCCCAGCTTCGTAAAAAAAAAGTGCCTGAAAATCGTCAGATTTCAAGTTTCTAAAGCTTGAACCACACGGCACGCAATTTGGGACTCGGGCTTTAACCCTCAATCCACTCCACATGCCATATAACCCTTTAACCCCCAACCCTCAATCCACATGCGATATAACCCTTTAACCTCCAGCCCTCAATCCACATGCCATACGTTTACGTTTATGTTTTTACACGTAATTTATGCGGCCAGGCGAAAAATACTAGCACTAGCACTCACACCGGGGGGGGGGGGGGAGGGGGGGGACAGTGGTCGAATGGCAGACCCAAAGGGATTGCCTAAGGAAATGTTTACGTAGTTGAGTTAGGTGCATAATAGGTCGCGACTAAGTCACAATAGGAAATTGCAAAACCTAGAGTAGCTCGACAAGCATAGGGAGGGGGTTGCTGGGGAAAATGAGTGCGTGCAATGGGAAGGGGAGGGGAGGTTGTCGAGGAGGCAGCGTTGACTGGCTAATTGTTGAGTCACCAACCCTTCTCAACATCATTGTCAAACCTGCGACACATTTAACTCGGTCGGCAAATCACATGCTGACCGATTTCACCGCAGCATGCAACGAACAGTTGCAAAGCTGATACAAAATCAGAAATGTTCGTCCAACAATTTAGGAGTTCCCCAAGAACGGTGAAGTGAGTGGAAAACCATCTCCATTCAAGGGGGCCCTTGGGCAGCCTAAAAAAGAAAATTCTGCCCCCATCTTAGCTTTAACCCTCCAACTTTCCAGGTGATGAAGAGGATTATGAGAGGCGGTATGGCCAATGGAGGGTGGAGAGGGTGTGGGATGACTCACTGTCTTTTGGCACAAGACACATGCCACATGCCACATGCCACATGCCACATGCCACATGCCACATGCCACATGCCGCTAATTTCACGCGAACACCCTTCTCCTCTTTTTTCCTCCCTCCTTTCCTCCCTCCTTCCAAGTGAGGCAGATGAGTTGGAGAGGCGGTATGGCCAGTGGGGTGTGGGGAGGGTGTGGGAGGAGTGTGTGTTGGCATATGAGACAAGTTTTGGGGCGCCTCAAAACTACGGGCAGTGGGGGATGGAGAGGGTGTGGGAGGGGTGTGTGTGTTGGCATGGGAAACATGACGCAGTTTGCCCCCTTGCACCACTCCTCTTGCCATCAGGTGACGCAGAGGAGTACGAGAGGCGGTATGGGCAGTGGGGGGTGGAGAGGGTGTGGGACGACTCACTGCTGCCATGCCGGGTGTACCTCAGGCACTGGTGCGATGTGACTGTGGTACTGTGGTACTGCGTGATTGAAGTCTTGTTCGAGGTGCCTCAAACATAGGCTTCTATCTCGAGAGGGTGTGGAACAATTCACTACTGCCATGCCAGGTGTACCTCAGGCACTGGTAAGACGTTTAAAGGCATGGTGTTACTGCCAGTGTCTGGTGTCTGGTGTCTGGTGTCTGGTGTCTGGTGTCTGGTGAGGCACTGGTAAGATACTACTCTGGCATCTTACCCTGGTACTGCCTGCCGTGCTTACTGTGTTACTGTGTTACTGTGCTACTGTGCTACTGTGTTACTGTGCACTGCTGCAGCTGGTAACTGTGCACTGCTATTGTCCTGACAGCTCTGGGCGTGGGAGAAGGAGCCATGGACAGGTTTCCCAAGTCACAACCTCTTCACTTCAAGCCGCACCTCCATCCGCAGTACCCGCAGTGTCCTCAGGTGGAAATGTTGCCTTTTTCTCATCCCGTTCTCTCTGATCCCTTTTCTCTCTGGCCCCCTTTTTCTGTTGCAGCGTACCGGCAACACAGAGCCCTAAGCATCTTCAAGACCCTCCACCCCTTCCCACCCCTTCCACCCCCCTCAACCCCCTTCCAACCCCCTCTTTATTGCAGCATACTGGCAGCTCAGGGCGCGGGCGAAGGAGCTCCAAACGTCTTCCTAGACCACACCTTTCTGGCCGGCCGCAGCACCACCATTGGCCAGTGCTAGTCTCTTGAGGTACCGTAGAATCACGGTCTTCCCCTTGTTTGCCCCTTGTCTCTCCTGCAGTGTGCTGGCAGCACAGGGATTGGGAGAAGAGGCCTTGAACAGATTCCTGGACCACATGTGTCAAGGTCCCCCTCCAAACAACCCCCCACCCCCCCCCCCCCCCCAACCACCCACCCACCCACATCTCTCTTGCAGTGTGCTGGCAGCACAGGGATTGGGAGAAGAGGCCTTAGACAGCTTCCTGGACCACACGTTTCTGGCCGATCGCAGCACCACCATTCGCCAGTACCTGCTCCAGCATCCAGACATCATGATCGAACCTCCTCCGCCGAGCCTGGCGGATAGGTATGGTGGTTGAGCTACAGTAGCAATGTGGGCGTACAATGTGCAGGGTGGTATTGATTTGTCACAGCAGCTCTTTTTGTGAAAAGTGTTATTAAATTACAATGTACCCAACCCACAGTCCGTTTGGCAGCTAAAGATGCTGGAAAAATCGGGGTCAGAGTTTTCTTTTCTCCTCCTGGAATACTAGGGTGTAGATTCATAGGGTGTCACTTTCTAGATTCATCTGGTGTTTTTTTTAAAGCGTACTAGTATTTACAATTTGCAGAATGGCTTGGGTGTCAAACATGTGTATTTGTCATGTTTGTATAGACTGTATAGGGTAGCCTCTTAGAGGGTACAACACTTAGGTATATCTGTGTGTACTCTCACTCTATCTCTTTATCACTTCTCCAATTCTGATATGGTATCACTGTTGAGTGACCCGCTGGGGTTGCCCTTGAGATCCTCGGGGAAGGGCCACAGGTGCAGAGCCTGGGGGGCTATGGGCGCACTTACCCGCTATTCAACAAGCCCTTTTAACCCAGTGGTCAGTGACTGGGTTTCTGACAATCACGCGTAGGTAGGATCAGGCCTCTGGATAGGATTTGGAGTAGTTTTTCATGTAAGGGTATGAATCCTCGACCACTTTTTCTGTAAGGGTGTTTTTTTTTTCGACTTTGTTTTATAAGGGTGCTAAAAAAAACTGCTTTTCCACATCAGGGTGTACAAACGCCATACTCATTCGTAACTGGATAAATTTGCTTAGCATTATAGATGTTGACATTGCAAAGCATAGCACACTAATCCTGCACCATACCAAATACTACTACTGCGGCTACTGCTACTACTGCTGGTGATGCTGATGCTGGTGATGCCACTACTACTGCTGCTACTGCTGCAATTGCTGTTGCTGCTGCTGGAGAGGAGACCCTCTACTGCCGGTGCTTTTAGTCGGCGGCCATGTCAAACTGGGTAGCAGGGCGGCGGTCCTTGATTGTTCGGAAAATGTCAACCATCTTCAGCCACTCCATGTCGCACTGCACGAGGGCCACTGTCATAAGGTCCTCGAGCTTCCCATCGCCCAAGCAGCTGCGCGTCCACGACTTGATGCGATTCTGGCGGCTGAAGCCCCTCTCGCACTCAACCGTGCTGAGGGGCAGCACGGCGACCGCCTGCCACAGCCGCACGATGTTGGGGTATGCTCCCTCGTAATCCGTGCTGTCCAGCATGAGCTTCATGGACTTGTGAAAGCCGAGATTCGCGTGGTTGGTGTTCATCGTGTGGAGGAAGAGATGCAGCTCTGACACGCAGGTCTTGAAGTTGACCCCTGGGAACTCATATGGGGGAAATGGGTAGGATACAGTATATGGGTGGAAGGGGGGGAGGAGGGGAGGGAGGACGCAATGGCAATAAGGTTTTAAAGTTTCGGGCGTGCAAGGCAGCAACAATGTGACAGCGAAGGAGGTTTACAATGGCATTAAGGTTTTGAAGTGTAAGACACTTACCGTAAAGCTTAAAATGGAAGAGCTTATCTAGCAGAGCCAACCACTCCCTGGCCTTTTTCATCAACGATGCCCAATCCTCGGGGTAAACGAGCGGCCGAAACAACTTCGCGCCGTTTAGATCCTGCAGGTCGTCCAGCCTGTGCTCCAGTCGTGCCTTTGCCTCCGCCGCATACTCCCTGCACAGCTTCACGCAGGTCGGGTAGTCCCCCTTGCCTTTCTGACCTTCCCACGGCTCCTCGCTTAGCGTGAAGGTATGCACAGTCGGAGCGTCTTCCTTGTCGACACCTTCGACTGTCACCTCTCGAAACTGGGGGTTGGCATGCTCCTTCAAGAAATTCTTCAGAAGCGGTGAGTCCCTGCCGAAAGCGTTTTCGCAGTCGATGTAGCGAACGTCAATCTTTCTGCACACCAGGTTGACCTCGCCAGCGACCAGTGTAATGTCCACCTGAGGTCGTGCATAAAGCAGAGAAATAACAAAAATTAGGGCCTGCAGTTAAACAAACACAACGTCACTGCCGTCAGAAACCTCACCTGCTTCTTCTGAAACTTCGCGTTGAGGTCGTTGAGGACCTCGAGCAAATCTGCCAGGAAGTACACAAGGAAGTGAAACTTGAAACTCTTCACAAGTCCGTATAGCTCGTGCTGATACTCGTGCAGAAGCACGACTACAGCCGGCAACAGCTGCGCGAACCGCTTCACCGCGCTCCCCCGTGAAAGCCAGCGGACGTCATATATTCCCTGGAGCTCCAGATTCGTGTCACACAGCTCTTCCTGCAGCTTCTTGAAGCGCCTGTGCCAGATCCCGCTCCTTGACAGCAGTTCAGAGACGGTTCTGATGACCTGGTCGATGACGGAGAAGTCTCTAACCTTTGCTGCCGCGTCTTTGGCTGCCAGAGACTCACTGGTAGGGAGGGGGGAGGGAACACATAGATACACACCAGGTGTGTGACAGTAGAACGTGACATCGCATGCGATTTGGGAACCAACAACCGAAAGACAACCTGTCAAACACCAAACACCGGAGTCAACTCACCGATGGGCGATGCAGTGGCATGACACTAGGTGCCGAATCTTAACACGCAACCGTGCGACGACGCCCTTGTGCTCGCCTACCATGACAGACGCGCCGTCCGTACTTATCCCGACGATCTTCTCCATGTCGATTCCGACCGATCGCATGTAAGTCTCCAGAACTTCAGTGAGGCTTGCTACATCACATTTTTGCACGGTGAGGAGCGTCAGGAACTCGGTACGCACATAGCCATCCTTGATATAAGTCACATATACTATTAGATGCTTCCCTCTGACACGGTCCGTGCTCTCGTCAATAGCGATGCCGAGATAGGGGCTGCTTGCGATGTTCTTTAGCTGCTCTTCTCGTAGGTACTTTGATGCGGCCTCGACCAACTCGTTGAATCCGTATCTGCCAAGCATACACACGATGAAACAAGAGAGTAGTCATAGATGTTGCAACTCATGGACCAATAATATGGTCACTCGGTACTTGAAAACAATGCACTAAGATTCGAATTCGTAGTTTCTCACTCTGAAAAGTAGGCGCCCTTCTGATCCAGAGGGAGGTTGGGCGTCTGCACTGAAGCCATGAACTTGATGAAGCCGACGTAGGATGTTATCGGCGCCTCCGATTGGCACGTGTACACCGCCGTCTTCATGGCGGTGATGAGATGTAGCGTGCTTTTGTCGAGGCCCTCGTACTCGTTTAGGAGTGTTTGCCGCAACATCCTCGACTGCTTAGCCTTCATTAGACGGTAGGCGTCGCGGTGGGCGTTGGACCGCTGGTGAGTCTGGATGCTGTTCTTCTGCATGTCACGCCCGCCGCAACCGTCCTTGCCGTACTTGGTGTCCGCACCTGAAACTCCGTGCTCGAGGCAAGTGCTGCAGCGCAATACAGGGAAACCATCGTCAGCACGGTCGAGGACAAGCCAAGGGAACAAACTCTCCCAAGAAGACTTAAAACGTCGGTGCGCTTTTGCAAAAGCAGCATGTGGATCTTTGGAAGCCTCTTCGTCGGTGGGTTCGTGATCCTCGTCATCATCGTCACCGGCGACGTCGTCGGGTTCCTCAACAGGCGTTTTGTCCGTTGACCGAGCGAAGGGTAGATGTTGCTGCCGCCACTTCTGCGGCAGGCTGCTCGCTTTCCGCTTCGCGGAAGACGACGTCAAGCCCACAGCAGTTGGGGATGGGGCAGGAGAACCCCCAGAGGCAGAAACCGGTAGAGCAGCGGGAGATGGGGGTGTACGCTCAGGGACATCCGCTATGGGTTCGGTCACAGGAGGCGACCCAACGCAAGGGGAGGTTGGAGGTGGGAACGGCTGAGCGACTGTGATTGGTGCGCGACGGAGGAAACTAAGGGCTGATCGCGGAGGGGATAGCGGGCGTTTCCGCCCACCATCCTCCTCCTCATCGCCGTCGTCGGGGTCCATGGCTATCGTCGAGGTGAGAGGAATATGGTAAGGAAGCGGGTGAGAGATACAAACACAGAGCAGATTGTATCTCGGTGCTCTCAAGAATAGCTTGGAAGAGACAAATGAAGAAGAACTGGTGCCCCGAACAGAGGAGAAGGGGATCGACAGTTGTGCCCCCTTCTTTCCACCAATCATGTCATTTGCCTGCAGAACAGGTCACCGCAGGACCATTGCTGCCGCGCTGTCCATGCGCGCTCCGACCCCTGACGCTGATTGGTTTGTCTTTTCCTAGAAGGCCACACACTTTGACTCGCTGGAGCAGTCTCGTCGACGCGCGCCAGCATAGAGCAATAATGGCGCTGATTGCGGCATGACTCGGGGGAATATTCTTGCCCCCAAACGGGGGGGCTACATGTAGAATCACATCAGGGTATTTTGTAAAGGCACTTTTTCGCATAAGGGTGCGAACGATACACCACTTTTGAAAATCAGGGTCCCGTACAAACGTAGTTTTTTTCATAAGGGTCCAAAACTAAAGCACTTTTAAAAATAAGGGTCCAACACCAACCCCAGCCTTATAGTAAGGGCCGTAAGGGTATTTTACCCTGATATCCTGAGGCCTGGGTAGGATCCCCCCCCCCACCTACCGCTTCCGCTTGCCTCCTAGCCCCGTCGCGACCCCCCCCCCCCCCCTCTCTAGCCCCGTCGCGCCCTTCCTGGGCCCCGTAGCGCCCCTCCTAGGCCCCGTCGCGCCCCTCCTGGGCCCCGTCGCGCCCCTCCTGGGCCCCGTCGCGCCCCTCCTGGGCCCCGTAGTGCCCCTCCCTGGGCCCCGTAGCGCCCCTCCTGGGCCCCGTCGCGCCCCTCCTGGGCCCCGTCGCGCCCCTCCTGGGCCCCGTAGTGCCCCTCCCTGGGCCCCGTAGCGCCCCTCCTGGGCCCCGTCGCGCCCTCCCTGGGCCCCATAGCGCCCCTCCTGGGCCCCGTAGCGCCCCTCCTGGGCCCCGTCGCGCCCCTGCTGGGCCCCGTAATGCCCCTCCTGGGCCCCGTAGCGCCCCTCCTGGGCACCGTCGCGCCCCTCCTGGGTCCCGTAGTGCCCCTCCTGGGCCCCTCCTGGGCCCTGTCGTGCCCCTCCTGGGCCCCTCCTGGGCCCTGTCGTGCCCCTCCTTGGCCTCGTAACGCCCCTCCTGGGCCCCGTAACGCCCCTCCTGGGCCCCGTAGCGCCCCTCCTGGGCCCCGTCACGCCTTCAGGCCCTGTCGCGCCCTGCCCGGCCCCGTCGCCCCCTGCCCGGCCCCGTCGCACCTGCCCGGCCACGTCGCACCCGCCCGGCCCCGCCGCATCAGCCCGGCCCCGTCGCGCTCGCCCGGCCCCGTCGCACCCGCCCGACCCCGTCGCCCTCGCCCGGCCCCGTCGCACCCGCCCGGCCCCGTCGCGCCCGCCCGGCCCTGTCGCGCCCGCCCGGCCCCGTCGCACTCGCCCGGCCCAGTCGCACCGGCCCGGCCCTGTCGCACCCGCCCGGCCCCGCCGCACCGGCCCGGCCCCGTCGCCCTCGCTCGGCCCCGTCGCACCGGCCCGGCCCCGTTGCGCCCGCCCGGCCCCGTCGCACCCGCCCGGCCCCGTTGCCCCGGCCCGGCCCCTGTGCTCGTCCCTGCCTCGGCCCCTTCCTCCTCACTGGTACGGTTCCCCCCCCCCCCCCCCCCCCCCGCCCTGCACCACACTGTACTGCCCTGCACCGCACTGGACCGCACTGCATTGCTCCTGATGGCGGCGGAGCTTCGCTTCGATGCTG